CCCGGAGCAGCCCCCCCCCCCCGGCGGGTGGGGGAGGGGGCGAGCCGCCGGGGCCGGGGCGAGCCCCGCGGGCGGCGGCGGGGAGGGGGAGGGAGGGGAGGCCCCGCACCGACCCGACTCCCGGCAGCTCCCGGCCGTCGCTCAGGCGCGGGCCCCGCGGCCGCCGGCTGCTTCTCCGCCACCGGCTCCGGGCCCAGCCGCCGCCATCTTAATGCCCGCCTCCGCCAGACGCTTTACGGCGCCGCGGAGCCGCTTTACGGCAACGGGCGCTGCGCGACGCTGCCGCGACACCGACGCCCCCCGCCCCGCCGTCGCCATGGCAGCGGCGACCCCCCCACCCTCCCAGAGTTATTGTAGGGTCGCCCTGTGGCCCCCCCCCCCCCCCCCCCCCCACGTTATTGTGGGGTTACTGAGTCCCAGTGTTATTGTAGGGTCGCCCTGTGCCCCCCCCCCGCCATGTGATTGTAGGGTCGCCCCCTCCCCACATTCCTGTAGGGCCACCCTGTGCCCCCCCCCCCATGTTCCTGTAGGGTCACCCCCCTCGGGGCGCCACAGGGTCACGCTGTGAACCCCCAGTGTCACTGTAGGGTCTCCCACGCCCCCTCCCCAGCTGCATTCTTTGGGGTGCCCCGGGACGCCCCCCCCCCCATCACTGTAGCGTCGCCCCCCGTCCCTCCCATCTCATCAGGGCGCTGCCGAGCACCCCTGCCTCAGTTTCCCCCAGGGAGCCCGTGCAGTTGCCAACATCTTTATTAGGGACACGGTGGGGACACGCACGTCCCCAGGGCCGGGGGGGGGGGTCCTGCGCCGCCCCCCCCTCACACCAGCCCCCCGCTCCAGCGCCGGACGGCAGCGCCGCTGCTGCCGCATCCAGCTCCTGGGCGGCCGCGGCTCCGGCTCCTCTCGGCCGCCTCCTCCTCGTCCTCCTCGTCCTCCTCCTCGGCGGAGTCTTAATTAGCGGGTAACGAGGCGAGGGGGCCGTCCTCGGCAGCGCAGCCCCGGGGCGGGGGGGCCCTGGCCTCGCCGTTACATCAGTCGGCACTGCTCAGCACCTGCCGCCCCCGGCAGGTCCAGGTTGAAGCCGGGGGGCTGCAGGGTGGCGTGAGTCGGGGGGGGACACCAGGCAGAGCCCCCCCGCCCTCCCAGAGGGACCCCGGAGACACTCACCGACTCCCCAGCCAGCTCCTTGGGCGGGTGCCCCAGATCCTGCAGCTGGAGAGTGGGGGGAGCGGGGGGTCAGGGTGGCAGCGGGCGCTGGGGGGTTACGGGTGTCCTGGGGAGGGCTGGGGGGGGCACATCTGACCTGCTGCATGAGGTCGAGGAGGGTCTCGAAGCGCGCCCGCCGCTCCTCCTCGCCCTCGCCCGGGCGCTCGCCCTCCAGCTGCCGGCAGATGCGGCCCATCACGCCGAGCTGCGCCCGGTACCGCTCGTACTGCTCGGCCGGCAGCGCCCCGCCGTGCCGCTGCAGCCACTCCGGGTACTGCCAAGGGGGCGGCGGGGGGTCACGCCGGGACCCCCGCACCTGCCCCGCCCCCCCGGCGGGCCCCCCACCTTCTCGGTGATCTCCTTCAGCGAGGGGTACAGCACATCCTTGGAGAGCAGGCTCTGCATGATGCTCCGCATGACAGGCAGGACGCTGCCCTCGCCGTCGCTCTCCTCCAGCCCCAGCCCCTCCAGCGCCTTCGCCAGCTCCTCCTCCGAGGCCGAGGAGCTCTGCGGGGACACCGTCAGCCACCCCCCAGGATGCGGGGGGACCCCCGGGGGGCACCCCGCTTGGCCGGGGGGCAGGCGGCCGTACCTGCAGGTCGGTGGCGTTCCTGGCCAGGCCGCTCAGCGTCTCTTTCAGGCAGGAGGTGAACTCCTGCTGCGACGCCGCATCGCTGCCTGCGGGGACCAGGGGACGCCGGTCGGGGACGGGGAGACGCCGGGCACCCCGCGGCACCCCGCTCAGGCAAGGGCTGGGGTCTTGTCTGGGGGGCCCCGCTCCCAAACGGGGGGCTTGCGGGACCGGGGTGTCCCCCAACAGCCCCAAAACCTTGTCCCGCTCCACCACGGTGCCGGCTGGCGAGGCTCGGGGAGCCCGTGGCACACAGGTACCCCGCTGCACCCCACAGCACCCCGCTCAGGCCAGGGTCAGGGTCTTGTCTTGGGGACCCCAGTCCCAAATGAGGGGCTTGCGGGACCGGGGTGTCCCCCAGAAGCCCCCAAACCTTCTCCTCCTCCCGCTCCGCTGCAGTGCTGGCTGACATCAGGGAGGCTCGGGGAGCCCGCGGCACTCGGGACGACACCCCGCACCCCACAGCACCCCACTCAGGCAAGTGTCAGGGTCCTGGGGACCCCACTCCCCAACGAGGGGCTTGTGCGACCCAGCCAGCGCTGGGGGATGGCCGTGCCGTTTAGGCCCGGCGAGGGGCTGCGGCCGGCAGGACCGCAGCGTGCCGGGCCCCCCGCTCACCCACTCTGCCCGCCGCCTCCGACAGCTTCTGGAACTGCTCCACCAAGTGCGGCTCCTCCCGGGCCAGCTCCTGCATGGCCTGCTCGAACTCGGCCGCCGCCTGCGAGGCCAGCTCCCCCTCAAACAGCTCCTGGAAAAACCTCTCCTGCGAGGCGAAGAGGGAGGCCTGGGGAGAGGGGCACGGTCAGCCCCCCCCCCCGCGGGCCGGGGCGAGGGCGGCCGGCGCGTCCCGGCGGCGTCGCACCTTGGCGGCGGCGCTGGGCGAGGGCTGCGCCCCGGCGGGGGCCGGCGGCGGGGGGGCGGCGGGCCGGGCCTTCTCGAAGTCGTCCAGGGCACCTGGGAAGGGGGCCAGGCTGAGCGGGGACCCCCGGGCACCCCTGGCCCAGGGACACACCCCCGAGGTAGGTCCCTGCACCCCATAAGGAACCCCGCCCCGCGGCACAGGCCGGCTCCCCCCGCGGCCCTCCCAGCGCCCGCCCAGCCCCGACACCCCCCACCCCGCTGTGCCCCAATAACTGCACCCCAGTAACCCCCAGCCCCCCTGCACCCCAGTAACCCCCAGCCCCCCTGCACCCCAGTAACCCCCAACCCCCCTGCACCCCAGTAACCCCCAGCCCCACTGCACCCCAATAACCCCCAGCCCCCCTGCACCCCAGTAACCCCCAGCCCCACTGCACCCCAATAGCCCCCAGCCCCCCTGCACCCCAGTAACCCCCAGCCCCACTGCACCCCAATAACCCCCAGCCCCACTGCACCCCAGTAACCCCCAGCCCCACTGCACCCCAGTAACCTCCCAACCCCCCTGCACCCCAATAACCCCCAGCCCCACTGCACCCCAGTAACCCCCAGCCCCACTGCACCCCCAATAACCTCCCAACCCCACTGCACCCCAGTAACCCCCAACCCCCCTGCACCCCAGTAACCCCCAGCCCCACTGCACCCCAATAGCCCCCAGCCCCACTGCACCCCAGTAACCCCCAGCCCCACTGCAACCCAATAACCCCCAGCCCCACTGCACCCCAGTAACCCCCAGCCCCACTGCACCCCAATAACCTCCCAACCCCCCTGCACCCCAGTAACCCCCAGCCCCACTGCACCCCAATAACCCCCAGCCCCACTGCACCCCAGTAACCCCCAACCCCACTGCACCCCAATGACACCCCCAGCCCCCCTGCACCCCAATAACCCCCAGCCCCACTGCACCCCAGTAACCCCCAGCCCCACTGCACCCCCAATAACCGCCCAACCCCACTGCACCCCAATGACACCCCCAGCCCCACCGCACCCCAGTGACCCCCCAGCCCCGCCGCACCCCAGTGACCCCCCCAAACCCCAATGCCCCCCCAGCCCCATTCCGACCCCAATGACCTCCCAGCCCCGCTGCACCCCAGTGACCCCCCCAAACCCCACTGCCCCCCCAGCCCCATTCCGGCCCCGGTGAGCCCCCGCACCCCCCGCACCCCCCGCACCCCCCCTCACTGTCGAGCAGCTCCTCCAGCTCTGGGTCTGGGCCCGGGCCCGGGCCCGGCTCCGCCGCCATCTTCGCGCCGCTCCGCCTCCGCCGCGGAGGGGGCGGGACCGCCGCGCCACGCCCCCCCGCCCGGGCACGCCGCCTCTGCGAGCCCCGCCCCTCGCGGCGCAGCTCCGCCCTGCGCCCGCCAGGCGGCGCCACAGTGCAAGGGGCGGGGCGGGGCGGGGCGGGGCGGGGCGGGGCGGGGCGGGGCGGGGCGGGGCGGGGCGGGGCGGGGCGGGGCGGGGCGGGGCGGGGCGGGGCGGGGCCGCCCCCCCCGGGCCGGGACAGCGCAGGCGGGGGCGGCCCGCGGGGTCCTGGGCGCTGGGGTCCCAGCTCTTGGGGTCCCAGTTCTTGGGGTCCCAGCTCTTGGGGTCCCAGCCCCGTGGGGTCCCAGTTCGTGGGGTCCCAATTCTTGGGGTCCCAGCCCCCTGGGGTCCCAGCTCTTGGGGTCCCAGCTCTTGGGGTCCCAGCCCCCTGGGGTCCCAGCTCTTGGGGTCCCAGTTCTTGGGGTCCCAGCCCCGTGGGGTCCCAGCTCTCAGCGTCCCAGCCCCCTGGGGTCCCAGCTCTTGGGGTCCCAGTTCGTGGAGTCCCAGCTCTTGGGGTTCCAGCCCCGTGGGGTCCCAGTTCTTGGGGTCCCAGCTCTTGGGGTTCCAGCCCCGTGGGGTCCCAGCTCTTGGGGTCCCAGCTCTTGGGGTCCCAGCCCTGTGGGGTCCCAGTTCTTGGGGTCCCAGCTCATGGGGTCCCAGTTCTTGGGGTCCCAGCTCATGGGGTCCCAGCCCCGTGGGGTCCCAGCCCCGTGGGGTCCCAGCCCTTGGGGTCCCAGCTGCCAAGACCCCAGCTCTCGGCATCCCAGCCCTCAGCGTCCCAGCTCTCAGGGTCCCATCCCTCAGCGTTCCAGCCCCTTGGGGCCCCAGTAGTCACTTGGGGCCCCAGCCCTCAGCATTCCAGCCCCCTGGGGTCCCAGCTCTCAGCGTCCCAGCCCCGTGGGGTCCCAGCCCCGTGGGGTCCCAGCTCTTGGGGTCCCAGCTCTTGGGGTCCCAGCCCTGTGGGGTCCCAGCTCTTGGGGTCCCAGTTCTTGGGTTCCCAGCTCTTGGGGTCCCAGCCCCGTGGGGTCCCAGCTCTTGGGGTCCCAGCTCTTGGGGTCCCAGTCACTTGGGGTCCCAGCCCTCAGCGTCCCAGCCCCGTGGGGTCCCAGCCCCTTGGGGTCCCAGCTCCTCATGGGTGCAGGACACCCTTGGGACCCCTCAGGCCCCACATCCTTGGAGGGTCCTGGTGCGCAGAGGGTCCCCCCCAGACGAAGGGACCAGCAGTTCCTCCAGACCCATCCTCATCCCTCGCTGGTGACCGAGCACGTCCCCGACGTGCTGCCAGTCATGTGTGCTCCCCGGGCCGGGGCGAAGCCCTGGGGACGCGGAAGTCGCTTCCTTCCCCTTTCCTCAAATAGCTGCTATGCAAAGGGCCCCACCAGTGCCGGGGATGGCCAGGAGCGCGGCACTGCTCCTCTGGGGTGAGTGCCTGGGCACGGGTCACAGGGCTGGGCACGGGGCCCGACGCCACAGGGATGGGCGCCCGGACCCCCCGGCGCTTTGGGCTGAGGCAGAGCGTGGTGGCTCTGAGGGACTGCTGGGTGGCTGCGGGGTCCCCCCAGGTCCCAAACACCAGCAGAGCCAGCACGTGGGGTTGTACCTCTGGTGTGCCTGGGGCCGTGGGGCTCGGGATGGGGTGACAGGGAGGAGGGGACAGAGATGGGGGCACAGGCATCACAGGGATGGAGATGTGGGGACTGGCACCATGTAGCTGGGGTGGCTGTGGGGGTGGAGACATGGGGACAGGGCTGTGGGGTTGGGGACATGGCAACGATGGGGACGTGGGGATGGAGATGTGGGGTTGGAGATGTGGGGACAAGCACCATGCAGATGGGGCTGTGGGGACAGGTGCTATGGGGATGGGACTGTGGGAACAGGGCCATGTTCTGTGGGGAACCACCCATCCATGGGGATGGGTGCCATGGGGCCGGCAGAGGTGTCCCCAAACCCTGCGCCAGCCCAGGGGGGTGGTGGCAGTGTCCCCGAGCCCTGTTCCATCCCGGGGGGGTGGTGGCAGTGTCCCCGAGCCCTGCGCCAGTCTGGGGTGGTGGTAGCAGCATCCCCAAGCCTTGTTCCATCCCGGGGGGTGGTGGCAGTGTCCCCAAGCCCTGCGCCAGCCCAGGGGGGTGGTGGCAGCGTCCCCGAGCCCGGCACCAGCCCGGGGTGGCCGTGCTGCCCAGGTGCGGTGCGTGGGTGGCTCTGACGCAGCCGTGTCCCCGGGGCTCTCCCAGCTGCCCTGGGAACCGTCCCCCCGTCCTTTCCCATGGGTGCTGGTGTCTCCGTGGGGGCAGCTTGGGGACAGCCCCCACCCAGCCCGTCTCCCTTTATCCTTTCCAGCCCAAGCCCTCGGCCTCGCTGGTGAGTCCTTGCTGCCGGCCCCCAACCCCACTGTCCCCAGACCCTGTCGGTCACCCTGGCAGGCTGGTGTCCCCTGTCACCCCGCAGGTGCCCAGCCCAGCCAGCTCATTCTAACCCCCCCCTGGATGACGGTGTTCACGGAGGAGGAGGTGACGCTGAGGTGCGTGGGGTCCAGCTCGCCCGGCCCCACTGACTGGTACATCAACGAGCAGCTCTGGTACCAGGCAGGGCCCGACCACATCCGCATCTCCAGGAGCCGTGCCGAGAGCATCATCTACCGGTGCCGCAGCCCCGGCGCCAGCCTCAGCCCCCCCATCACCCTGACCTTCTCAGAAGGTGAGGGGCAGGATGGGTGCCCCCGGGGCTCTGGGTGGGCTCTGTTTCACAGCCCTTCTCCCCTTGTGTGCTGGGAGCCCATCCCCGTGCACACAGGTGTGTCCATGCACACACTGGCTGCATCTTCTGTGTGTCGCCGGGGGCATCCCTGCGCACACCAGCACATCCCCGTGCGTGTTGGGGGCATCCCTGTGCACGACAGGTCCATCCCCTGCGCACAGCGGCTGCATCCCCGTGCACACCAGCGCGTCCCCGTGCACACCGGCGCGTCCCCGTGCAACAAGAGCCCACCAGCTGCATCCCTGTGCCCTCTCTTGCAGACTGGCTGGTGCTGCAGGTGCCAGCGCAGACGCTGCTGGAGGGGGACACATTGCGGCTGCGCTGCCGGGGCTGGAAGGACAAGGGAATCACCCAGGTGTTGTTTTACCGCGAGTGGAAGCTGCTGGGGAGGCCGTCCCAGGGGACCGAGCTGCGCCTGCCCACCCTGCAGCTGCACCACAGCGGGCGCTACCACTGCGAGGCCACCGTGCGCCACATCATAGCGCAGTGGCGTAGGTCGGTGCTGGTGCCGGTGGTGGTGGAAGGTGAGCGCCCACTCCCCAACACCCACCCAGCGGGGTGCAGCCCCCCCTCCTCAGTGGGCTCGGGGTCACCGTCCCCCTGCCTGGATCCTTCCCAGAGCTCTTCTCGGTGCCAGTGCTGCGCCTGGAGGGCCCGGCCGAGCCCCCCGAGGGAGCGCCCCTCACCCTGGGCTGCCTCAGCCGCCTCAGCCCCCTGCGGCCCCTCACCCGCCTCCAGCACGTCTTCTACCAGGACAAGGTGGTGGTGGGGGGCCCCCAGGACTCCCCCCAGCTCCTGCTGCCGGCCGTGGAGCTGTCCCATTCGGGGAACTACTCCTGCGAGGTGCGGACGGAGATGACCAGCGTGCAGAAACACAGCACCCCGGTCACCATCACTGTGCACAGTGAGTGTGCAGGAGGGATGGGGATGTGCCGGGGCCCTGCAGCCCTCCCCAGGTCCCCGGGTTCCTCCTTGGCACCCCACATCCCTCCCCATGTCCCTCCATCCTTCCCTGGGATCCCTCCATCCCTCCCCAGATCCCTCCCATGCCTACCTGTGTTTCTGCATGACTCCCTAGGTCCCCTAATCCCTCCCCAGGTCCCCCCATCTCTCTCCACGTCCCCCCATCTCTTCCCAGGTCCTTCCATCCCTCCACATGTTCCTTTGTACCTCACCAGATCCTTCCATCCCTCCCTGGGGTCCCTCCGTCCCTCCCCAGGTCCCCACAGCCCTCCCAGTGTCCCTCCATCCATCTCTGAGTCCCTCCATCCCCACCTGGTCCCCCCCATCTCTCCCTGGGTCCCTCCATCCCTCCCCAGCTCCTTCCATCCCTCCCCAGGTCTCCACATCTCTCCCAGGGGTCTCCTCCATCCCTCTCTGGGTCCCCCCCACCCCTCCCTGGGTCCCCTGTCCCTCCCTGTCTCCTCCTCGCAGGGGTCCCAGTTTCGGGGGTGTCCTTGGTGGTGCAGCCCCCTGAGGGGGAGGTGGCGGAGGGCGACCGCCTGGTGCTGGGCTGCTCGGTGGCTGCGGGGACGGGGCCCCTCTCCTTCTCCTGGCACCGGCAGGGCTCGGCCGTGCCGCTGGCCACCGGCCCCCGCTACGAGCTCCGCGCCGTGCGGCAGCGGGACGGCGGCCGCTACCACTGCAGGGCCACCAACGGCGACACCGGGGCGGACAGCCCGCCGCTGTGGGTCAGCGTGCTGGGTGAGCAGGGCCCTCTGGCTTCAGCTGCCCCCCACCCACAGCATCACCTCGTCCCGTGCCAGGGGACGGCCGCTGCCACCGGCCTGACCCCCTCTCCGCCTGGCAGTGCCAGTGGCCGGTGTCGCCATCGCGATGGAGAGGATGGAGCCATCGGTGCCGGCGGGCGAGAGCCTCAACCCAGGCTGCTGGGTGCAGGCGGGCGAGAGCCTCAACCTGAGCTGCTTGGTGCAGGCGGGCGAGAGCTTCAACCCGAGCTGCTCAGTGCCGGCGGGCGAGAGCCTCAACCTGAGCTGCTCGGTGCCGGCGGGCGAGAGCCTCAACCTGAGCTGCTCGGTGCAGGCGGGCACCGCGCCGGTGACCTTCACGTGGCTGCGGGACGGGCAGGAGCTGAGCTGGGGGCCCGTCCTGTCCCTGGGGACCGTGGATCCGGCGCACGCCGGGACCTACCACTGCCTGGCCACCAACCGCCTCGGCACCCACCGCACCTTCCGGGCGTGCAGCCCGGCGCTGGCCCTCTCGGTGACGCAGCCGAAATGGGGATTGAGGCAGCAGAGCACAGGTGGGGGCCGTGATCATTCACCCCCCCCCCGGGGTCCCCTGGCCCCCCAGCCTTGGGGCTGACCCGGGCTCGTCCCCACTCTGTCCCCAGCCATCGCCACGGGGCTCAGCGTGTCCCTCCTGCTCCTGCTCGCCGCTGCCATGGCCTGGCACCTCCAGCGCCGGCACCACACGGGTGGGTCACCCACACTGGTGGTCCTGGGTGGGGTGAAAGCCCCCCACACCATCCACAGAGCGCACCCCACATCTCCCATCCTGGCCAGGGCTGGGCCCGCGGTGCCTGTGGCTTGGGGTCCTGGGAGGTCCTGGGGGAACCCCCTGCTTGCGGCCCATGTCCCCCCATCTCATCTGGGTGCGTGGGTCTGAGTCCCTGGAAGGGATAGGTTGGGGGTCCCGGAGGTCTAGAGGTCCTGGGGGGTGGTGTCTCCTCTCCTTCCTGGCCAAGCTGGGCTGAGCCCCGTGGTCCTTGGCTTGAGGTCCAGGGGGTCCTGGGGTGCCTCGGGGGCGTCTCCCTGCTTGCAGCCCACATCTCCCCTGTCTCATCTGGGGTCTGGCACCCCCAGACAACACTCATCCGAATCCCTGGTACCACCAGCTCTGAGTCCCAGGGTCCCCCCCTCCCTCCTGGGTGTGCAGGGCTGAGCTCTGGGGCCCTTGTCTCGGGGTGCCGGGGGTCCCTCACCGCTCACCCTCCCCCCCCCTTTGCTTTGCAGCCGCCAGGAAGAGCCGGGTCAGGTGAGCAGGGGAGGGTCTGGCCAGACGCCCCTTTCCCGGGGGCTGGGAGAGCAGCTCCCCCTCTCCCCCATCTGCCCCTGCCCCAGGCGTCCCCTTGTCCCCACAGGGACCCCACTGCCTCCCCGGAGCCTGAGGGTCGCTGGCCGGAGCCCACAGCCCCCCCCGGGGCGCCGGGGGACGGGGAGGTGCTGTACGCACAAGTCACAGTCGCCGAACTGGGCGGAGGTAAGGGGGGGGGGGGGGGGGGGGGATGGGACACGCCGCCCACGCGTGTCACCGCCGCCAGCACGGGTCCCCGAATGGGTTTCTCTTTCAGGAAGTTCCCCGTCCCGGTCCCCCCGCTCCGCCCCCCCCCCGGAGTCACCCGTCACCTACGCGGTGCTGCCGGGTCCCCACGCGCGGCTGCGGCTGCCGAGCGACATCTACGAGAACGTCCCGTGACATCCGCGGGACGCTGGGGATGCCACTGCACAGGGTGTCCAGCACTCCCCATTCCCTCTCCCCTTGCTCCCCGCTCCTGGGGGGGATGGAGGAGCTGTTTCCACGGTATTAGCCTCAAAATACAGGTTTTTTGGTTAAACAGGAAGAAATGGTGGTTTTCCTCCCCGGGAGTACCTCCTCCACCCAGAAACGCGTGCCAGCAGCGACCAGGAGCCAGTGCCACTGTCCCCAGCCCCACGGTGTCCCTGGCCCCATCCTCATCAGACGGTGGCACTGTCCCTGGGGGGTCCCCGGGGGGTCCCTGTCCCCAGCAGACCGTGGCACTGTCCCTGTCGGGTGCCCAGCCCTGCTGGCAGTCGGTGCCAGCGTCCCCATTCCCAGCTCTCCCCCCGTCCTTACAGAAACCCTCCTACCCCGTTTGCACATGCTGCTGCTTTACGAGGCAGGGGGGGGTGCGCATCAGAAGCGGGGGGCAGCACCCCCCAGTCCAGGGCAGCTTCAGCACTCCGCAGGCTCAGGGGGTCCGGGCACAGCGGGAGGCAGTTCAGGGCCAAACCCAGCCCTTTCCAGGAGGAAAAAGCTTCATTTCTCCATCACAGTCCCAGGAGGGGGGGGCTGAGGGGGGTAGGGGGGGTCCCCTCAGCTGCTGGGGACAGAGGGGGGGATGAGGGGCGGCTGCGGTGTGGCGGCAGGACGGGGTCAGGAGTGTTTGGTCTGGAGGGTTTCGTACAGCTCCTGGCCTTCGCTGCTGAGGCCCTGTGTGGAGGGAGGGGGTTACGGGGTGCCTGTGTCCCCCCCCGCCACTCCCCCTCCAGACTGTCACCCCACTGCACAGACTTCCCACCCAACACGGGCCCCAGGGGGCTGGGGGGGGGGGGCTGCACCCAGGGTGGGTGCTCCCGAGGCTGGGGGGAGGAAGGGGGACAGGGCACCCCCCAAGTTACAGCACATGCAGCGGGGGGAACCCCTTCAGGGACAGCAGCCATCAGCAGGGCCCCCCCAGGACAGGGCCCCCCCCCGGGACGCATCACCCCCAGGCTGACTTACAGTGTAGATGGCTTCTTCTTTCTGCTCCAGGAAAGAGAAATAGAAAGAGCTGGGGAGGGTCAGGGCAGGGGGGGCAGACATGGACACACCTGCCCCCCACCCCTGCACCTCTCCCCTCACTCCCTGGGGAAGTTTCCCAGGTTTCTTTCCCCCAGTCTGGGACCACCAGAGCCCCCCTGACCTCCCCAATTCCCCTTCACTTCCCCTTCCACAGCTGCAGCACTGGCTGTGATGGGCACTGTCTGGGGCGGGGTTGGGGGGGGCAGGCCCCCCCCACGGGACCCCAGCCCCAAAGCTCCCCAGTCCCAGCTGCCCTTTGCTGACAGCGCCATTACCTCCGTGCCGGCTCCCTTGGGCAGCGCTCGGTGGGTCAGGAACTGCAGGGGGACGAGGGGTTTGCCCAAAAGCCAAAAAAAAATAAAAAAAGAAATAAGAGGAGGAAAAAGCCCTGCATGGGCAGGGAAGCCCTGAGGCACCCGCTATGGCATGCCAGGGGGTGTCATGACCCCCCAAAAATGGGGCCCACTGGGATTTTAGCTGGGTCCCCGAGCTGGGGACAGGGGGGCTGCGGGCCAGATCCTGGTGCTCACCTTGAGGCGGCAATAGAGGACAGTGAGGACGATGCCGTAGAGGAAGAGGATGGCGTCCAGGATGTAGCAGAGCTCCGGCTCCATCAAGGCTTCTGGGGAGGACGGAGAGGGGGGCAGAGGGGAGTCCCCGGGTCAGCATCGCCCTGGGGCACGTCCTGCACCCGACCTGGTCGCCGAGAGCTCGGCTCCGCCGCCTCCGAGCGCGGCCCCGCTCTGCGCCAGCGGAGGGTCCCGGGGGGGCGCAGGCGGCACCGACGCCCCCTCCAACGGCGTCGCAGAGCCCCAGACCCACCGGGACTCACGCTGGGGCGCCCCTCTGCGCCACAAGCACCCCGGGGGTGGCCGTGGGGAGGCTTCACCGGATCCCGGCTCGCCCCGAAGGACGAGGACGCCGTTCAAGGAGCCAACCCAACAGCCGTGCGCCCACCCCGCCGCTCCCCGTCCCCGCGGGACCCCCCCGGCCCCACCTGCCGCCGGGGTCCGCAGCAGCAGCAGGGCGGCAGCGAGCAGCAGGCAGGTGCCCATCGCCGCGCCGAGCAGGGTCCGGCAGCTTGGGGCTGTTGCGCTGGAGTCAGCGACCGCAGAGCCACCGCTGCCTTCCTCCCCCCTGCCTCGCACCGCCCCCACTTCACTTCCCCCCCGCTCCCCCCAAAAAGGAACCGGCCAGCGCAGCCGTCCCCTCCTCCCGCAAAAGGCGGTGGGGACATTGCTCAAGGGCCGGGTGAGCTGTCCCCTAGGCCCGCCCCAGCCCTGCTGGCACCCGGGCCCTGGTTTGGTCACCCGGGGGGGGGCTGCAGGGGCACCCACCAGCCCCCCGGGCTGAAGGCTGTCGGGGAAAGCCTGCGGTCTGCAGGTGCTGGAGGAGAAAGCCCAGGGATCCCTCCAGGCTCCCTCCCGAGATCCTCCGCCCAGGAAGGGCTGTGACCACGGGAAGGGGAAGCTCTCGACCACAAGTCTCACGTGGGGAAAGGGAGGAAGAACGAGAGGTTTCAGTGGGTTTCGGCCGAAGCAGGGCTGGACAGGCAGGACCCGGTTTAGTCTTTATTTGACTCAGCTGAGGAAGAGGGTGCAGGGGCACCGGGGGAACCCCCGGCCTGGAGCAGCACACACAGCAGGAGATGGGCACGGCGCGGCCGCCACCTCACCGATCCACTTCCCCAAAGACGATGTCCTGCGTGCCTGGGGGAGGGAGAGGGGTCAGGGCACGACCAGCCCCCCGGCATGGGGAAGGAGCCCCGCCGAGAGCCGCAGGAGCCCCTGGCCCAAGGAGGGAACGTACCGATGATGGCCACGACGTCTGCCAGCATGTGGCCCTGTGACATCCGATCCAGACCGGCCTGAAGCAGAGCGACAGGGACCCTCATGAGCCTGCAGCCCCCCACTGAAGACCCCCCGGGCACCCATCACCCTGGCCCCAGGCCTGCCAAGGCAGGAGGGGGACGGCTCTGCCCCCCGGCTTTGCACAGTGGTGGGACGGCCGAGCAGGGCAGGGCCCAGCTCACCACTTCCGGAGCTGGTGTTGCGCTGTCAGGGGGGGGCCCGCTCCCCCCGGGGCTGGGGCAGGCAGGGGAGGGGGTGCTGCCCCCACCAGCACAGCCTGGCAGGGAGGGAAGTGGTCAGTTATCGGCAGAGGAAGGAAACCAGCTCTAGCAGCAGAGGCACGAGGGGTGCGTTCGAGTCCCAGAGGGGCCCCAGGGGACACGCAGGCGGTGGCCCACGGACCCCTGCCCCAGCCCACCGTGGTGGGGCCACGCTGGAGCAGGCCCAGCGAGGGGAGAGGGGAGGCAAGCTCGTCCCCTCCAGCCCAAATCCCACCCTCGCCGCGGCGGTGCCGCTCCTACCAGGTGAGCGAATCCCGGCGCCTTGATCTTGCAGCGGTAGGGGCGGCTGCTGCCGTCCGAGACAAGGTAGATGCCGAACTCGCCCTGCAAGGACACGGGGACAGGGTGGGTGATGCCGTGCCACTGTCAGGGGGCTGGGGCTCTGTCTCCCAGCTGCAGCATCCAGCCCTCCGACACCAGCCTGGTGCGAGAGCACAGTCCTGGGGGCAGAGCAGCCCACCCCACTGGGGACAGGAGCACTGCCACGTCCCCAAGAGCCAGCACACCCTTCACCATGTCACTGTCCCCGTAACGCCCTGAGAAGTGTCACCTTGGGGGCCTCAATGGCCGTGTAGGTGGCTCCGGGGGGCACCTGGTAGCCCTCCGTGTAGAGCTTGAAGTGATGGATCAGGGACTCCATGGAGGCCTGGGGGGAGAGGCGGGCACCGTCACCAGGCCGGGCCCAGCCGAGCGCGACAGACCCCACCAGCAAAACCCTCAGCACAAGCACCCGACGTGTGGCGGGGGAAGGAACCGCCTTTACCTTCATCTCTGCACGCTTGGGAGGGGAGATTTTGGCATCGTCTACTTTGATCTCCCCCTCAGGCATCTTGTTGAGGCACTGGAGGATGATACGGAGGGACTGTCGCATCTCCTCCACGCGGCACAGGTACCTGTGGGACCCCCGCGCCGCTCAGGACCTGCCCCTCGGGTGGTGGGCGCCCCATGGGGAAGCCCCAGCCTCAGCGCAGGCCCACGGAGGAGGCGTGACCCTGCCGAGACCCCCCACGGCCCCGGGCAGAGCCAGGGGGTGACGTACCTGTCGTAGCAGTCGCCCCGGGAGCCGATGGGGACGTCGAACTCCACCTGGTCATAGACGTCGTAGGGCTGGGTCTTGCGCAGATCCCAGTGGATCCCCGAGCCCCGAAGCATCACCCCGCTGGGCGGAGGGAGGCAGGTGAGCAGCCCACCCAAAGCGGGGGTCCCAGCCCCGCGCCAGCTCCAGGCCCTCCCTACACCCCAAAGCGGACCCCGACACGGGGGAAAGCGGCCACGTGTCCCCCCCTGCACAGACCCCCCAGCCCTGAGCAGCAGGCATGGGAGGACACCCTGGGGACATCGGGTGGGTAGAGCCAGACAGGACACGGCGTCACAGCTCCTGCCGTGCTGTGGCCACCGCCCTGACCATCACCGGGTGTCACCGGTCCCCAAGACAGCTCCGATCGGCCCTAGGGACTCCCACTGATCCCTCTGGCGGGGGGGACACAACACAGCTGGGCAGTGGCAGGAGGCTGAGCCCCTCCGGAGCATCCCCAGGAGCCCCCAAACCCACCTGAACCCATAGTTGAGAGCCTCCTCCGCCGTTATCACCCCGATGTCGACGGTGCGGTTCTTCCAGATGCGGTTGTTGGTCAGCATCTGAGGGCAGCAAGGTGTTAGTCACCCGTCCCCCGCACCGGCTGCCCCTCCTGACTGCGCACCCTCTCTCCTGACCCGTCACCTTGTCACCACTGCCGCAGGAGGAAGAACCCCGCGCTGGCTGAGCCCAGGGCACAGGCCACGCAAGATCCCAGCCCTCAGGGTGCTGGGAAATGGGGACTGTCCCTCCCTCCCAGGTTTCGAGCAGAAGCCCAGCTCCCGGCCTGCCTTACCTCCTCCACCTCGTCTACCCGTATGGAGAAGTTCTTCACGAACTCATAAATGTCGTCCATCAGCCCCAGGGGCAGGTCCTGCGTGGGAGGAGAGGGGAGGTCAGCCCGTGCGTGGCCAGTGGCACTGGAGGGGCCATTGCCCACGCAGGGACACCCCACTCATCCCTGCCAGACTGGAGGGGCTCTGCAGGGAGCCGGGGCACGGCGCAGCCCCCCTTACCTGGTGCACCCCGCCAGGGCGGATGTAGGCAGCGTGCATCCGTGCCCCCGAGACCCGCTCGTAGAACTCGAACATCTGCAGGGACAGAGGGGATCCCGCTGCATCCTGGCACAGAGGGGCAGCACCGAACCCCAAATCCGCTCCCCCGGCACAGCTGCGCTGCCCTTTACCTTCTCCCTCTCCTCAAACATCCAGAAGAAGGGGGTCATGGCCCCAATGTCCAGCGCGTGCGTGGTCACGGCCATGATGTGGTTGAGCAGCCGAGTGATCTCTGCGAAGAGGACTGGGGGCAGAGGGGGCACAGGGGGGTGAGCACCCCACTGGGGAGGGGGAACAGGGGCTGAGCCCCCAGAAAGCCAAGTGCTACAAGCCCTCAGGAGGACAGGCAGGAGCGCCTGCCTCCGGGACGGGAGCTGGGGCCCCCGTGGAAACGGTACGGGGGTGCATGGGGCCACCCCCACCTCGGATCCACTGAGCCCGCAGGGGGGGGCGGATGTTGAGCAGCTTCTCCACAGCCAGGGAATAGGCCTGCTCGTTGCACATCATGGAGACGTAGTCCAGGCGGTCGAAATACGGCAGCGCCTGCCGAAAGAAACGCGTCGGCGGCAGCTGCCGGCACCCGGAGCCGGGCAGCGAAGGGCCGGCACTGCCAGGAGCACCAAAGGCCTCGTCCCAGCCGGGGGGCGCTGGGACGCAGCCCCCAGGCACGGCGCCTTCCCAGCTCAGGGCGCTGTGAGCACCGTAGCAGCCACGCAGGCGGCCCAAAAGCTCCGGCCCCGGGCTGGAACAGCCCTGTCTCGGGATACAGCGTGCGGGAAAACAGGCAACATCCCTCTGCCAGAGTTTTCCAGCTCGCAGGCGCTGCATGCTCAGCACACGCCAGCTGAGAACCGTCTCTGCCATGCAGCTGAGCATGGCTGTCACGGTGCTCCCCCCCCGCCCTGGACTATTTCAAGCTCCATTTCTGCTGCCAACAGAAAGGTTAAACCCAGTTGGAATAATAAATCAGCAGGGTCTGTTTACAAACACCACTGCAAACCCTGACAGGCAAATAAATCCCCTCCTAACGCATCTAGAAGGCTGCTGACGTATCTGGTGAGGCAGCTGCTGACAGATGGATGCCAACAGCCCCTCGCCTCCTAGCTTCCTCACCCGAAGGGACACCCCTTGCTCTCCCCACAGACAGACACCAGCCCCCGGGATGGAGAAGCACTGGGAGCCTGTTGTGCCTTACCTGGAGATACGTCTTGTACTCGATGAGCTTCTCAGTGCCTCGGTGCAGGAGGCCAATGTGGGGGTCACACTTCTTCACCGTCTCCCCGCTGAGCTCCATGACCAGCCGCAGGACCCCGTGGGCAGCTGGGTGCTGGGGCCCAAAGTTTATGGTCAAAGTCGAGACATTCTTGTGAGGCAGAGGGTCCTTGTCTGCTCAGGGGAAGGAGAGAGGAGAGTTAGGCGGGGAAGAACATCCACCCCCCCAGAAGTGTCGCTGCCTCGAGCCTTTCCCAGCAGCACGGACACACAGAGTGGACACTGGACAGACGTCCAAGCTCAGCGCTTGGCTGGACGTCAGCAACGCAGCTTCCTGGCCGCCAGCTCCCGTCTCGGCCCAATGCCAGAGCCCTACGATGAGTCCAAGGGCTTCCCGCTCCTCCCAGTGCGTGGGGAGCCAGACGGCTTCCTGGGGCTGGGGGGCTGCGGCAGAGACCCGGCACGGGGAGGTTTGCAGAGCCAGCACGGGGAAGCGAGGGGTGCAGAGCTCAAAGCCGGCAGGAGCCCCTTGCAGCAGCCTGAGGTGAAAGCTCCCGGGGGACTTGCCCCGTACACCTGCACTCCCTCAGAGCCGGGCACCCACACGATGCTCGAGAGAACAAGACACCCCCCGAGCGCCCACCGAGTCCCCAGTGGGCACCCACCAGGCAGCCAGTGAGCCCCAGTCCGGCCCCGAGCACCCACCAAGCAGCACCCCTGGGTACCCAGGGACCTGGGAGACCCCCAGACTGGGCCGGTACCTCCCTGAGCCCCGGGCCCCAGCAGACACCCAGCGAGCCCCACACTGACACCGGGAACCCTCCGGTCCTGCGTAACCCCCAACCCGACATCCCCCAGCCCTCCACGGGACCCCGAGCACCCACAGGGGCTCCAACGAGCTCCAGGCTGGCTCTGGAACCCACGGAGCAACCCCCAAGGGTGCCTGACACCCCCCCAGAGACCAGCCGGGGCACCCCACACCCTCCCAATGGCTCCCAACACCTCAGGGACCCCTCGCCCCTCCGGTGCCCATTCCGGGCACCTCACACCCCCCAGGGCCTGGCCCTCCCCGCTCCGGGGCCTCCCCAGACCCTCAGGGACCCCCCGCGGTGCCCCAGGCTCTCCCGGAGCCCCCGCCAAGGGCGCCCCCCCCGCCGCCCTCACCGTTCCAGGGTGGCGGCACCCACTTCTCCGTCTCCTTGCTCGGGTACATGATGGCGCCGGCGAAATGCTGGGCCCACTCCACATCGGGCTGCCACTGCCGGGCTGACCTGCGGGACGGGACCGGGACGTCAGGGGAGGCCGGCGCCCCGCTGCCCCCCCGAGCCTCCCGCCGCTCTCACCGGGCCGGGCCCCGCCCCCCCCAGCCTCCCGCCGCTCTCACCGGGCCGGGACCGCTCCCGGCCCCCCCCCCCCGAGCCTCCCGCCGCTCTCACCGGGCCGGGCCCCCCCCCCCCGAGCCTCCCGCCGCTCTCACCGGGCCGGGACCGCTCCCGGCCATGCCGCCGCCGCCGCCGCCGCCGCCCGCAGCCCCGAAGGTGCCCGCAGCCGCCCCAGCGCCCGCAGCGCCGCCATCTTGCCCTTGGCACTGCGCAGGCGCCGCTGCGGTGGGGGGCGGGGACTGGCGCCATGCTTGGGGAGGGCAGGCGAAGCCCCCGTCTCGCCGCCATATTGAGCGCGGTCAGCTCCGCCGCCATCTTTACGAAGGGAAAGAGCCGGGAATGGAGCGGTCGCCATCTTTGTGCCGGGCAGGGGCTGGCGGCGGGACGGGGCGGTCCCGTGGGGACGGGGGTGGAGGGGACACGGGTGGGGATGGGGGTGGGGATGGAGGGGACAGGGGTGGGGACAGGGGTGGGGATGGAGGGGACAGGGGTGGGGATGGAGGGGACACGGGTGGGGACGGGGGTGGGGACAGAGGGGACAGGGGTGGGCACAAGGATGGGGATGGAGGGGACTGGGGTGGGGACTGGGGTGGGGACAGAGGGGACAAGGATGGAGACAGGGATGGGGGTGGAGGGGACACGGATGAGGACAAGGGCGGGGACGGAGGGGACAGGGTGCTGCCCGGAGGGGAGCAGGACGCACTGGGTGAAGGAGGAGCAGGGTGACCCAGTGTGATGGCAACAAAGGACATGTGTCCCCAGGCCTTCCTGCTCTGGGACTGTCCCCTCCCGTGACACACGCGGTGTCCTCATGTGGGTGCCTGGGGGGTGACAGGTACCAGGGTGCCGTGTGGGTGCCAGGGTACGGGGTGACCAAAATTGTCCTGTGTCCACCCCGGCCAAGCTGCCCCCCCAGCCGCTCCCCGCCCGGGGAGTACCCAGGCTCCGGCAGCTGAATTTGCCCCCCCTCGCAGGGAACACGGGGACCATCTTGCTGTGCCAGCACCCCCCGTGTCCCTCGTCCCCCCCCGCCGGGGTCACGCAGGCTCCCATGGCCCCACTCTGCATCACCGTCCCTGGTGACGCCAGCAGCCGCCCCCACCCCCACGTCACAGCTGTTCGTGACCCGGCATGACTCACGGCAACCGCACGCGGTGATGCTGTCCAGATGTTGGCCGCTGGCCACCCCCCCACCCCCCGCTGTGGCACGGGGCCATCCTGCTGGGCCTGCATCTGGCCCCCGGGGGGGAGGCTGAGCCAGGACGGGCCCTCCCATGCTGGAGCCCCTGCCAGCACCCATGGGTGCTCCCCATGGCCCAGACCCCAGACCTGTGGGGGGTGACGGAGCTGGGGGGTGGTGGAACCGAGAGATACTGGAGCTGGGGATAGTGAAGCTGGGGGATGCTGGAGCTGGGGCGTACTGGAGCTGGGTGATGCTGGACCTGGGTGATGCTCGAGCTGCAGGATACTGGAGCTGTGCATACTGGAGCTGGGCATACTGGAGCTGTGCATACTGGAGCTGTGCATACTGGAGCTGGGCATACTGGAGCTGGGCATACTGGAGCCAGCAGGTGCTGGAGGTGGCGGATGCTGCCCGTGGTGGGTCTGGAGGTGGCGGATGTCGGCCAAAGCAGATGTCGGCTCCCGGGGACACCAGCTGCGCCGGACGCCGGAGCCCGCGGATGCCGCGGCCCGTGGGAGACCGGCCCCGGCGGATGCTGGCGCCCGGCGGACGCTGCCCGTGCCGGCTGCCAGCCATGGCAGGTGCCAGCACCGCGGTGAGCCGCCGGTGGGCTCGGTGGGCTCCGCACCCCACTGCCGGCACTGCGCCGGGCACGGTTGGGTGCTGGGCGGGTGCTGTCCCAGCCGGGTCCGTGGCTGCGATGCCGGCGGGGTCCCAGGGGTGCAGGGCAGCACTGCTGTGGCGCCAGCACAGAGGCCCTTTGTGCGGCAGCGCCGGGTGCCGCCGGGTCCCTTTGTGCGGGGCCACGTCACCCTGTTGTTCTCCCGGGGACGGCGGGGACGGCACCGGCACCAGCACCTGCACGGCAGCACCCACGGCCCCACGGGGCACCCCCAGAGGGGTGCTGGGGGCACTGGGGCAGGAAGGGAGGACAGGCCCAGCCCCCCCCCTGTTCCGAGAAGGGAGGAAGCAGGATGCGGCCCATGTCCTGCCCCGCCGGGCTGGGGGCCAGGAGGTGACTGGTGTGTGACACAGCGGATGGCCGTGCTGGGAAGTGCGGACACGGGGTGGGGATGGAGGGGCTGACACCGGACGGGCTGGGGCGGAGAGGGCAGGGAGGGATGGAGAGAATGAGGAGGGATGGAGGAGACAGGGAGGGAGCGGACAGGCAGGGATGGAGGGGATGGAGCAGTGGGGTACTGGGGGGGCAGCGGGTGCTGCAGGGTGGGGGAGCCCCCGGGGGTGCCCCCCAGACCTGTGCTCACCCCAGGCACCCCAAGGCTGCCCCTGGCAGATGCCCACCCCGACCCTGGCCCCCGCTGCCTGAGGGGGGCCAGGTGGGGAGGATTCCGGTGCGGGCATCCTGGTGAGGGAGTTCCAGCAAGGGGGTCCCAGTACGGGGATCCTGGCGAGGGGGATCCTGGTGAGGGGGTCCCAGTGAGGGGGTCCAGGTGAGGGGATTCCAGTGAGGGGGTCCCGGCGAGGGGGTCCAGGTGAGGGGATACCAGTAAGGGAATTCCAGTGAGGGGGTCCCAGTGAGGGGGTCCCAGTGAGGGGGTCCAGGTGAGGGGGTCCCGGCAAGGGGGTCCCAGTGAGGGGGTCCAGGTGAGAGGATACCGGTAAGGGGATTCCAGTGAGGGGGTCCCGGCGAGGGGGTCCCAGTGAGGGGGTCCAGGTGAGGGGATACCAGTAAGGGGATTCCAGTGAGGGGGTCCCGGCAAGGGGGTCCCGGCTAGGGGGTCCCAGTGAGGAGATGCTGCTGAGAGGATCCCAGCAAGGGGGCTCGCAGCAAGAGGGTCCCAGTAAGGGGATACCGGCGAGGGGGATCCCAGTGGGGGGATCCCAGTGAAGGGATCCCGGTGAGGGGGATCCCCCGGCCCAGCCCCGCTCCCGGGGGACGCGGCTCTGCCTTCCCGGAACGTCCCGGGGGGGCCGTGGCCCACCCCGCCGCCGGGGCTGCCCCGCTCCGCCCCGCCCGCCCCTCCCGCCCGTTAAAAGGCGGCGGCGGCAGCGGCAGAGCCGGTGGGGACCCGCTGTCGCCTCCCGCTGTCGCGGTGTCGCCGTGTCGCGGTGCCCGGGCCATGCACCGCGCGCTCCTGGCGCTCCTGGTCGCCGCTGTCGCCGCCGCCGGGGCCTCCCCCGGCCCCGCGTGTCCCGTAACGGCACCGGGAGAAGCCGGGACGCGGTCCCGCGTGGGGCTGGCCCCGAGGAGAGCCAAGGTACTGCCGGCAAGACACGTCAGACGGGGATGGGCTGGGACGGGAATGGGATGGGATTGGCATAGGCTAGGACGGACAGAGGTGGGCTGGGACACACCGGACTGGGACGGACCGGGGCCGGCATGGACCGGGACCGGGATGGGCTGGGACGCACCGGACTGGGATGGACCGGGACCGGGATGGACTGGGATGGACCGGGACCAGGATGGACTGGGATGGAACGGGACCGGGATGGACTGGGATGGAACGGGACCGGGATGCACCGGGGCCAGATGGGCTGGGACACACCAGACTGGGATGGACGGGGACTGGGATGCACCGGGACCGGGATGGACTGGGACCAGGATGGACTGGGATGCACTGGGACCGGGATGGACCGGGACCAGGATGGACTGGGTTGGAACGGGACCGGGATGCACCGGGGCCGGATGGGCTGGGACGCACTGGACCGGGATGGACGGGGACTGGGATGGACCGGGACCGGGATGGACTGGGATCAGGATGGACTGGGATGGACCGGGACCAGGATGGACTGGGATGGACCGGGACCGGGATGGACTGGGATGGAACGGGACTGGGATGCACCGGGGCCAGATGGGCTGGGACGCACCGGACTGGGATGGAACGGGACACACTGGACCAGGATGGACTGGGGCTGGCATGGACCGGGACTGGGCTGGGCTGGGCCAGGACCGGGCTTTCCCTCCCCCTCCCGGGGCACCGCAGGGCCCCACCGCAGGCGATGGGGCCCATGAGCAGCCGGGACCCAGCAGGGTCGGGGTGGCACCGGGGGCGAGGGGAGCGCTGGTGTGGGGCCCAGAGACATCAGGGTGCACTGGGCTGGCACGAGCATGGTGCTGGGGGGCACTAGCAGGGATGTACATGTTGATGGGGGACACCAGCTTGGGGTGGCTGGTGCTGGGGGGCACCAGCCGGTGCTGGTCCCCTGCCCCAGTGCCCTGCTTCCCGGCAGCGCTTCACCTCGGTGCCGCGGTACGTGGAGATGCTGGTGGTGGCGGACGAGTCGATGGCCCAGTTCCACGGCGCGGGTCTCCGGCACTACCTGCTGACGGTGCTGGCAGCAGCCGCCCGGTCCTTCCGGCACGGGAGCCTGGGCAACGCGGTGGAGCTGCGGGTGACGCGGCTGGTGGTGCTGGGCCAGGGCACCCCTGGGCCCCCCACCACCTCCAATGCCGCCCAGATGCTCCGCAACTTCTGCCAGTGGCAGAAGGAGCTCAACGTCCCTGATGAGGACAGTCCCCTCCATTTCGACACTGCCATCCTCTTCACCCGGCAGGTGGGTTGGGGGCGACCGCTGGGGGAGGCCCAAGGGGGTGCTGGGGGTGTTTCAGGGCTGTTTTGGGTCCCCACAGGGTGGTTAGGAGCTGGCAGGGCCCCTGGGTGCCCTCCAAGGTGTTTGGCTGCCGGATGAGCCCCTGGGGTGTCTCTGGGGTTTGGAGCTGGCGGAGTCCCTGGGGCCCACCCCAGGGAGTTAGGGTGTTGGCCAGGTTTGGGGGTGCCTCCAAGGCCCCCCCTGACAATCCTGCCTGCCTCCAGGACCTGTGCGGTGCGGCCACCTGCGACACGCTTGGCATGGCTGATGTGGGCACCGTCTGCGACCCGGAGCGGAGCTGCGCCATCGTGGAGGATGACGGGCTGCAGTCGGCGTTCACGGCCGCCCACGAACTGGGTGAGTGGTAGGGGGATAGTGGGGAGCCGGGGAGGCACCCACTGCCACCCGTGGGACCCCCCCCCCCGGCGCTGATGCCACTGTCCCCTGGCACAGGCCACGTCTTCAACATGCTGCACGACAACTCCCAGCCCTGCCGGGAGCTGAACAGCCGCTCTGGAGCCACCCGCCGCGTGATGGCTCCCGTCCTCTCCTCGCTGGAGCCTGGTGAGATGTGGTCCCCATGCAGCACCCGCTTCATCACTGACTTCTTGGACAACGGCCACGGTACGATCTGGCATGGAGGGGGGGGTTGCAGCAGGCGGGATTCTGGTGCAGCCACGTACCGTCCCGGTGCCCTCGGGGACCCCCGGTGCAGCGGTGCCATGTCTCTGCAGGTCACTGCCTCCTGGACAAGCCTCCAGAGTGGCTGCAGTTTCCCTCGGCGCTGCCGGGCAGCGTCTACCCAGTGCTGCGGCAATGCCAGCTCGCCTTTGGGCCCAACTCGCGGCACTGCGGCGACCTGCAGCCGCCCTGCGCTTCGCTGTGGTGCACCGGCCAGGCCGGCGGCCGCTCCGTCTGCCAGACAAAGCACTTCCCGTGGGCCGACGGCACGCCGTGCGCGCCGGGCAGAGCCTGCATGGACGGGCTCTGCGTCAGCGCCGGCCGCATGCAGGAGCTCACCGTGAGTCCTGGCAGGGCAGCGCGGGGGGCAGCAGGGTGGGCACTCGCCCCCCAGCACCCCTTTGACCCCCTCACTTTGTGCTTCCTGGCTGCAGACGCCCGTGGATGGAGGCTGGGGGCCGTGGGGGCCGTGGGGCGGGTGCTCGCGGACCTGTGGCGGCGGTGTCCAGCTCTCCCGCCGCGACTGCACCGCGCCGGCGCCTCGCCACGGCGGCCGGTACTGCGAGGGAAAGCGCACCCGCTTCCAGTCCTGCAACGTGGAGGAGTGTCTGGGGAGCACCCGTGAGTGGGGCTGGACGGGGGGGGGGGGGGTAGCACCGGTCCCCGCCATGGGTGTTGGGGGGGCTGGGGACCAGCGCCAGTGCTGACCATACCCCGCCGCCACCGGCAGCCCTCACCTTCCGGGAGGAGCAATGCGCTGCCTACAACCATCGCCCCGACCTCGCCAAGGGGCTGCCAGCCCCCCTGGACTGGGTGCCACGCTACAGCGGCGTCCCCGAGCGGGACCAGTGCAAGCTGACCTGCCAGTCCCAAACCCTGGGCTACTACCACGTGCTGCAGCCGAGGGTGAGCGTCCCCGCACCCGCTGGGCACCCCGGGGTGCTGCCAGGCGGGCGCTAACGCCGTGCCATGCCGCAGGTAACCGACGGGACGCCCTGCTCCCCCGAGAGCACGGGGGTGTGCGTGCAGGGCCGCTGCATCCCCGCTGGCTGCGACCGCATCATCGGCTCCAAGAAGAAGTTCGATAAATGCATGGTGTGTGGCGGCAACGGCTCCGGCTGCACCAAGGTGTATGGCTCCTTCACGAAATCCCGGTGAGCACCTCAACGGTGGCGGTGGGATGGGTGGGAGGGGGGGTGGATGCCACCATCCCCCCTTCCAACCCCGCTGCGCCCCGCAGCTACGGCTACAACGACGTGGTGACCATCCCGGCGGGCGCCACGCACCTCCTGGTCCGGCAGACCTCGGCGGCGGGAGGCGAGGACGCGTTCCTGGCGCTGCGGCGGGCGGCCGGCGGCTCCCTGCTCAACGGGGGCTACGTCCTGGTGCCTTCCCCGACCGACGTGGTGCTGGCGGGCGGCGCGACCCTGCGCTACAGCGGGGCCACGGCAGCCACCGAGACACTGGTGGGCCGGGGGCCGCTGCGCGAGGCCCTGGTGCTGCAGGCGCTGGTGGTGGACGAGCGGCGGCCGCCGCGCTTGAAGTACAGCTTCTTCGTGCCCCGGGCGCGGAGTCGCGCACCCACAGCCTGGGAGAAGCAGAAAGCCGAGATCCTGGAGATCCTCAGGAGCCGCCGGCGTGACAAGTAGCGGCACGAACGCAGCCGGGACGCGGCTCTGCCCAGGAGCGGCACCTATTTATTTGGTTATTTATTGCGCGCCGGGAAGAGGGGCACCGTCCATGGGATGGGCCCCGGCGCCAGTAACCGCATCTACCTCAGCCCCGCCATGGGCAGAGCGGGGGGACCCCCTGGGCAGGTCCCAGGGCCCCCCCCGGCGCAGCCACCCTGCTGTAATTTATCGTGGCACCGTTATTTAAAGCTATTTATGGATTCGGCCAGCTCGGCGCGTGGTGATGGGCACAGCGGTGCCAGGCACTGCAGCGTCCCTGGGGCGCAGCTGTGGCTGCATTAACCCCCCCTTGCTGCTCCCGGGATTTGTCCCCAGTGGATTTACCCCCCTCCCCAGGGTGCCACTAGCCCCCCGCCGCTCCCCAAGAACAGGGCACCACGAGCCTTGCCCAAAACGGGGCTTTATTGGGACGTTCCCGGCAGAGTGGGGCCCCTCACCCCAGTCTCCCCCACCCCTCAGCACCTACTCGTGCTTCTGTGGGGCCCGGCCACGCACCCACCTCGCCGGGACACCACAGCACCCAGAGCGCGCGTGGGGCGGGGGGGGGGCACCCAGCCCTGGGGCAAGGCCCCGGGGCTCCGCAGGGATCGAGGCGGGGGGTCGTGGGTGGGCGCTGGGCGGGGCCGGCGCGAGTGGGGCAGGGCAGCAGCGGCAGAGTGGGAAAAGCACCAGGGGCTGCGGGGAGCGGGGGGACACGCGCGGCGGGAACGCGCGTGGCGAGAACACGCGTGGCGGGAAAGCACCGCCTCCCCCCCCCCCCCCCCCGGGTCCTGGCGCCGCTGCCAATCAGGGCGCACCCCCCGCCGTGACGTTTGCCGTCGGGGCGGGGCCAACATGCGGAAGGGTGGGGGCGGCGTGCGCGGTTGCCGCGGCGACCGGCGGGGGAGGGGCTTGTAGCGGACACGCCCCGTCCGCCGTCGCCGGCTCGGGCTCCCCCGGGTCCCGCCGCCCGTCACCCCGGGACCCCGCCCGGCGCCCCGCGGGACCCCCGCCCGCTCCCCTCCACGCACGTGGAACCGCGTCCCCCCTTTGCCGCCCGCGGCCGGGACACGCGGGGCGCGGCCCTGCCTCGCCCTCTCCCGCGCCAGCGCGGCCCCGTCCCCTCCCCCGTCCCCACCCGCGGGAGCCGCCTCGGCGGGACGCGACCGGCTGCCGCCCGGCCCCTTTAACGGCCGCCACGTCAGGGGGGCTCCGCCCTGCGCGTCACCGCGCCCCGCCCCGCTCGCCCTCGCTCTCGCCGTCCGCTCCGAGATGGCGGCGGCGGCCGGGCGGGGCTGAGGCGACGCCGCGGCCCCCGGTCCCCGGCCCCACGGCCCCGCAGCCTCACGGCCCGCAGCCCCGCGGCCCCGCAGCCCCCCGCGATGCGGCCCGGCCCCCGCCCGCGCTGATCCGCGCTGCCGGCGCCCCCCGCCATGCTGCGGCGGCTGCTGGAGCGGCCCTGCACGCTGGCGCTGCTGGTGGGCTGCCAGTTCGCCTTCGTCGCCTACTTCTCCCTGGGGGGGTTCCGCAACCTCACCTCCCTCTTCGGCCGCGCCGCCGGGCCCGTCTTCGACTACTCCCGCACCCACGACGTCTACGCCAACCTGAGCCGCCTCCTGCCCCGCCGGGCCCGCCCCGACCCCGCGCAGCCGCTGCCCTTCTGCCCCGAGCGCTCGCCCTTCCTCGGTGAGTGCGGGGCCGGCGCCCCCGCGCCCCCTCCCCGCTCCCGCCCGCGGGGCAGGGACCGGCCCCCCCGGGGGAAGCGGAGCCCGGCCGGGCCGGTGCGGGGCAGCCGCGGGGACCCCCGCCGCCCCACGGCAGCCCCCTTTGCTCCCGTCCCCCTGCAGTCGGCCCGCTGACGGTGAGCTTCAGCCGGGCGCCCGCGCTGGAGCAGATCCGGGCGAAGAACCCGGCGGTGCGGGAGGGCGGCCGGTACCAACCCCCCGCCTGCGAGGCCCGGTCCCGCACCGCCGTCATCATCCCCCACCGCAACCGCGAGACCCACCTGGGCCACCTCCTCTACTACCTGCACCCCTTCCTGCAGCGCCAGCAGCTCCAGTACGGCATCTACGTCGTGCACCAGGTGAGTCGGTGGGCGCCGGGGGCTCGGCCGGGCCCCTGCCGAGGGCCGCTGCTGCCAGCCCCCCTCTCCCCCCAGGCGGGCAACTCCACCTTCAACCGGGCCAAGCTGCTGAACGTGGGGGTGAAGGAGGCGCTGAAGGACGAGGAGTGGGACTGCCTCTTCCTCCACGACGTTGACCTCATCCCCGAGAACGACCACAACCTCTACACTTGCGACCCCTGGAACCCCAAACACGTCTCCATTGCCATGAACAAATTCGGATACAGGTGCGTGACCACGGTGGGCTGGGGGTGGGCGGTTGGGCCAGGAGCGAGGGGACCGGCCCTGGCTCAGCATCTGCCCCCCCTCTTACAGCCTGCCGTACCCCCAGTACTTTGGGGGGGTCTCAGCTCTCACCCCTGACCAGTACATGAAGATAAACGGTTTTCCCAACGAGTACTGGGGCTGGGGTGGTGAGGACGACGACATTGCCACCAGGTAAGATGCCACGGAGACCTCCCGGCCTCACCATCCCCCGTGTTCGTGTCCCACCGGGAGACACTGGCCGGGCCCTGGGACAGCGTCACCACGCAGGACGAGCGTGTGGGGGCCACTGCTGCCGCACGGGGGGTGGGGTGGGGTGGGGGGACACGCAGGTGGCACCCTCGGGTGACACGGTGGCATCTCTGCAGGGTGCGCCTGGCCGGCATGAAGATCGCCCGCCCGCCCGTCTCCATCGGCCACTACAAGATGGTGAAGCACAAGAGCGACAAAGGCAACGAGGAGAACCCCCACAGGTTGGGGGGGCTGGCAGGGGGCTTGGCAGTGATTGGGGGGGGGGGGGCCCGGGCCTTGGCAGTCACGCTCCCCCTTCCTGGTCCCTTCCAGGTTCGACCTGCTGATCCGCACCCAGCGGATGTGGACGCAGGACGGGATGAACTCCCTCACCTACACGCTGCTGGCCAAACACCTCCACCCGCTCTACACCAACCTGACGGTGGACATCGGAACGGACCCCCGTGCCGGCCGGGGCCGCGGGGGGCCGGTGCCGGGCCACGAGGGCCAGAGGTACCGCAGCAGCACTAGCCTTTTCCGGGAGGAGATGCTGCGCAAGCTGCCCCGGGATGCCACGGGCTGGCGGGACCAGGGCCTGTCCCTGTCCCCGTGGTTGCCCACAGCCCCCGCACAGCAACCGCTGGTGCGTAACGGCACCCAGGGCAGCGCTGGCTCCCCGCCAGCACTGGGGAGCACCCAGCGCAGCCCCGAGGCTGCCGGGGAGGGTGATGCCCACCCAGGGAGCAGCACTGCTGTGGCTGTGGCAGGAGAAGAGGGGACCCTGCCCACCCGTGGGGCCAACCAGAGCCTGCCCCAAGGCACCCGCTAGCCCTTGGCCACCGCCGACCCCACACAGACTCCGCTCGCTGCGACCTGGTGCTGGGAAGGGGCCCCCGTCGTGCGCGGGGCGGGGAAGCCGCAGCTGGGCTTGTCGCACTGTGGCCTTGCTGGAGAGACTGGGGGGAACCGCCCGGGGAGCTGCTGGCTGTGGGGCCTGTGCCTGGTACTGGGGGGCGCCCCTGGGGAAGGGGCGCAGGGAGAGCTGGGTTTGGGGTGAGCCGGGGCCCTGGGGGCTCGCCTGACTGTCTCCCTGCAGGTTGTGGGTGCCTGCAGATGGTCACAGGCTGCGCTGCCAGCGCACGGTTATTTATTCTATTTATGAGCTGCTCCCTGGGCCTTTGTAAGGGTTTTTCAATAAAAAAAAAAACAAACAAACAAACAAACAAACAACCCACTTTGTCCTACAGCTCTGTGGCTGCTGGATTGCTGGGGGGGGGCGGGGGACGCTGGGGCTCAGCACGGCTGCCCCAGGAGCCGCTCGACGGCCGCTTTGGCGCTGGCGATGCAGTCGTTGACGGAGACGCCGGTGTAGGAGGCCCCGACGAGGCTGAGGGGCAGCCGCTGCTCCGCCAGGAAGTGGCTGATGCGCTCTGCGGGGACGGGTGGTGGGTGCCTTCACGGGGGGGGGGTCCTACCCCCCGCCATGCCCTGGCCCCCTCTTACCTGTACGCTGCCAGTGGCCCAGCGTGTACTGGGGGATGCAGGCCTGGGGGGGGGCGGGAGCAGCCGGTGAGCCCCACGGGCCCCCCCAGGCCCCCCACCCCGTGGTGCCATCACCCACCTGGTGCACCCTGACGATGGAGCGGGTTGGGGCCGGCTCCAGGCCCAGCTGCTCCCGCACGGCCGCCCGCGCCCGCTGCAGCAGCGGTGCCGGAGCTGCTGCCGCCGGGTCCCCGAAGCTCTGCTTGAACCAGGCGCCTCCCAGCATCACCTATACGGCACCGGTGGCACTGTGAGGCCCCCCCGCCTCATGTCCCTGTCTTCCCTCACCCCTCCATCCCCCGCCGCTCACCGTCAGCCGCACCGAGGCGGCTCCCGTGCCGTCGTGCTGGGGGAAGGCCACTGAGTCGTAGACGATGCCCAGGAGGGAGGCATCCTCGGAGGAGGGCACCAAGTGCCCAAAGCCCTGGGTGGGAGTAGGATGGGGTGACCCGTGGGCGCTGGGGACACCCTTGGGTACTGGGGGATGCCCGTGGGTACTGGGGGATGCCCGTGGGTGCTGGCCTCACCGTGACGGGCAGCGTGACGCCCTCGTACTGCAGGTTCACCACGGCCACCGACACAGCCGGGATGCGCCGCAGCTCCTGTGCCAGCGGCTCGGCCTCGTCTGGCAGCACCTCCGCCAAGGCTGGGAGGAGAGGGGACATCAAGGGGGGGGCCAATGCCATCCTCCCTGCCCTTCCTCCATCCCCGGGGAACCCAAGGATCCGGGCACCCCCACCGCTACCTGCAGCTGGGAGGGCGCTGACCACATGCTCGGCCGTCACGGCGCCGTCTGCCAGCACGAGCTGGGGGGAAGGAGAGTGGCGGCGGCAGGGGGCACTGGGAAGGGGACCCAGGCGCCCCGGCGCCCCCACCGTCCTCCCGCAGCAGGGCCCTACCTGCCAGCGGCCGTCGGGGCAGCGGCGCAGACGGCGCAGGGGCGCGTGGCAGTGCAGCTCGACGCTGCGCGGGCGCAGAAAGGCCGCCAGTGCCTCGGCCAGGCTCTCCATCCCGCCCCGCAGCGACCACTGGCTCCAGCTCTCGGCCCGTGCCCGCTGGCTCAGCCCCGACTCGGCCCCGTGCTCCTTCCCTGCAGGTGACAGCACCCGCGTCCCATCATGTAGTGGTGGCACCGGGGCGTCCCCGCCCCGCCCCAGCCCTTGCATCCCGGTGCTCACCAGAGCCCAGCGCCAGCCCCAGCAGGACGGATCGCCGGCGCCGCTCGGCCTCGAAGAGCGTGGGGAAGCAGGAGCGGATGCTCAGCGCTCGGCAGTCCCCAGCGAACACCCCCCGGCACAGGCTGTCCACGGCGATGTCAGCCACCTGCGGGGACTCTGCAGGGTAAGGCCAGTCCCCACCCGGCCCCTGCCAGCCCCTGATAAACCCCCGGCTTTATCACCCCACGCAGGCGCCCACCTCACGGCCGAAACGGCGATGAACGAAGGCGTGCACGCTCTCATCGGGCTCTGTCCCGGCCGGTGCCAGCAGGTCCCGCACCCCGCTCCACAGCAGCGCCCGCGAGAAGGGGGGCGTTGGCCACAGCAGGCCCCTGGGGACACCAAGGACTCAGGGGAGGGCAGCCCACGGGTGGCACCAGGCCGGCACCGGGGTGAGCACCTACCCCAGGCCCGAGGGCAGCTTGTGCAGGGCCCCACCCGTGTAGAGGAAGCGGTTCCTGGAGGCCGGGTGGTCCCCAGGGACGGGCAGGACGTCGCCCTCCAGGCCGAGCTCGGAGACCTGTGGGGACACAGGCAGGGCGGGGGGGGGGGGGACACGGGCACAGGACTTGCCCCCGGGCAGCCTCACCTGGACCCCAGCACCCACGCAAGGACCCCCTCCAGACCCCACCGCACTCTGGACCAACCCAGGGACCCAACAAGAGCCCAGCACCCCCCCCCAGGGACCCCTGTCCCCCCAGCACCCAGAGACCCTCTGGTACCCTGCACTCAGACCCTCTGCCCTCCCTGGACCCCTGCACCCCGCAATACCTGCGCCTCCAGGGACCCCCGACACCCTCCCAGGTACACCCCCTGGCCCAAGCACCCTCCCAGGGACCCTCCTGGCCTCCCGCACCCTTCACCAACCCAGGGACCCCCTTCTCCAGACCCCCCCCCCCGGGACCAACAATCCCAGCACGCCACCCGAGAGCCCCCCCCAGACCCCTGCACCCCAAACCAAGCCCCAGAGCCCCCCAGGCGCGCCCTCCAGCTTGCCCTACCATGTGCAGGGTGCTGGTGCCCACCGCCCCCCCGGGGCGGACGCCCCTGGGCCCCTGCTCGAACACGGCCCCATCAGCGGTGCGGGTGCTCTGCAGCCACCCCCCGAGGCGGGCGCCGGCCTCCAGCAGCAGCACCTGGGGACACCGCAGTCACGCCGGGGACCCCGCGAGTGGGGATGCGGGGGACAGCCCGGCCCCGCGGGCACGGGCCGGCCTCACCTTGGGCGGGCGGGGGACGCGGGACAGGTAGTAGCAGGCGGCCAGGCCGCTGATGCCGCCCCCCACGACGGCCACGGTCGACGGCATGGGGGACGTGGGCCGGGCGGGCCAGCGGAACCGCCGGAGCCCCGAGCCCCGAGCCCGCCCGCCGCCCGGGCTGAACAGGCCCCGCCCCTCCGCCGCCACCGAGGGCAACGGGGCGGGGCTAACGACGCGGAGCGCCAATGGTATGGCGCTGTCCTCTGACGGACGGGCTATGGCGGCGCGGCGGGACGGCCCGCCCCCTGCGGCATACGCCCCGCCCACACGCCAGACACCACGCCCCTCCAGCAGTGAGCGCCGCCCATCGGGTCTTGAGACTCCCCCTCCCGTGTGAGGCCCCGCCCCTTCTCCCGCTAGCCACGCCCCTCACGCAAACCCCACCCCTGCGCGCTAAACCCCGCCCCTGAAGCCGACCGGCCCCATCGGTTCCAACCCCCGACATGCCCCGCCCCTTTCCGTATAGCCCCGCCCCCCGCCCTTCACACCTCCAAACTTCGCCTTTTGGGTTGTTTTTTTTTTTAATAAATTTATTCACAAAAGCCCCACCCGGGGCAACGTGGGCTGTGGCCACCCTCCCTCCACCCACGGCCCAGGGCGGGGGGCCGGAGGGCTATGGGGGCCGGGGGGTCCGGGGCGGCTCAGGGCCTCCTGCCCGGGGGCTCCTCGAGCTCGTAGAAGAGGACGTAGCCCTCGCTGGATGGCACCTGGTTCTCGCTGATGGGCGAGACGCTGCGGCAGCACCCTCAGCCCGTGCCCACCCCAGCAGCAGCGGGGGCACGGGCAAGGTGGGGGGTGGGTGCAGGGGGGGGTGGGGTGGGGGGCACCTACCGGGAGTCATTGTAGACACGCCAGCCGGCCGGGTCCCGGCAGAACGCAGTGTAGTGGCCGTAGTGGACGCTGCCCGAGTGGTTGCAGAGGGCGTAGAGGCTGTAGATGGGGCTGCCTGCGGCAGGAGGCCGCGCTCAGCACTGTGTGTGTGTGTGCGCGTGTCCCCTGCCGCCTCGTCCCCCTCCATCCCCGCCGCACCTCACCTGCCTTCTCGCTGGCAAACTCCCGCAGGTTGAGCTGCTGCAGGGGGAAGTCCACGAAGACAGAGCACTTCTTGATGGAGTAGCGGGTGGTGGAGAACCGGTTCAGGTCTGGGCAGGGTCAAGGGAAACGTGGCCCCCAAGGGGCTGCAGGGACACCCCCCTCCCCTTCACCACGAGCACCGGCAGCACCAGGGGTCCCAGGCATCTCCCCTGGCCCCCCACCCTCCGGTCCCAAAAGGATACGGAGCACTAGGATGCGGGGGAAGCGCTGGATGGTCAGCTTCTTTGTGCTCCGTGTCCGCTGCCGGCACTTGTCACAGACCTGCCGGTGGCACGGCGCCGGTGAGAGGGGTCCGGGGCTGCAGAACCCGGGGTGCCAAGACCACCCCAACCCTCTTACCGGGGCATTCTCCGAGTCCAGCTCCTCCTCCTTGGTGAAGAGGCTGAAGCAGTCGTGGAGCGAGACCTTCCCACCAGCAAAGCTTTTCTGCAGGGGGAGAGGGTCAGGTGGGAGACCAGGGGGTGGCTGGGGGGGGAAAAAGGGGGGTGGCCGGGGGGCTCTGCCCCGTCCCTACCTTTGGGATGGGCAGGGAGAGATCACAGAAGACCTCGAAGGTGGTGGAGCGGTAGCCGCACGCCTGGCACTTGAGGCAGCTCTTCAGCTGCCCCACAAAGAGGTCTGGGGGCGAGAGGGGTGTGAGGCTGGGCGGAGAGGGTCACCCAGAGCGGTTTGGGGGTCCAGAGGAAGTCACCCCCACCCAGCAGCGCTCACCCACAATCTTGCTGTCCTCCCTCTCCAGGTATCGCTTCCACATCTGGTTGGCGCGTTCGTCGTCACTGTGGTGAAAGGTGTGGGGGGGTCAGGCTGCGTCCCCATGGCCAGCGCTCGCCCCCCCTGCCCGGGCCAACCAACCCCCCAGAACTCCTCTCCCCGTCACCTCAGTGTCTCTGGGTCCTCCAGCGCGGGGCCCCGCCGGGTGTCCGAGAGGATGCTGGGGGTCCTGCGGCCCTTGCGGTTGATCTCCACGTGCAGCCGGTCCATGAAAAACTTGAGGAACTCCTGTGCGTCCTGCTGGCTGCGGAGAGACGGACCCATCGCACCCACCACTGCCCCCAGACTCCCGGGGAGGCTGCCGGGGGTCTCCCAGGGCAGGGGCAGGGCAAAGCCTCACCTGTATCCAGTGAAGGAGGGGACGTATTTCTGAAAGATGGCCTTGAAGCGCCCAGGGTTGATGGCCTCGGAGGAGTCGGGGTGCCAGAGGGCGGTGATGACATCAGCGAAGGCTGCAGGGATGGGGGACGCGCTGGGTGTCAGCGCTGGCAGGGTCTTACATAAGACCTGAGGGGGGGATTAGCTGCGGGGGGCTCCTGTCCCACCTTCAGTGAGCTCCTGGGGGGCGCGGGGGCCAGGGGGCTGCTCCTGCTGAAAGTCCCGGCGCAGGCAGTAGTCCCGCAGTGGCTTGGTGCTGCTCAGGCACTGCAGCACGGCGTTCATGAAGCACTGACGAGACAGCAGCGGGGGCACGGTGATGCCCTGGGGGGGGGCCACTGGGCCTTGGCATGTCCCCCACCATCCCCTCGCACCCCCCAACCATACCCTGCTGCGGCATGGGGGACCCCTGAGGGGCTGATGTGCCGGCCCCCAAGGGAGGGAACCGCTTCATTACAGCCACTGCAAGGCCAGGGGGACCCCGGGACCCTTGCACACCCCAGGACAGAGACGAGGGGGCTCGGGGGACACAGGGACAGGGGGAAGCAGGCACTTACCGTGTTGCCCAGGTTCCTGAGGCCAACGTGTCCCGAGCCCAGCAGCAGGGTATGATGGGTCTGTGGGGACACAAAGGGACAGGAGTGAGACCTGCCCCCACACAGCAAACCCTTCCAGCAGCCCCTCAGCTTCCTACGGACGGACAGACAGACAGCCAGGCAGCCTCTTGGCTGCGGAAGCTTCACCTCGCTGCTGACGAGCAGCAGCCCCATGACGGCCGTGTGCACCACCGACTCGGCAATGTCGGCGCTGCGGCCCTGCAGCTCCCGCTTGGTGAGCAGCGTGCGGTGCAGCTTGCGCGGCAGCTCCACCAGCGTGGCTCCCAGCAGCCCTGGCATGGCTCTGGCACCGCCTGGGTGCCAGGGTGGGACTGTGGCACCGGTGTTGCTGGGCCCCCTCTGCCTCTCTAAGCCGCAGCTCATTAGCTGATCCGATTTCCACCAGCTATTCTGGGCCTTGCTGGAGGCTCATCTCGGGGGGATTAATTAGCAGGAGAGCCACCTCAGGGACAGCCGGCGCCCAGAGAAGAGAGGCAAACACACCTGCCAGTCCCATGCCATGCCGGTGAGGTGCAGGAGAGCAATGCGGGGAGCAGGGCGGCTTGGCGGGGCTGGGGCAGCTCCGTGCCACCGGTGGGGAATGCGCCATGGTGGCCAAGCCATGTCCCCGTCCCCGTCCCCCACCGGCACAGGCCCAGCCCCGGGATTTCAGGGCACCTAATCCCCACACGTGGCCCAGGGCAAGTGGAGGACACAGCCCGGCCGCTCAGCGGGGAGAAGGCAGGTGCAGAAATGGGCATGGTACCAGCTGGCCCCCAGCACCCCCAGAGTCGAGAGAACGCAACCCTTTCGCATCTGGGGTCCCCCAGGAGGAACGGAGCAGGGAGAGGTGAGACCAGCACCACTGTCCCACCCCGGCAGCGTCACCGACCCGGACAGCAAAGCTGCTGCCTCACGACCAGGGGCAACACAGGGGCCAGGACATGTCCTGTCAGCAGGACAAGTCCTGAGGTTCTTACAGCTGCCGTCTTCTCCTCGGTCCTGCCGGGTGTCGGGGCTCTGCCCACGGCAGGGCTGCCGGGCGCCGGAATGCTGGGGCTGTGGGCGTACAGGGGGTCGGGGGCAGTACGAGTCCTGGGGCAGCCCTCGGGCCGGACGGAGAGCAGCGGGGCTGCGGGCTTCCCATCCAGCCCTGGGGAGACGTTGACCCTCCGGAGAGAGGAGCTCCTCCTGAGCGCCAGCGAGCCGGCGCTCAGCTGGTGGCCACAGTCCCTCAGCACCAGCCGGCTCAGCACCGCCGCCACGTCCTCGGCACGGCTGCCACCGCCGCCCTGGCTCAGGTCCCCGATGCTGATGGATTTGGAGCGGGCCAGGTTGCTCCGCCGGCGCTCCGCCTCGCGCCCCACCAGCGAGGCCCCGGCAGGCAGGGAGAAGGAGGCGCTGCCCGGCACGGCGCCCGCCTGGGGAGAGCCGGGCACCCGTACCGCGTGATCCGCCTTCACGGGTCCTCGCCGGCACGCCGAGCTGCGGAGAGCCTCCCCCCGTTTTGAGGCCCGACCCCGGTCCAGCTCCAGCTTCTTGCCGCGGTCATCCAGCGGGCCGGGCCGAGGCGGCAGGAGGCGAAGCTTGGGGGCCGGGGAGAGCCCGTTGGCAGCGGAGGCCAGGGCGGCGTGGCGCTCCTGGCTCAGGGCACGGTGCCCGCTCGGCAGCTTGGCGGCCACCTTGGGCTGGGAGGCGACAACGGCGTGGTCCCTGGCCCGGCCGGCGCGATGCTCCGAGGCTTGGGGCATGGTGGGGACGGCCCGGAGGGGCACGGGACCGGGCCGACTGGGATTCCCGGGCGCGCACCCACCTCTGTCGCTGCGCCTCCGCCCGCCAGCACCGCTCACAGCCCCCCGCGGGCAGCGGCCGGCCAGAGGGTCCCGTCAGCGGGGGCCCTGCGACGCAAGGAGAGACGCTGCGGGTCACCGGGGTGCACCCCGCCGACACCGGCCGCCGCGGCGCCGACGGAGGACGGGCTCCCCGAACGGGGGGGCCGCAGAGGCGCGGGGCACCGCCGGGCGCGGCTTCCTCCCACCCGCCTGCCCCGGGGTCGGCCGAGCCGCGGGGACACGCGGCGCGGGGGGTGCGGGCCCTGCGCGGGGGCCGCTGCGGCGCGGCTCGATCCCGCCGGGCTCCGGTCAGGGACGGCGCGTCCGGCGGTGCAGCGGGAGCCCCGACCCGCGGAGCCAAGCGCCGGCCGCAGCGAAGGGCCCGGCCGTACGGATGTGTGTGTTCCCCCCCCCCCCCCCGCCCGGTACCGGGGGGCACCCCGGCCCCCGCCCCCCCCGTACCTCCCGCGGGCCACCATGGCAACAACTCCCGCAGCGCCCGCCGCCATCTTTGTCCCTCCCGCCCCGCCGCCACGCCCCCGCCCGCCTCGCCGCGCCTGCGCCGACGCTGCGCCACGCCCCCTCCGGCGCCGCAGCCCCGCCTCCGCGTCGCCATGGAGACGGAGCGGCGTCCTCCCTTAAAGGAGCCGCCGCACCCGGTCTTCTTAAAGCGACAGCGTCCTCCGATAAAGCGCGCAGGGCGGCCGGACCCCGGGGCGGGGGTTGGGGGTAGAGCAGCGCCCCCCCACCTCCTCCCCCCGGCCGCGGGAACCCCAGAGCAGCAGGCGAGGAAAAGGCCAGGGCTGAAGATTTTATTGGGGAGCAGCAGCGATGCAGCAGGGGGGCGGGGGGAGCGTTGGGGGGGGGGGCGCGGGGGGTGAGGGGCGGGGCACACACACACCCCCCCGCCTCCCTTCGGCCGCTCACTTCTCCTTGTGCTGGATGATGCCTTTGGCAACCAGGTCGGGGATCTCCACGGCCAGCCAGGGGCCCAGCTGCGGGGACAGAGGGTGAGCGGCCCCCCCGGACACCCCCCCCCCACCCTCACCCCCCCTGACACCCCCAGACTCACCCCCAGCGCCATCAGGTGGGCCAAGCCAAATTTGGGGACGTTCCTGGCCCAGAGGGGCTTGAAGTGGTCGCTGAGGCAGATCTTGCCCCCCCTGGGAGGAGGAGGGAGCCGTCAGCCGCCCCGGGGCCCCCCCACAACGCCCCGGGGCCCCCCCACAACGCCCCGGGGCCCCGCCCACGCCCCCTGGGACCCCCCACCCCCTCACCCCACCTGTACATCTTGGCCGTCTTCCCGTCCAGCTCGGGGATGGCGATCTCGGGGGCGGTGGAGGGGTAGGTCACTGGAATCTGGGGGTGGGGGGACACACACACACGGGGGGGTCAGCGGAACCACGGGCCCCACCAGCCCGGCACCCCCTCCCCACACACACTTACGTCAAACTCGATGGCGAACTCGTACTTGAGCAGCTCGTGGATGTACCAGCACTTCCCAAACCACCTGCAACACGCGGGGGTGTCCCCCTCAATCCCGGCCCCCCCATCCCGGGCAGCGGAGCGGCCCCGAGGCGAGGGGAAGCCCGGTCCGGTGCGCCCCCCCCCCCCCGCCCCGGTCACCCACCGGGTGCCCTCGGCGTTGGACTCCAGGCGGAACCAGTCGTTGTCGGCGCGTTTGTTGTTCTCCACGTACTGGGGGGGGGGGGGAGCGGGGTGAGCGGGGGGGGAACCGGAAGGGGATCGGGAAGGGGGAACCGGGGCGGCGGCCCCGGCGCACCTGGATGAGGGCGCGGTACTCCTCCTTCAGCCGCGGCGCCCAGCCCTCCCGGTCCCGCGGCCCCGCCGCCGCCCGCAGCAGCGGCAGCTCCGCCACCGCCCGCCGCGCCGCCTCCTCCGCCATCGCCCCGCCGCCGGAACCCCATCTTGCCTGGGGGCGGAACTGACGCTTGCGGAAGCGCCTGTCCCCCGCGCCGCCATCTTGCTTAGGGGCGTGACGCGGGGGCGGGGCACAGCGGGCGGGGCAAGGGGGGGGGGGGGATGCCGCCATCTTTACTAGGGGCACGGGCAGGGCGCGACACCGCCCCGGCGCCTCCATCTTTAGCGCTGGCAGAGCTGAGTTTGTCGGGTCTCAGTCGCGCCCACGCCTCGCCCACGCCCCCCCCCCCCCCCCCCGACAGCAGGGACACGGCAGCAGCTCCACGGCTTTTATTGTCACGGGGGGGCGGGGGTGCAAGGGCCGCCGTGGCGGGGCTCAGGGCTGCCTCTCGCCCTTGCCCAGCTCCAGCACGGAGGAGAAGAGGCTGTCGATGTTGTTCCGCAGCTCCTGGGCCAGCGGCGCCAGCTGCTTGTTGGCCCGGTCCAAGTAAGCCCTGGGGAGAGATGGCCAGTGAAGGGGGGTGAGAGGTGGCCGAGGGGCACCCCCCCGCATCCCGGCCCCCCCCCGTACTCAGCCTGGCTGCGCAGCTTCTCCGCCTGCAGCTTCTGGGGCAGCTGCTCGGTCATGAAGACAGAGAAGAACGGGAAATAACGGGTGAAGAAGCCATCGACGTCCACGGGAGCGGCCTCCTCGGGGGGGGCAGCCTCCTCGGGGGGGGCAGCCTCCTCGGGGGGGGCTTCGCGCCTGACCAGGGCGGCCTGGAGGCAGCAGGCGCAGAGCAGCAGCAGGGCAGCGGCCAGCAGCTTCATCTTGGGGGGGACGGGGGGTCTGCGGGGGCCGGGTCAGCGCCCCACGGCTCAGCGGGGTCCCTCCCAGCCCCTCCTGCCCCCTGGCACCCCCCCTGCCCTGCCCCATCCCACCCCATGGAACCTTGGTCCCTCCCATCCCTGCCCCACAGCCCTGCCCCATCCCTGCCCCACAGCCCTGCCATCCTGCTCCCACTCCATCGCTGCCCCACAGCCCCATCCCACCTCAACCCCACAGCCCCATCCCACCCCATCCCAGCCCCACAGCCCCATCCCACCCCAACCCCACAGCCCCATCCCACCCCATCCCAGCCCCACAGCCCCATCCTGCCCAGGCGCTAGGTGCTGGCTGCTGCTCACCTGGGCAGGACTCTGGGGGTGCAGGGCTATGGGTGGCCCCTCGGGGGCTGCTTATATCCCCCCTGCCAGCTCCCGCCCCGGGGCCAGGGGGGCCGCGCCAGCCCCTACCACAGCCTGGGTAAACATGGCGGGGGTAAGGGTCGCTGCGGGGAACGGCCCCTCCTTGTCCATGTCGAGGGTGGCCCCACATCCTGGGTCCTGTCCCTGCGTCCCCAACGCCCCATGACCCCAGGCGGGACGTGGGTGGTGGGTGACAACAGCCCAGGGATTTGGGCTGCCAAACCGGGGGTCTTGGCTAGTGGCCCCATGGCATGCAGTGGCCCTGCGGCATAGTGAGGCCCCCAGAGCAGACCTCCAGCCTCAGGGGACCCTCCCACACCCCCGCTCCAGCACCCACCAGCCCCACGAGTCCCGGTGGTTGCCCCAACCCAGGGTCTCGGCTCGGGGGGGGGCAGCCCGGGGGGCTGCACACCCCGTCCTGCCCCAGCACCCGTGGGGCAAAGGCCGTCGCCCGCCTTATCGCTGACCCTCGGCCGCCAACGTGACAGCGTGACTCAGCGCCGGGCGGGCAGGGGCTGTCCCCGTGGGGTCCTGGAGGGGACACCCATCGGGGGGGGCACCCTGGGGACACCCCGCCACGGGGACAGGCCGGGGTCCAGCTCGGGCGCTATTTGGGGACACGAGGCCAAAGGGCACCTGGGCAGCAGTGGGGACAAAAAACACTTTGTCCTTTGGGTAACCAGTGGGGACACTGGGGCCCCTTCCCCGCCGAGCCACTGGCCGCACCAGTCCTTTCCAGGAAAGCTGCTGGTGACGGCAGCAGGGACAGGGGACAGGGCGGGGGTGTCGGAAAAGTGGGGAAGGTCCAGGGACACGGGGCAGGGGGCAAGGAGGGGGGTGTGGAGCGAGGGGGGGGCACGGGGCAGGGAAGATGGGATGTGGAGGGGACACGGGGAGGGGACGTGGTGGGGACACGGGGCGGGGGGTGTGGAGGGGACACGAGGGGGGAATTGGGACACAGCCGGGAGGGTCCAGGGTCGCGGGGAAGGGACACGGGGGGACGTGGGGCACGAGGGAGGAGAGGGGCTGGGGGGGGGGGGGGGGGGGCGGAATGCGGCAGCCCCGGAACGGCGCCGGGGGCGGGGCCTCACGGCACGGCCGCGGCCCCGCCCCCGTCGGGCTCAGCCAATGGGCGGCGAGCGCCTGCCCGCACCCGCGATGGCGGCGGCGGCTTCGAGCGGGCCGCGACCTCGCGAAGCCCCTTCCGGTTCGCGGCGCCCGCGCCCGCGATGGCGGCGGCCGGGGGGGTCGCGGCCGGGGGGGGCGGGCGGCCGTAGGGCCGGGCCGGGCCATGGGCAACGCGCTGGGCCCCGCCGCCCCCCGGGCCCCGCGCCGGGGGCAGCCGCTGGGCAGCCCCGGCAGCTTCGACGAGCTGCATCGGCAGTGCAAAGGTGGGCCCGGGGGCGGGGGGGGTGGCGAAGGGGGGGGCCTGTGGGTGGCCCCGGGAGGAGAGGTGGGGGGCGGCAGCCGTGGCCCCGCTCAGTCCCCGTTCTCCCCCAGAGGTTTTCCCGCAGCAGATGGAGGGCGTGAAGCTGATCGTCACCAAGACCCTGAGCAGCCACTTCCAGGTCAGGGGGGCAAACAGGGACCCGCCGGGGGGGGGGGGGGGGGGTTGCACTGCGGGGGGGGGGTCGCTGCCACCCCCGGTCCGCCCCCCTGCCCCCCGCCGACGCGCTGTGTGTGTGTGTGTGTGTGTGTGTGTGTGTGTGTCCCCCAGGTGACGCACACGGTTCACATGAGCACTCTTGGCCCCTCCAGCTACCACTTCAACGCCACCTTCGTGGGGGACCGGCAGCTCGGCCCCACCGAGGTGAGACCCCCGTGCCCTGGGGTGGTGGGTGACCCTCAGGGTGGCCCTGGGGTGGTGGGTGACCCTCAGGGTGGCCCTGGGGTGGTGGGTGACCCTCAGGGTGGCCCTGGGGTGGGGGTGGCCCTGGGGTGGGGGTGACCCTCAGGGTGGCCCTGGGGTGGTGGGTGACCCTCAGGGTGGCCCTGGGGTGGTGGGTGACCCTCAGGGTGGCCCTGGGGTGGGGGTGGCCCTGGGGTGGGGGTGACCCTCAGGGTGGCCCTGGGGTGGTGGGTGACCCTCAGGGTGGCCCTGGGGTGGTGGGTGGCCTCAGGGTGGCCCTGGTGTGGTGGGTGACCCTCAGGGTGGCCCTGGGGTGGTGGGTGACCCTCAGGGTGGCCCTGGGGTGGTGGGTGACCCTCAGGGTGGCCCTGGGGTGGGGGTGACCCTCAGGGTGGCCCTGGGGTGGTGGGTGACCCTCAGGGTGGCCCTGGGGTGGTGGGTGACCCTCAGGGTGGCCCTGGGGTGGTGGGTGACCCTCAGGGTGGCTCTGGGACAGCCCTGAGGTGGCCCTGGGGTGGTGGGTGGCCCTGGGGTGGCCACAAGGCTCTGAAACGGCACCAGGGTGGGTGGTGGTTAATTGTGGGGCGAGGGGGTCCCCGCCGGGGTGGCTCAAGCCAGGGACAGGGGGATGGGGGTGTCCCTCTCCCCCCCAGCTGACCCCCCGCCATCCCTAGGCCTTCCCCACACTGGTGGGGGACATGGACAACAGCGGCAGCCTCAATGCCCAGGCGCTGCATCTCGTGGCCGAGCGCATCCGCACCAAAGCTGTCTTCCAGGTGGGGCCGGGTGGGAGTGGGCCTCCCCCCCAGGGCAGGGGGGTGCGGGGTGTCTCCGTCACCCCCAGACCATGGTGGGGGATGGTGGCGGGACCTGCTGCGGTCCCCGTCCCCTTTCAGACACACCAGGCCAAGTTCGTGACATGGCAGTTCGACGGCGAGTACCGGGGGGATGACTGCACCGCCACCCTCACGCTGGGCAACCCCGACCTTCTCGGCGAGTCCGGTGAGCGGGGTGCGTGTCCCCCCCTCTTTCTGCCAGGCCTGGGGGGGCCACGCGCTGAGAGCCATGCTGTCCCCGCAGTGATCCTGGTGGCCCATTTCCTCCAGAGCGTCACCTCCCGCCTGGTACTGGGCGGGGAAATGGTTTACCACCGGCGGCCGGGGGAGGAAGGAGCCATCCTCACGCTGGCGGGCAAATACACGGGTACGCGGGCGTCCCACGCTTGAGGGGGCCCCGGGCGCAGCCCTGGGGGTCCCCCGCCCTGTGCTGGCCCCGAGGAGGTGCCCTGGCTCCCCTCGCCCTCCACTTTTCTTCTCTCTTCCAGCTCTGAAGTGGGTGGCGACGCTGAACGTGGGGTACGGCGGCGCCCACGCCAGCTACTACCACCGAGCCAACGAGCAGGCGAGCATCCCCTGCATGTCCCTGTCCCCCCGCCGGTGCCTGTCACCCCCGGGACCTCACGTTTTTCCCCTCCCCAGGTGCAGGTTGGGGTGGAGCTGGAGGCCAACACGCGGCTGCAGGACACCACCTTCGCCTTTGGCTACCAGCTCAACCTGCCACAAGCCAACATGGTCTTCAGAGGTGAGCGAGGAGCCACGCCGGCGCCCGGCAGCCGCAGCACTGGCCGTGGTCTCACCCCGTCCCCCCCCCGACCCCGCAGGGCTCCTGGACAGTAACTGGAGCGTTGGAGGGGTGCTGGAGAAGAAGCTGCCCCCCCTGCCCGTCACCCTGGCTCTGGGCGCCTTCCTCAACCACTGGAAGAACCGTTTCCACTGCGGCTTCAGCGTCATCGTGGGCTGAGGGGCTGTGGGGGTGGGCGGCACATGCCACCGTCCTGCTCAGGGAGCCGCCCCGCCGCACCGCGCCGTGCCGTGCCGTGGGGTCACCGGCTGGGCCCCGTTCTTGTGCCGTGGTGCTGGGGGAGCCCGTGGAGAGAGGAGCTGGTCCCTGGAGGCCAGGGGACACTGTGTGACAGTCTGTGGTGCCTGTTTGCGCCTTTGGGCTGAGGAGTGGCTGCTGCCCGGGGCTGGGGGCCTCCATCGGCCCCGCGCCGCGCTTCCCTCTGCTCCCACCCCTGCTCTGCCTCAGTTTCCCTCCAGCGGCGCAGTGGGTGGCTCTGGGCGCACGCACCTGCGGAGCCTGAAAAAATAAAGGAGCTTTACTCTGCCCTGTAAAGTGTGCTGGTAGCCGGTGGGCCCCGGTGCTCGTGGTCGGGGGGCCAGGGCACGGTGCAGGCACTGCCGGCGTGGGCTCTAGCTGATGATTTCGGAGAGCAGTGGCGTCATGGAGGACAGGTCCTGGATGTGGAGGATCTGACGCGTGTTCTCCACCTTCAGCGTCTGCAGCTCGGTCAGCAGCAGCAGCAGCTTTGCGTAGAGAAACCTCGAGGGGGTGACACAGACAGGACACTCGGCTCGGACCCCTGCGGCAGAGGGGACCGTGGCCGAGCCAGCCCCCCCCCGGGCGCGTACCTGCCCTCGGGCATGGGGTGCTGGTGGTCGATGTAGCTCTTGAGTGTCAGGGCCACCTTCTCCTGGAACTGGTCGATGACATTCCGCTGGGCGATGTCAGCGTGGTCTAGGGGCGCAGGGTGGGCTGTCAGCAGGGCCGAGGGAACCCCCCCCGCCACCACCGCAGTCCCTACCTGGCGAGAAGAGCAGCATGGCCTGGAGCAGGACGTACTCGGCCTCGTGCAGCTGCAGCTTCTTCAGGCTGATGTGGAATTTGAGCAGTGGCTCCAGGTAGATCTGCTGGAAGCCGGCTGGGAGGAGCGCAGCGGTGAGGGGCGAGCCGGGATGGGGGCATGGCTGTACCCCCCTCCCCGGTGCCGCCAGCCCCCCAACTCACCCAGGGCTCCGTCCTGGATGGTGTAGCAGTGCTGCCCGCACTCCCAGGCGTTGGTCTCCGGGTTGAAGACGGTGTTGAACTGGATCTGGCAGATATCCAGGGTGGCCCCTTTCAGCAGCGAGATCTGGTCGTCGATGGGCAAGCTCCTGCTGGGGCGGGGGGTGTGGGGAGGCGTCAGGCGGGGTGGTGGCGGGGGTCTCCCACCCCCTGGCCCCCTCCCCGGACCTGAAAGCTGGGATCTCCTTGGCGAAGTTGATGACCTGCTGGATCATGAAGGTGCTGAGGTCGGCGAAGTGGGGCAGCATGGAGAAGACATCGGGCAGCACGTCCTCGTCCGGGCAGTCCAGCTGCAGGGGTGCGGCGGGGGCGTCTGGCGCCGGTGGGCTCTGCGGCCGCGGGCTGGGGACGCACAGGCGCACGGCGGGCTGCGGCAGCGGGGGTGTCAGCGCTGTGCCGGGGCACCTGCGGGTACGGCCGGGTCCCTGGGGGCTCCCCGCTCACCCAGTAGTGCATGAACTGGGAGAAGCTGGAGTCGAAGGTGCGCTGGTGGGCCGCGATGAGGATGTCGATCAGCTCCTGCTGCTCCCGTGCCAGCCGCCGCTGCCCCCGCAGCGCCCGCCGCTGCCGCAGCGCTTCCTCCGACATGATCACTGCCACCGCCACCGTCACCCCCGGCCCAGGGACCGGCTTGCCGGTGGCACAGACCCCCCGGGTGCTTGGGGGACGCCAGCGCCCCGTCAGCCCCTCTCCCCACAGGGGTCCTCTGTCATCTCTGTGCCACTGTCCCTGTGTCCTCCCCTGCCATCCCACCCAGCCCGGTCCTCTCTGTCCGCGTCGTCCCCTTTCCCACATGTCGTCCCACCCGGGTCCTCCCTCTGCCCCCCAGGACCCGCTGTGTCCCCCCCATCCCCTCTTCCCCCGTGTCACTGCACTCACTGTCCTTCCGCATGCCCATGTCGAGGCACTTCTGGAGGCGGCAGGCCTGGCACTGCCGCCGCTTGGCCTTGGTGACGGGGCAGCTCCGGGCGAAGGGGCAGGTGAAGCGGACACCCTTGTTGATGGAGCGCCTAGGGGGGACACGGGCACAGGGACTGTCACTGTGTGTCCCTGGGGGGGGGGGGAAGAGGGACAGCGAGGGCTGGGGGACGGGGTGTCCCAGGGCAGGGGCCACCTCCAGGACCACATCACCACTGTGCCCCAGGTGGCCTGGGCATGGAGTGACAGTGGCCGTCCCGTCTTGTCCTGCCCAGTCCCTGTCCATGGGACCATCTTGTTCCATCCCACCTCGCTGTGTCTTGTCCAATCCTGCCCTGTCCCCTTGTCCCACCCCACCCTGTCCTGTCCCATTTCATCCCATCTTGACCCGTTCCATCACGTCCCATTTTAGTCTATCTTGTCCTGTCCCGTCCCACGTTGTCCTTTCCCACCCTGTCCTGCCCATCCCATCTTGTCCCCTTCCTCTGTCCCATCCCATCTCACCCCACCCCACCCCCTGGCACCCCCCCGTCCGGTGCCGTGGCAGCCCCCACCTGAAGAAGCCCTTGCAGCCCTCGCAGGTCATGACGTGGAAGTGGTACCCAGTGGCACGGTCCCCGCACACAGCACAGACCTTCTCCTCCCCGGGTTCCATGTCCTCCCCCCCGGCGCCCCGGGGGTCTGGCAGCGAGCAGGGGCTGCTCTCCGTGTCCGAGGGGCTCGACACGGACATGGCCGGGGACGCGGGTGACAGCGCCTGGGTGGGAGTGGCGGTGGTGAGGACAGAGCCTACAGGACAGGGTGAGCGTGTGTGGGTGCACGCACCGTAGCTCCCGCTTGAGCAGCTTCGCTCTGCAGGCACCACTGCCCCCGACCCCCAGCCACCACCCCGACACCAGCTCCTGCGCCCCGTCCAATACATGTCCCCTCAAACTGTCCCCCCCCGCACCCCACAGCACACCGTCCTTGTGCACCCACCTGTCACCCCAACCTCCCCCACACTGGCCACCACCGAACCATCCGTGTGTCACCCCTGAAGGCAACCGGTACCTGTACCTGGGGCCCGGTGCCCACTGGTGCGGCCGGCGCCACGCAGTGAGGGGCCACCCGGCCCCTGCTTGTCCCTGCCGTCTCCCAGCTGGAGCCCCGTGGAGTTTGAACCTTGAACTTGAGCAAGGCTGTGGCAGGCGGGGACAGGCAGTGCGGGAGGGACAGGCAGGGGACAGGCAGGGGACAGGCAGGGACAGGGAGGGACAGGCAGGGACAGGCAGGGGACAGGGAGGGACAGGCAGGGGACAGGCAGGGACAGGGAGGGACAGGCAGGGACAGGGAGGGACAGGCAGGGGACAGGCAGGGACAGGGAGGGACAGGGAGGGGACAGGCAGTGCGGGAGGGACAGGCAGGGACAGGCAGGGGACAGGCAGGGACAGGCAGGGGACAGGCAGTGCGGGAGGGACAGGCAGGGACAGGCAGGGACAGGCAGGGGACAGGCAGGGACAGGCAGGGGACAGGCAGGGGACAGGGAGGGACAGGGAGGGGACAGGCAGGGGTCAGGCAGGGGACAGGGAGGGACAGGCAGGGACAGGCAGGGACAGGCAGGGTCAGGCAGAGACAGGCAGGGTCAGGCAGGGGTTCACATGTGGGTGCTGGGAGGGGGGTTTGGGGCGGCGGTGCCCAGAGGGGACAGGGACCATGGTGGTGGCCGTTGTGTCACTGGTGACCTCGGAGGAAGGTGCCCATCATCACCCGCTGCGGGGGGTGCCAGCAGTGTCCCCTCCCGGTTCACACCCCGGTGTCACCCCCCCCCCCCCCAGTGTCACCCCCAACCTTCAGGGTGCCCCAAGGTGGCACCAGCCTGGGGGGGGACAACGGCCGGGCCCCCCCGCTTCCCTCCCGCTTCCCCCCCTCTTCCCCGCCCGGTTCCTCGCGGGGCGTCGAGGTTCTGCGGGGGGGTGGGAGTGTGACACGCGGGGGGGCGGGACCCCACACGGCCACGCCCCCGCGTCCCATTGGCTGTCCGCGGCCGCCACTCAGCCGCGCCCCTAGAAAAGCGGTGGCGGAGGGCGGGGGGGGCCGCACACCGGGAGCGGCGGCGGCACCGGAGCGGACATGAGCGGGGTGAGGAGCCGGAGCCGGAGCCGGAGCCGGAGCCGGAGCCGGAGCCGGAGCCGGAGCCGGAGCCGGAGCCGGAGCCGGAGCCGGAGCCGGAGCCGGAGCCGGAGCCGGAGCCGGAGCCGAGCAAGGAGTTTTCCCTTTTTCCTTTATTCTTAGCAATGGACCGGGAGAGGAACTGCCCTGGGAATAGCGGGGGGAGGGAGGGAAGCCGCACCCCGGAGGCGGGGGGGAGACCCCGGTGGCCGTGGGCTGTCCCCGGCTAAGCTGAGCCTGTTGCCCCCCCCCCCCCCCGGTGCGGGTTTTCTGTCGGGGGCCCCGTGTCACCCCCGGGCACCTCTTTCTCTCTGCAGCGCAGCCCTCCCGAGTCCCCCTCCGCGGCGGAGGCCCCCGGTGGGCAGGAGGAAGGTGAGGACCCCCGGCACCGGCAGGGTGCCCCGTCCCTGCTGTCCCCCCTGTCCCGTGCCCTCCCCGGACCCCCCCGGCTGCTCCTGTCCCCACACATTGCCGTCAGGATCTGAGTCCCCACCGCGGGAGGGGGGGGGCGACACCTGGATGGATTTGGGGATCTGCTCTGTCCCTTGGGGGGGTGGTGTGTCCCCCTGGGAGTACCCTGCTGCTGCTGGGGGGGGTGTCAGCGTGATTACTGGGTGTTGGGGTGAGGCTGTGTGTGTGTCCCCAGCCAAAGCCAGTGACCCCAAGAAGGTAGAGGAGGAGGAGATCGACATTGACCTGAGCGCGCCTGAGACGGAGAAAGCTGCACTCGCCATCCAGGGCAAATTCCGCCGCTTCCAGAAGCGGAAGAAGGAGTCGGGGCCCTGAGCAGCTCGGGGGTCCTGGGACCCCCTGCCCGGGGCGGGCACCCGCTTTCGCACATGGGCATGGTCCTATCCTGACCTCCACTATGCCAGGGCTGCCCTGTCCTCTGTGAGCAGGGCCGGGGGGGCTCAGCCCTTCCTTACCCCTCACCCACCCCTGAGCCAGGACCCTGGGTGAAGCTGGGGGGTCGATGTGCGGTGGAACACGTTTGAATACCGTGTCCCCCAGAGTGGAGGTGGCCCCTGTGAGGGGATGGCATGGAAATGCTCTTTTTCCTGGGGCAGCCTCCCTTTCCCTGGCCATGGCAATGATGCTGGCTGCTGGGGATGTGCCAGGGGGAGGGGGGGGTGTCCAGTGTCTCCTGAGCAAGGGAAGCCCCTGTCCCATCCCAGGAGCTGGGGCACTGTGAGGAAAACGGGTCTCACTGCAGGCTGCAGCCCACCACGGGAAACGGGGGCTCCCCCGGCACAGAGTGCTCCCCATCCTTGCACTGCCCCTTCCCAGCTCCTGTCATTGTCACCATCCCCTCCCCTGGGGGGGCTTTTAGCATGTGTAAAGAATAAACTATCCGGAAAAGGAGCCAGGCTGGTGTGTGGTCTGTGGGAGGGGGTATAGGGACTGTCCCCCACAGGGCAGAACCCCCAGGTCCCCCTTCTCAAGGGGAGTGGATGGAGCCCCCTGCTAAAAGCAGCCCTGGGGGCAAGGCTGTCCCTGCCTGGGGGGGTGTGGGCAGGGATGGCCCTAGGACAGGGGTGGAGGGTTCTCCCATTGGGATGGGGCCCCTTGGCTGGAGGTTTGGGAACAGCTTCATCGCCCCGGGATCTCCTGTCACCCTCCAATTTGTTTTGTTGGGTTTTTTTTTTGGTTTTTTTTTTGTTTTTCCCCATGAAAATCTGCTCAATTTATCATCTGCAGGGTCTCAGCCCCTGGTGCTGTGTCCTTATTTCCCGTCACTCTGCTCTACGCAGCAGTGATGAAAGACGCTGCTGCTTGCTCCTCTTCCTCAGGGGATGAAGGCCTTGCAGGGCCATGTCCCTCCAGGCATCAAACTTTTTCCGCTCAGGGCTGGTTTTGGCAGCAGTTCCCAGCCCTGGCTCCTGCCACGGCATCGCCGAGAGCAACCACTGGAGGTACCTGCTGGTGATGAGTGAAAGTGCTTTGGGGCGATTAAAATAAAGCCATTCGGGGGATTTGCAGCAGGATTTTTTGTGTGCTCGGATGTGAGACCAGTCCCTGCGGTGCCCGATGCTGCAGGGTGACAGGGGATTGCCGGGACCCAGTGAGGAGCTGCAGCTTGTTGGCAGAAATAGCTCCCTGGAAAGAAAAACAGCATCGGTGGCCAAGGGAAAGGCAGGGCCCAGGGGACACCCTGGGGTCGAGTTCAGCCCCTGCTCGCTCTGCAGACTTATTAGGGAAAAGACAATTATAGCCCCTGCAGCGGGGCCGGTGGGGGGGCACCACGGGGGCCCCTCCCTCCCTCCCTCCACTGGGCCAGTGTGGGAGCAAGTTCCCAGTCTGGTGTGGAGTGGGATGGGGCTGGGGGCTGGCACCAAGTCCTGGGGTGGGAGCGCAGGAGTCCATGGTGGGGGAGACCCTGCCCACCCCAGGGAGACCTTTACCAACCCCATGGCCATGCCCAGGGCTGTGCACCCAGGGCAGGACCTGAGATCTGGCCTCTGTGTTAATTGGCATGAGTTTTAATTAACAGCTAATGGGGATGAGGGGAAGGTGGCCCTAGGGTGGGGTGTAGCCATGATGGGTGGCCTTGGGGACAGCCTCCACTTGCTGAGGGGGGTCTCTGGGGTGTCACAAGGATGCCCTTGAGATGTCACCTCACCCCCGGGGAAACCGGGACAGAGGCAGTGATGCCCCTTTCCCTGTGGGAGCTGCTGGGCCTCCGTGCAATGAGTTCAGAAGTGCTCAGCCACCCTCTGCCCTCCCCCGCGACACTCCCCCTGTGACTGGGAACAATGAACCAGGGTGGACGCTGGGTTCCTGGAGATGTGAGTTTTATTAATGGCGCCGTGGGGATGGGGGGACACAGACTTTTTTTGTGTAGAAAAACACATTGGGGAGCGGCGCCTGGCTCTGGGGTGATGGGCACCAGGAGCTCCTCCAGCCCGGCCGCAGCCTCTCCTCCTCCATGAGGCTCCGGCCGACACAGGGGGGCTGGGGGTTACAGGGCGGGAAGGTTAATGGGGGACAGGAGTGGGATGGAGGGGACGGGCGGGGGCCACCCCGCAACGTCATTTGGGCTCGGTTGCGTGGAGAGACGAGAAAACGGCCAGAAAAGGAGCAACAATGGGGGCAGAGAAACCCTCCCGGAGACCGGTTTTGAAGGGGGGGTGACAGGAAGGGATGGGGGCAGCACGGTCCCGCAGGCACCCCACAGGTCCCTGGGGGGGGGGACTAAGGCAGCCCACAGGGGCCAGACCCAAAATTCAGTAGTTGCATTTTCAAACAGAAAAATTACATCAGTGCCCAGGGCTGGGCAGGGCAGCGGTTGCGCAGAGGAAGGTACCGACTGAGGGGCTTTGGGATGGGGTGGGGGGACACCAGGGCGTCCCCGAGGCCAGGGGACCCGGGGCGAGGACCACACCCCGCTCCTCGCCAGGTCCCGTGCCACGGGGTTGCCGCTTCTCAGAGCCGGGGGGGCCACGTCCGGGCCCCCCCCCCCTCCGCCAGCGGCTGGGCGTCAGGTCCCCGCGTTTGGCTTGATGATGTTCATCAGGGCGCTCTTGAGGCTGCCCTTGCTGGGGGAGCGGACGGCGGGCGGGAGGCGAGCAGCCTCGGCAGCATCCCCCCGCAGCTCCATCTCGATGGTCATGACGACTTTGGGGGGCCGGGGGGCCCCGGTGTCCGCCCCCACAGTACCTTCCCTGCCTGCTAACCGCTATTTCTTGTCCTTGCGGGAGTCTCCCAGGGCTCCCTTGGCTTTCTTCTCACTCACCGCCTTGGTGCCGCGGCTGTGGTCCAGCATGGCGTAGAGCACAGGCGCCTGCGGGCATAGGGCACTCTCATCACCGTGGTACCCCCCACTCTGGGGCTTTGCCCCGCAGCCTCTCTTCCCACCCTAAAAGGCAGCTGAGGGAATTGCCCCCCACCCCAGCCAAGCCATTTTGTCCCCCAACTCCTGCACACTCACCTGCCGGCCGCGCTTGGACACGTCCTTGGCCGATCGCTGCAGCTTCCCTTTCTCCATGGCACTGAAATTGGGGTTGGAAAGGCAAAAAGGCAACTCAGAAAGGCCAACCCCCCCCCCAGCCTGACTGGCAGCCCCATTTCGGGGTGGTTTTTGCCCAATGGGGCAGCGGGGCTCACCTCAGCCGTCGCTGCAGGGCTACCTGCCGCCGCAGCCAGCAGTAGCGGATGAGATAGACAAGGGCCACCACCACGGCCACCAGCAGCAGAGCCCCACCGATGACGGAGCCCAGCACGACACCGTAGCGGGTGGGCACTGTGGGGACACCAGCCCCCCGTCAGCCCCCTGGCTGGTGCGGGGGGAATGGCGGTGGGGAGGGGACCGGTAGTGCCGTACCTTTCTCCAAGACGTAGAGCGTGACCTGGGAGGACTTGCCCACGATGTCGGGAGGGTTCTTGACATCACAGGTGAAAGTGCCGTTGTCGGTGTAGTCCAGGTTGTGGATGACAATGGAGCCATCCTTGCGGCGGGGGTTGCCCACCCACTCCATCCTCTCCTTGAAGCTGCCCACGTCATCGATGTAGGGCTGGCCCTTGGCATAGTGGAATATCTAGCGATGGGGACAGACACACAGACATCGGGGTCACGGTGGCTCAGGGCACATCAGGGCCACCCCCAGCCCCAAAGCGGAGCAGGTGCTTACGGAGATGCTGTCACGGGAGCCCTCAGCTTGGAAGTGCCAGGTGATGGAGATGTCCTCGGAAATCCACTCGCTGGACCAGAAGCTGCAGGAGGGTGACGGGTGACGTGGGAGCCGACGGTGCCATACACCTCCCGCTGCGTGTACACGTGGATGGACGATGTGTTGGGGACGGCTCTGCCAGGGGGCACAAACCCGTCAGCCCACGGGGGACCCCGGCACAGGGACGGTGCCCATCACCGGGGCTGCTAGCCGGTCTGTGCCCCCGCGCTGGCCCCGTGCCCGGCCCCGTGCTGCCACGAAAAGGCTTTTGTTGGCCCTGGAGAAAACACAAGGGCTGCTGGGGGGACAGCGGCTCTTTGTGCCACTGCAGGTGCCTTTGTTGGGAGCCTCTGCCCTGGCGTCCCCATGGCCGGCTCGAAGGGGACTGTGTCCTGGTGCCAGCTGACACCCGGGGACACTGGCGGGGATGCGGCCAGCAGCTAGCACCCCTTGCTCATCCCCAGGGAGGTGGCCGGCGCACGGAATCTCCTTGCATCCCGGTGACGGGGTCAGGGGCACGGCAGCAGATACGGTCCCGAAGCATTGCCAGCACTGGTGATGGTCCCACAAGCAGATGCGTGGGCGGCTGCCAGCCCCATGGCCACCTCCCAGGGCTCCGGAGTCCCCACAGTATTCCCCAGCAGCTGGGATCAGGATTTCAGGACCAGCAGCCCTGGTTCCCTGTCCCTGTCCCCAGCTTACCCAGCACCAAGAGGAGCCCGCCCGGTGAGGAGGAGGAGGATGCTGCTGTGCCTGCTGCTGCCCCCGGCACCCTGCGACATGGTGGCTGCCCGTCACCGGTGGGCTCCGAGCCGCATGGAGGGCTGGCGGTGAGAGGGGCCCGGCGGCGTGCCGAAGGGTGCTGGCGGGACGGGGGCTGAGGTTTAAGAGCAAGCAGCGCCGAATGATGCCAGCGGTGCCCCGGCCTTGGGCCAATGGGCGCCAGGCAGCTGGGGTGGTGGGGGCTGGGGGGCTGGGCGCCCCGGGGCTGAAAGGGGGCATTTAGTTTGACGATGGGCGAGGAGGGGGAAGCATGTGGCAGGGGGGGGACCGGACACACAGCGCCCTTTGTACAGCCGCATTCCCGCCCGCAGCGGAGGCGGCTCGGCAGGAATGTGGCTGGAGCCGGAGGGCACCAGCACATGGCCGCGGTCCCTGGTGGGTCCCGGGGCCGGACCTGGCTGGCGGGGCCGGGGGTCTTGCGCTGTGACCGGGACACCCGCGTGTCTCTTGTCCCGTGGCCGCAGACCGGCGGCTGGCTTGCTGCGCTGTGGCCCCCACTCCTGCCCCGCGGTGCAGGGCTCCCAGAACGGCACTGCCCGCTCTGGCCAAGCACGCTCCCGGCAGCCTCTGCTCCAGCTCCATTTTGGGGTGAAAACACAGCTTTGAGGGTGGCAAGGGATAAGGGCACGTGCGTCCCCACGGGGTGCAAAGTGGGGACCGACCAAAGTGCCACCGCGCAGAGCCCAGGGCAAGAATTTGCACAGTGGCTTCCCAGCCGCTTTGCTGCCAGAGCAAGTGGTGTTTTGGGGTGGAAAGCCCCAAAGTGGGGTTTTCCTCTGGTTTTTGATCCAGAGTTCACAGCTGGGGAAGGTTGGGTGGGTGACAGGGGGGATAAAGGGCGGCTCTGGGGGTAAGGGGCAGCCCCGGCGCAACAGGGACCCCCAGAAGGGGGTAAGGGGCAGCTCCCGTGGGTTTACCAGGCAGCCGGGGGGAGAAACGGGCAGGTCTAGGGGGAATGGGTGGTCCCGGGGCTAACGGGGAACTGGGGGGGTTAAGGGGCAGCTCCGGTGGGTGCAACAGGCTGCCGGGGGGGAACGGGGGTAACGGAGTGGGGGTTAAAGGATGGCCCCGATGGCGCCGGGGGGAGTGGGGTGGTTACAGGCAGCTCTCGGGGTAACGGGAAGTCTAGTGGGGGGCGCTGAGGGGCAGCCCCGGTGGGTGCAACAGGCTGCCGGGGGGGTACCGGAGGGAGGGTTAAAGGGTGGTCCCGACGCGATCGCGCGGCCCCGCCGGTACCCGGCCGCCGACGGCAGCGGGGCCGGAAGTGCGTCACGGCCGCTTCCGGCGTGCGGGGCGCTCCAAGATGGCGGCGCTGGCGTTGAGGTGACTGCCGGGGGGCCGGGCCGGGCCGGGCCGGGGGCCGCGGGGGGGTGTGTGGGTAACGGCCCCGGGGCGGGAACAGGCCCCGCCTCCCCCCCGCCGCCGCCGCCCTCCCGCCGCCGCCCCCCGCCGCCGCCCCCCCCGCCTCCCCCCTGCCGCCCCCCGCCACCGCCCCGGTCCTCGCGGCCGTTTTCTGGGGACTCCCCGGGGCTCTGGGAGCGCCGTCGCCCCGGGACTCGTGCCGTGGGCGCGTGTTAGACGGTAACGGGGCCCCGCGGACTGCGGGGCTGCCTGTAGCGGTCTGTTGCGCTTTCCTGTGATTTATTGCGCCTTGCCGCTTCCTGCCGCCAGTCTGCCCCGGTCCCTTGCTCCTGCGGCTCTTGGTGGCCTTGACGGGGTGGACGGACAGACGGCCGGGGCTGGGGGGTGTCCCCGTTTGGCAGCCCGGTGGTCCCGCCGCGCCCGTGGGATTGCCGCAGGGCCGCGGGTTGGCTCAGCCCCCGCCTGAACGTTCTGTGCCTCCTCGAGGCCGTGGCCGTCCCCTCCAGCCCCTCCTTTCCGACGTTCTTCTCTTGGATATCAGTCCGGGGACAGTGTTTGGATTTCATTCTCTTAATTTATTCCCTGCGAGTCGGAGCCGTCATGCTTTTGTGGAAGGCTCTTTGTTGTGTGCGTGGGTTTGTTTAAAGGCGGGATCTGCTGGCAGCGGGAGAGGCGGGGAGCTCTGATACCTGCTGGGGTGGGCGCGCAGCAGCTGCTGCTGCTTGAAAAGCAAGAGAGAAATCGTTCGCTCTGGTTTGAAGCCTGCGCTTCATAACTTCATCTCGTGTCTGCTTCTGCTTGTCAGATGAAAAAGCATATATGATCACTTCTCATTTGCCTCCTCTGTGGAGAAATCCAACTAATTTTTAGACCTGTCTTGCAGGATAAAAGTTAACGGTGTCTGTCGACGTGACGCTCAGCTGATGCTGCTCCAGCGCTGTCCCCCCCGCATCTCCTGATTTTCTCCTCCTGAGCTAACGGGGCTGTGTGGTGGGGTGTGTGCAGCCTGTGCTGTTCCACCGCCGGGCATTGATAGATGTCTCGGTTGAGCTGCTGCTTTATACTTGTTCTTCTCCAGCCCCACACAAGCGGCTGTGCTCTGTAGAGTCCCCGATAATTAACGCTAACTGGGGGTTCCCTGAGCCTTTGCACCTTCCTCAGGAGTAGGGCAGAGTGGGAGTTGGCTGAGGTGCCGTAGGAAGCTCTCAGCGGAGGTCCAGAGGATCCTCTTTCAGGGTTAATTCTTTTTAAAAAAACATGTTTATCAGTGATCTGGAAGAAGGTGCAAGGGAGGGCTGGAGAAGATGCAACAACTTAGAGAATGATAAATAATGGCGGACAGGTCCTTAGTACAGAGTGACCTTGATAGCTTAGCTGGAGGGCTGTGTTTTGCAAGCAACAGTCATTGCACTGAAGCAAGATGTAATGCTTTGCATCTTAAAAAAAGATATTAAAATTGAGCCAAGAAGATGGGGAGTTTAGCTTTGAAAAAACGCAAATGCATTGTGGATTTATTCCTGGTTTTGAATATTGTGTGTGATTCGGAGCCAGCCCTCCCTCTTGCACTGCAGAAGAGGTGTTGAGTGGCTTCTGTACAGGGAGAGAAAGTAGGTTGGGCCTTTTATCTGGAAAAGAGGACTGAGGGGGAGTGTAAATCATTAATGGTCTGTGGGTAGAAATTTATTGTTCATCTCCTTTCCCCTGGCCCAGAACTGTGAGGCAGCAGGTGCTGCTAGTCCACAGGAGCTCAGGACAAGCAGGGAGCTGGTTCTCCATGTCTGGTTAAGCCTTGAGAATTCGTGCTGAAAGCTGGGAGGGTCGGGAGGTGGCAATGCGATTTCATGGCGGGAAAGGCCATTTGTTACAGACTGAAACCCTCTGGCTCGGGAAGTGTGTGAGCTGCACACGGTGGGGGTGCTTCCGCTGTGCTTCCTGAGACTTTTCTCCAGGGATCTGTTGTCAGCTGCTCTCAGATGTGATGGTGGGTTTGGTGGAGGTTTGGTTGGGCTCAGCCATTGCTGTGTCCTCGTGAAGCTCTCTGTTCATCTGTCAGGCTGCACTTTAGGGAGGGCGTTAATAAACTAGAGACAGTTCAAAGAAGGGTTTTTAGTTGGAAATATTGCATTGCAGCATGGGGTGGATTCTGCATTGCCAAAAAATTCATGCATCTAGCCAGGACACCTTTCTAAAAACCTGCTGTGTTTCAAGTCCAGCCCTTGAACACAAGGGAATATTTGAAAGGAAACATCCTAACCATCATTTACACAGGAACTCGGAGTGGTTATATAATTACTTTGTTTTGGATTTACACCTGGTGAAGAGCTGACCTCCAGATGTTTTTCCTACCATGTCCTTGGAACCGGCTGTAGGACAACTGAAGAGCAGCAGAGCTTCGTTTATCTACTGCTGCTAATGAAACAGCGGGGGATGCTGGTACAGATGCTTGTGCGTTTGAGAAGATTAATTAGTGTTTGTCGCTGTGCTGCAGAAGAGCACGCCAAACGTTTTTATACACCTTGTTCTCATCGCGTTGTCAGGAAAGGCAGCGCTGCCTGTTATGCTTTGTCCTGGAGAGGAGCAGGCGCTGCAGATTCCAGCCCACATCTGCAAACGCTCGAGCTGTGCTGGGCCGGGGGCCTGTTCCTCCCCGTTCCTGGAGAGATGCCCTTCAATGTCAGAGTCGCCGTTACTACAATCGCTCTGCAGAGAGTGGCTCCCACTCCTTCAGGCACCACAAAATCCCTTTTTACCTCCTGCTGTGAGCCTTGGCAGAGCTGAAACGCTGCATGCACTGGGCTGTGACAGTGATGTCCCATCTCGCCAGTGCCTGGAGCTTAACGAATGGCAGCGATGAAACGCTGGAATGAAAACAAGCGTTTGGAGGAAGGGGAGATGATGTCTTCATCTCGGACGCGTGGAGAGTGGTGGCCTGCACTGGCCCTTTCCACAGAGCTTCGCAGATATATACCTTTCTAGGGATGTGTGCCACCTGCCCTGATAATTGCTGTAGTGAGAGTGAAAAATGGACTGCCTCAGCGTAGCTGTGAGCTTAGAGTGTTGTTTATGTCTGTCTTACAAACAAGGTATTACAGCTGAGCAGTCTAATTACAGGGTGTCATAAAGAATGAACCCCTGGGCAGAGTCTAGAGACTCTAGTTAAGAGCTCAGTGGGGGAGAGAGATTTGTCGAGGAACAGCCCAGATACTCTCGTGTTACGGTTAATTTTAAGATACAAACCACCAAAGTTGTGAATCCCCTCCTCAGCCCCGTCTTGCTGGCATCTTGCAGCATTTATTTGGCACTCACAACACCTTTCTATCTTCTCTCTTGCAGATGTGTCAGTCGGCGGTGCCTGCTGGCTCGGCTTGGCCCCAACCTTTCTGTGCGACAGTGAGTCTGAGGTTTTACTGAGGGTAACGGGATTACGCTCTGCCCCAAGGGATCCTGGCTAAGGCTTTGGGCCATACACATGCTCCATCTGCTTAGTAATTCTGGTCAATCAACGAACGCCCTGTGTTGGACAGGCACTTACCACTTGGCCTATTTACGGAGCGGCTGGGGCTTGGGGACGGGGACGAGGGGAGAGCCTGGCTGGCTGCTGAGGCGGGCCTGGGTCTCTCGCAGGGATAGCTGGACCCCTGTCACCCCTTGGTGCCGCTCTGTGTGACGGCTTTGCCCCTGAGGAGGGCTGGGAGCTGCAGAAGCTCTCTTGTTCCCGTGCTTCGTACTGCCGGGCTTAGGGAGAAATCATTATTTTTTGCTAAATTGGGATGTAAGTGTAATTGCTGTGTAATCTCGGGAACGTTAAATTACAAGCTCTTTATTTGGTACAGTGTGCAATTACCGTGGCAGTAAAAAGCAGGTTGCATGTTATCAGGATTATATAATGTGTTATCTGATATCTTATACCCTGATTTGGGTGGTGCTGGGGGGGCTGGCTCAGCTCTGCTGGCTGAGCGGATTCCAGTGCAGCAGCTTTCCGTCCTGCATATTATTATTATTCACTGGGGAGTGCTGGCAGCGATCCTCTCCTCGCCCGGGGTTCATGAACAGCTGGAGCTGCTCTTTGTGCTGCTGTAGTCAAGGTCAGCTGGTAGCTCACATCCTGCGAGATGGAAAGCTGCTGCAGCAAAGCCCAACGGATCAGACGGGTAAAATGTTACCCTTCTCCCTGCACCTCCTGTCTCCTTCTTTTGTAGCATTGTCCCGATGGGAACGACGGCCAAGGAGGAGATGGCCCGCTTCTGGGAGAAGAACACCAAGTCCAATCGTCCCTTGTCCCCTCACGTTACCATTTACAAGTAAGAGCCTCCTGGCCTCCTCAGCTTTGTGCTGGGGCACATGTGGGCTTTGATGCGTGACAGCTCTGTCCCCGGAGACACCCTTGGGTGGGAGGCCTGTGGTGTTCCCACTGTCACTTCAGGCAGGGGATGGGAAGACCCTCTACATTGTGCTCTGAACCCTCTGAGCAGTGCAGGGGAATCACAGCCTCCCCCACAGAGTTGCTGACACTCACTGTTTTCACACGAGGTGTTGTGGAGGGGTACCGTCCCCCCAGCGCTGCGCCTCAGGGTGCCGGGGCAGCGCAGCATTTTGTTGAGAGGTGGGTGCCTCTGCGGAGGGTGGTTGCACAGAACGGCGCGTCCCACTGTGGGGTTGGCAGTCCTTGAGGGTGGAGGCAGGGGGCCAACGCAGGGCTCTCCTGTCCCCCCCTCAGAGAGGTGACTGCTTCTTTGAGGACACCGCCGTCACTTTTCCAGGTTCTCTCATTCACCTGTGAGCCTGGGTGACCAAACCCTGCCCCTTTGTTCCTAAACTGCAGGAGTCTTACTGTCTTCTGTTGCATCTCCCTTTAAGCTTTCTCAGCAGACGCCTTTCCCCTTCCCAAACCCGTGACAGTGGCATTTGCCATTCCCAAGCTGCCTCTGCAAATTCCCCCGTCTCTCCCCTTTTGCTCTGGCTGGATTCCTTGAATAACTCTGAGTGCAGAAATACCCGCCCAGCAACACGGAGCTGTCTAGGAACAGATGGGCTGTGCTTTGTCCCGCAGCCTCGAAGGCCTCCCTGGTGTTGTGCCCCCTGTTTTGCTGATGTTGTGCCCTGTTTTGCAGGTGGTCTCTGCCCATGGCGATGTCCATCACGCACCGGGGCACCGGCGTTGTGCTGAGCTTAGGTGCGTGCATCTCCCACTTGCTCATGGCGATGGAGGGTGGGGGCTACGGGAGGGAAGACCCCTCTGATTCAGAGATGTGACTCCAGGCAGATGTTTTCTCCCCTCTGTCCCCAGCTTCAGCAATGTGTTTTCTCCTGGGAAACGCATGCTTTGTCCTTTGCCTTTCTCTGTCCCCTGAATATCTCCCTAGCCCCATTTCTCTGTCCCCGGGTCCTCCTGTGCTGCAGGTGGCTCCAGCCCTGCAAAAGCAGCATTTCTCCCCCATAGGTACAAGCCTTCGAAGCATTTGCAGCTCTTGGCTTGGCCTGGCTGCTTTCTTCTGGGCCTCCCCCAACCTGGAAAAGGCTAATCAGCTGCTCTAGTTCTCAGCCCTTCTCTTCCATGGCTGTTTTTTTGGCTGGTTTATCCTTACAGGAAACACTGTGTGAGGGAAAGACTGACAGGCAGAGCTCAGAGGATTTTCCTTAGCACAGGTGGAGTTTTGCAGCTTCTTGGAAGTGGCTGCTGCTTTCCTAGAGATCTCAGTAGGGGGGAAGGTGGCATCAGCATTAAAACCAGTAGACTCCCTCCAGCAATTTGACTTGCATAGTTTGCCTAAGTGTTAGGTCATCTAACTGTGAAAGGCTGTTTAATTTCCCTTAATGCTCTCACTGCAGCTGGAAGGTGCTTCGCCGGTAGCTCCCTGTTGATTCATGGGGAGCTGAGTTGGTGTTGGGACTCAGAAAAGATGTGCAGGACAGAGCACTTGTGTTCTTCACTCAGCAGAGTGAGAGGGAGCAGTGAGGGCTGCAGCCTGCCCTTCCCAGCCTGGCCTCCCAGTTGCCTTTCTGCTCCGACCCATTAGCCTCTACTGGAGGGGAAATTGTCCCCTGCCTAGGCCTGTTGAGCACGAAGGAGCATGGCTTCTGCCGACCAGAGCGCAGCAGCCAGGAGAAGGAGGGGGAAGTGTTCAACTCCTCTCTGTCAAGGCCTGTAATTACAGGAGCCTCTGACTTCCTGTGCTTCTTGCAGGGCAAACACAAAGGCCATTGAGGAGACAAGTGGCTGAGCGAGGAAGCAGCTGGTTGACGCTCGCTGCCAGTGCCGGCCTCAGCCGAGGCGCTCGAGCTAGCGTGCCGCAGTGTAATCAGGCACTATTGAGCAGGGGGTGAATCGTGCCTTGGCTGGCTGCGATCATTCCCATTCTTTTGGCAGCACCATCTGGATGAACCCTCTTGGCCTAAAAATGAGGAGGAGAGGCTGCCGCGGCTCCTGCAGCTAGTGCAGCCACGCGCATCGGGCTGCCACTTCGGCTGCCGGTTCCTTTGCTGGTTGCTGTTGAGGCAGCCTCGCTGGATCGCTGCTGCATCGGTGGGGTTTCTGTCCCAAGATGTGGACCGGGGGACTTTGCTGAAGAGCTGCCACCTTACGTTTCCAAATTTCATTGTTCCTTTAACCTTGAATTTGGGCTGTTTTGGCTGCAATTGCATGAGCTCACCAGTGTGGTCTCTGGGTGTTGTATGAGTAATGCAGCCCCCAGTGCAGGACCCAGATTCAGGGCATTGCTGCCGCAGTTTGAGTCCTCAGCACCCCAGGGCACACTGTCACAGTGCAGATGGTGCTGCCACCACGCAGGCAGAGCCCTTCTCCCTCCTTCCTCTGCAGGCCACCATGAGCTGATGGTGGTTCAGGCTGTGTCACCAAACCAGAGACACGGAGGTGGCTTGGGGCCCTTTGCGGGCAGCAAGGGGTTGGAAAGGCTTCTGCTGGCTTGACCTGTGGGCTTTGTCTTTCTCAGGAGTCTCCCTCTTCGGTCTGGCTGCCTTGCTGCTCCCAGAGCAGTTTCCACACTACCTGGCCATGGTGAAGTCGCTCAGCCTGGGGCCCGCTCTCATCTACTCTGCTAAATTCGCTCTGGCTTTCCCCTTCTCCTACCACACCTGGAATGGAGTCCGACACCTTGTGAGTAGCCTCCACGAGGTGCCGGGGGTGCGAGGGAAGGGAAGCATCTGCTGGCTGCAGGGGTGCTGGGTGCAGCATCTGAGAAGGTGCCCTTGGAAATGGGAATTAGTCACCTCAAGTGCTTCAGAACTTCAGTGCTATTTTTGGGCGTGTATAAGTTGCAAAGAGTATTGCTATTCTAGTGCTTCACTGGGCAGTGCAGCTGGCTGAAAAATCCCCCCGCAGATACCTCCTCGGCTGCGGGAGATGGGTGAGGGGTGGCAGGAACAGCATTACAGCTGTGGGACGTGTCTGCAAGGCTGCGGGCTTGAAACCTGTGGTGGTGCCACCCGCTGCTCGTTATCATCTCACCCTCATCATGCAGCCATTGTGCTGTGATCTTCTGAGTGCTTTATATTATTTAATGAGCCCAGAAGATGTGTGGCAGAGGATTGGAGACAGTGCTGCCTGTGCAGAAAGTAATCTGTGATGTTTGCCCTGGGCTGAAGTGAGGAACAAGCAGCTCCATTCAGCCAAGCTTCCTGTGTTTGATGAAGGAGGGGGAGCCAGAGCGCTGAGTTTCTTGCTGGGAACAGTACAAGATGTGCTGCTTTTTGTAGTTGATTTTGTGTTTTCTGTAGCTCCAGATAGGTTAGGTTTTTATGGGAGCAAATTTGCAAAGGCAGCTGGCCCGGAGCATGACATAATCCTTCTGCTGTGGGCAGAGGGAATGTCACGTGTGGCGCCGCGCTGCAGACGTGGACTCACGCTGCAGGCGCTGATGGCTCCCAGTGTTTCCAGTGTGGAAACACAGAACTTGAGCACTGTTGAATGTTGTATCCTGTACCCAAGAGCAGCCGTTACGAGGTGTCAGAGTGCCGGGAGGTGCCTGGCTGAGCTGTTGGGGTGAACAACAGCCGTGTGCTGCGAGAGGAGCCCGTTGAGGCAGGCAGTGGCTGGACAGCAGTGCTGCCAGTGCTCGTTACCTGCTTTTCAAGCACTCGGCGTTGGACGAGGTCTCGGAGCACAGGGCTGGCAGCCGGCTGAGCCTTGCTCGCTTGTGGAGATGCTGCTGGGCGAATGGAGCAGTCATAACTGGCTGCTAGTTCAGAGTGTCTTGAGTTGAATGTGTGCTGAAGTCTCTGACTGCATGTATATATTAGGATGCCAATTAAATTGTCTGAGAAGGAAACCAGTGGTGTTGGCCCCTGGCTGCGCTCAGCAGCCTAGACCATCGATGGCAGAAGGGGAGCCAACGTGGAGCAGGTTCAGTTTAGTGCCTCTGCCCCGGGTGCTTCTCTGCTTTGAGTCCTGGGGGCTTACTGTGAGGGGGCATGTGCTCCGCAGGCCGCCCTCAGCCACCCTGCTTTCGCTTGGCTGAAGTCAGGGGAGAGGTGCAAACCCCCCTGCAATACCTGGAAACTGAGGACACCCAGCTGCAGGGTGCCGTTCCAGCATCCCTCCCCGCCCCCCGGGCTCAGCCGGGCCTCCACAGCTCGCACCGTACCCAGGGGTGTACGCAGAGGTGTGGGGGCTGAGGCTCATCCCCAGCTGCTAGGCTCTGCCCGCGGGGACGTCAGCACTGCCTCAGATCTGCTGCTTGCGCCGTGCTTTATAACCTATTTCTGTCAGCAGGAGAGAAGCGGAGAGCAGCTGCTGCTTTTGAAGTGAACCTGCCGTGCTGAGGCTGCTGGGGATTAGGGAGAGCTCGTGGGCAGCTTTGCCGATAGATGCAGGGGCTTGGTGGGGGATAAGCTTCCTCTGGCACGACACACACCTGCCTGCACCCAGGGAGACCCCTGCCCACTGCCCTGCCCCGCTGGATGCCTGTAGCCCTCCATCCAGTCTGCACCCATTGGTCTAAAGGCTGTTTTTGGGGGTGGTCTTGCTAGATTTTATCAGAAAGATGGTTACTTTCTGCCTGCATCTGGCACATCCCCCATCAGGAACCCTCCCAGCCCTGTTGAATTAACCCTGCTGTGTCTTTTCTCTCCTGCAGGCGTGGGACATGGGGAAGGGGTTCAAGATCCCCCAGGTCAACCAGTCTGGGGTGCTAGTCCTGGTCTTGACCCTGCTCTCCTCTGCGGGCCTCGCGGCGATGTGAAGGTACCTCCCGGTTCACGGCCTCCCTTTTTTTGGAAGATTTGCTCCGTCCTGGCCCACCGCAAGATGTGTGTGAAAGGGAGGTGGGAGGACAGGCTCCCAAGTAACTACAAATCTTTGGGGAAGGTGGCGATTCCCCTCCTCGCAAATCTCCTGTATGATCAGAGTTGCTTTTCATTAGCCCAGGTGATGAGCTGACCGCCTCTCAGCAGTGCAGGGACAGGCTGGGCTGTCTCCTGCTATGCCACGTGCCCGAGCAGCCACAGAAAGCTGGGCACAAATTAACAGCTGATCCTGGCATATTCAGTTGCTCACAGAAAGCTGCCTAGCTTCTTCCAGGCAAACTCCAGGGCGTTTCTTTTCTCTGCTCTGTCCCCAAGCTTGAGACAATGCTGAATCTGTGTCCCTGCAGGTCCGAGTGGGCTTGGGGACGGCTGCTTGTGCATGTGTAGGCCTGGTGCAGGACAAGCATCTCCATTGAGGCAGCCTGTGCCAGGGCAGGGCGAGCAGGCGGAGTTGCCAGTGCCAGCACCCGTGAGGGGAATGGGTGATCGGTGCCGTCCAGGTGCTGCACCAGCCACAGAACCCTGTGCTTTCTGAGCCTGGCAGCGTGAGCTGGCTGGAATAGGGTGCTCGGGGTCAATCCCCACTCCTTATCCTTGAAAATGTCAGCTTTGGGCCCTGGAGCCCCTGCCAGTGAAAAACGTCTGATTTTCCTGTTAGGAAGTTACTCTGTCTCTGGCACACAGGGAGGGACCTGATTTTCCAATCGTGTGTTGCCACCACCTTTCATTTCAGCACTTGTCCACCTTAGCAGTAAAGCAGCCTTGATCCTTCACACTGTGTTTCTTGTCTGTGCACAACACTTCACTGAGGTGAAGTCAGCTAAGAAGGGGTGTTTTGCTCTGAGATTCAGGGAGTTGCCGCTTCCTGAAGGAGCCGGTCGATGGAAAAAGTGCAGCGTTTAGAGGCAGGTGTAGTGCCTGACCTTTGGAGGTGGTGGGTGTGGGGTGGGGTTGTCTGTGAAATGCTGCCAGCCCAGCAGAAAGGAATTTCCTACCTGGACTGAGGTGGTTTGTACTGGTACAAACATCTGTATGAGGCCCAGGAGCTTTTTTTCTCAAATTAGCCATTTTTTAAGGTCTGCCACTGGGAGCAAAGCTTTGTAGAGAGCACGCTCCCCATCAGGAGCTTTGTCCTGCTTTTCTATCCCAGAGAGGGTCTCGGCTCTGTTTCAGAAAGGATCCTCCTTCCCATTCACATCACCGGCCAGCAAAATACTGGCTTTATGGGGAACATCTGCTCTCCTCATTGGGCTTTTGATGGAGACCTGAAGAAGTGGCAGGAGGGGAGCTGTCCCAATAACACGCTCCGTGATCCCTCGCACGAGCCAGCCTTGCTTCCACGTGACTGTTTTTACTTCTGCTGATCTGAGCCCCATCCCTGCTGCTTGCTCAGCTCCTCTGGTTGCCCGCTGGACCTAACAAATCTGCTACTCCTTTAATTAGCAGAGTCTCGGCTCTGAGGGGACGCAGAGCCTTGGAGATGAGAAATCATGAAGGAGGGAAAACTCTGCTGTCAAGTGTGGCAGAGAGAGAAGACACTGCTGAATCCTATTTAGTGTAGCTGCATGCCCCAGCAGGAGAGAGCTCCTGCGTGAAAAATGAATGTATTTTAGCTTTGAACCAATTACTTCCTGCAGTTGCTGAAATGGCTTTTATTTGGAATCCACTTCTGCTCGCTAATGAGCTATTCTGTGGTGTGTGCCAGCTGCTAACAAAGTTAGACTTTGCTGTGTCTCTCAGCTGCTCTTCACAGACTATTTCCCTTTCGTGAGCAGTGGCAGGGGGCTGGCAGCAGTGCCCCATGGCTGGGCCAGGTGGGAAACAAAGCTGGACCTGCTTTGCACCCCCACCCTCCCAGAGCCCAGTTGAGAAATGGGTGAAAGCAGCCTGCAGTGGTGGGGTTTCTGCTGCTCGGCATGGGGGGAGGCTGGGTGAGCCCTGAGCGGCTCCAGGCCTGCTCCTGGTTCCACATTTCCAGCACAAGGCACTATTAAACGGGACGAGCCGAGATACAGCCCAAGAGAGGGCACCATGTCTGACACCAAAGCACCGCACACACTCATGCAGCCCAGGCCCACCTGGGGCTCTGCCCTGAGATGCCAAAACCAAACAGGATTTTTTTTTTTTTTTTTATAAACCCTGTATTTTTCCAGTTGCCATGAGAACCCCAGTGCAGGCCATGTAGTGCTGCCCCAGTGTTGGCCTTGCTCAGGCTTTAACACATTCCCACTTCCTCCCCCTTGGGGGTAGGAAGGTGTTTTCTGTTTGTCTGCTTGTCGGAAGGGGTGGATGGTTTGGGGGAGATGCCGGAAGGGGAATGGAGGAGAGCAAAGCCAGCTCAGAGCCTGGTGCGAGACAGCTGCCTGCCTCTCATGCCTGCGGCGCTTCCTCGGGGACTGGCCTCTCCCTGTCCTGCACGAGGTGATGCCCTGAGCCTGGGGGATGTACCCTCCCCAGGCTCAGCCTCTGCAGGCCCCCCCCAGCTGGGAGCAGAGACCTGCAGCGGGGTGGCTAGCCGAGGGCTGGCCTCCCTCAGAGCAGGGTGGCTCAAGGCTGGGATTTTGGGCTGGCCGTCGTCCCTGCATTGGAAGTCTGTCCCAGCAGGCTGGTGGGAGCGTGGGGCTTGTCTGTCACGCTGGGCCTGCCAGGAGCAAGGATGGGATGAAGCTGGGAGCTCTGGGGATGTGTCTGCCTTCAGCCAGACCTCTGTGCAGCCAGGCTCCCGGGTGGCTCCTGCTCTGGGGCTGGGCGGCTCCTCCAGCGGTGCCCCAGAGGGCTGGATGCCCTCGCTGGGTGCCTGACTGCTCCTCCAGGAAGGCTCCTTGGAGGTTTGTGTGTCCAACCGAGGCTCCTGGGGCTGCGTGAGGAAGATGTGCACTATGCTCACAGTGCAAAGATGGGAACAGGAGGGCAGCAGGGGGCAAATGGACTGGATAGAAATGCTGGGGCAGGTGGGTCTGGGTCAGTCCTGGCTGCTGCCGAGGGGTTTGCTGTAGGGCCGGGCTCTGTACTGGGCTCACCACAGTACCTGGGGCAGGTGCTGGTCTGCCCAGGGATGAGGCACCGTTGCTGTGGTCCCCAGGGAAAATCAGGGAATGGAAATGGTGTCCTGGGGGCTCCAAGAACCCCTCCACATCAGGAAAGCCCCTATTCTTGGATGCTTTTCTCTGGGAGAAGTGGCTTGCGAGCTCCTCCTGCCGGCACTGCAGCCAGGGCACCCTGCCAGCACCAGGGAGACCAGCCTGGATTTGGGGTGAAGTGGAGGGAGCCCCACCCCTAGAGCAAGGGGAGGTGCTGGCCCAAGCGCTGGGAGCTGCCTCGCTGTACGAAACACCCCTGAAACCTGCTTGTGGGCCGTCCCCAGCCCTGGAAGCCCTCTCCTGCAGAATGGGGACCACCATGATTCGTGCCAGCTCATGAAGCTGCCCCCTCTGGGAGATGGAGCCTGTCAGCAGCCCACACTGGAGCCCCCACGGGCGCTGTCCCCGGACCCCCAGACAGGGTCACCTACCCTCCCGGTGACTGCCGTCCGGAGGCCATTGCAGGCGCCCGTCAGGGTGGTGGGTTGGTGGACCCAGTCAAGGAGCCGTGCGGCAGCGGCGGCCGAGCGGGAGGTCAGGTCCAGCCTGGCTGGGGGAATCCTCGGCGGCATCTCCCAGGTCCCCACAAACGTGCCCCACGGGGAGGCCTGGGAGGAAGAGGGGGAGCAGAGCGGGGCCTGGCAAGGATTTTGGGGCACCAGGGACCCCCGGTGCAGGTGAGGGGCAACAGCTGCCCCCTCCACCCCCTCCTGTGGGTCAGGCTCACCTGGGAGCAGGGAACGGTGGGGAGCAGGTGCCCCCGGTCATCAGTGACGATCGTCGTGCAGCCCTTCCGCAGCGAGGGGTGCTGGGGGAGCGGGCATTGGGGGTGTGGGTGGGGGTCCCTGGGGTACAGGCCGGGGCTGGGAGGCCTAAGCGGGGGTCAGAGACTGGGGGGGAGGGTCCCGGTCTGGGCCAGAGTTGAGGGGAGTCCCTAGGGTCCGGGATGGGACAGAAGGGGTGTCCCAGGCTGGATCTGGAGGGCTCCCAGGGGTCTGGACCAATGCCGAGGGTGGGCCCTGGGGCTCCAGTCTTGGGCTGGGGGGCGCCTTGGGGGATTCCAGGGGTCTAGGCTGGGACTGAAGGAGGTTGTGGGCGTTCCTGGGGGTCCCGGCTGGGGTTGAGGAAGGTCCCAAGGAGGGTCCGGTGCAGAGCTGAGGGGATTCGAGGGGTCTCAATGGCCCAGGCTGGGGCGGGGGGGGGTCTCGGGGAGGTCTAGGCTAGAGCTGAGGGGGGTCCCGGGGGGTTCTGGGGGTCCCGGGAGGGGTCTGGCCCTGAGCTGAGGGGATCCCGAGGGTCCGGGCCGGGGCTGGGAGGGGTCCGGTCGGGGGGTACCTGCCGGCCGGGCCGGGCCACGCTCCAGTTCTGCAGGCGGTGGGAGCTGAAGGCGTCCTCGTACTGCGGGGAGAGCGGGGCCGGTGGGACCGGGGCCGGGGCCGGGGCCGGGGCCCGGGGTCCGGCCGCTCCCCCGCTCCACCTGCCCCGCGCCGTAGCGAGCCGCCATCGCGCCCCGCGCGCCGTCTCCCGGCAACCGCCCCACGTCAGCTCGCGCCGCGCGCGCCCCCTGGCGGCCGCGACGGGCCCTACGCTCAGGGGGGCGTGGCCAGGACGCGGGGTGGGCGTGGTCGCACGGGGGCCGGCGAGCCCGGTGTCCGAGACGGGAGCGGTGGCGGCGAGGGGGCGGGGCCGGGGGCGGGGCCGGGGCCGGGGCCGGGGTGAGGGGGCGGGGCCGGTGTCTGCGGGGGGTCGCGTTAAGGCTGAGCCCGTGGGCCCGGGGCAGCCCCCGGCCGTGGGACCCCCTGCCCATCCCCGGGGCCGCCGTGGGCTAGGGTCAGGGTTAGCAGTTGGGACTGGATTAGCGCCTGGGTTGGGGTGAACGTGAGGGCGAGGACTGACGTGTGGGTTAGGGTGGGTGCTGGGGTGCGGGTTGGGGTCAGGGTTAAGGTTAGGGGTTACTGGGGTCAGGGTTAAGGTTAGGGGTTACTGGGGTTGGGGTTAAGGTTAGGGGTTACTGGGGTCAGGGTTAAGGTTAGGGGTTACTGGGGTTGGGGTAGGCGTTATTGCTGGGTTAGGGTCGGCGCCAGGGTGAGAGTCGGGCTGGGTTAGGATTACTGTTGGGGTTAGGGCACCCCAGGTCTGGGCAGCTTTGCCATTTGGGGCTGCCCTCGCTCCCTGTTTGAGGGTCTCACTGCCCCCCCGCTGTGGGGGGTGCTTGGGGGTTGTGTCCCACGCCCCTCCCCTGCCAGGCCCTGGGTGACAGTGTCCCAGCACGTCCCAGCTCGCCCCGCGTCCCATCCGGCTGCCCGGGCAGCAGCCCCAGGAGGCACCCATGGGTGATGGGGTTCGTGTCAGCAGCGTCCGCACAAGGACGGCAGGGTGGGCACTGCCAGGAGTCCTGACGCTGCCCTGGCGTGCTGGGACCCGTCCCAGGAGGAGCTTCCCTCCACTGCCCCGTCAGGTGGTGCTGCCGACCACCCGGGACCTGCCCAGAGACGGGCGAGACATGACAGGACAGCGCTGATTTCACTTTAGTTTAATTCTTTTCATTTTTTCTTGTTCCAAACTGCAAATCCTGGTGCCAATGGCGTCTCGTCTCGAATAACACCCAATTGCTAAAGCCAATGCGGAGGCGCTAGTAGCGCCGGGCCAGAGGCGGGAGGCAACCGGGCAGCCAGTTTGGGCGATTTGGGGCTGCTGCGTCCCTGCTCGATGCCAAGGGGATGGGCCAGAGAGAAATAAATATTGCTGCACGAGCGAGGGATGCCTCCAGGAGCGGGGCTGGGAGCTGCCCCGAGAGCTGGGCTGTGGCTGGGGGGGGACATACAAAAAAAGGGGCCAAAAAAAAAAAAAAAGAAAAACCAACAAAACAGACTGATGAACCCAAACGAAGTTAGCTGGAAGCTGGGGCTGTTTCGAGGGGGAGGAGGGAGCTGGATTCCTGACTTCAATTTGCACGGCGAGCCCCGGCAGCGCAGCCCTGTGCTGCTTCGCGCCGGATCCCGGCGGTGCTGCCGGCGCTGGGCTCGCAGTTGCTCCCCCCGTGGAGCAGGGGTGGGCGCGGAGCAGGCGGGGGGTTACAGCGCCGGGCAGGCGACCTGGTGCCGGATGCCCTCGTTGCACATGAGGGCGGCTGCTCGCTCGTCGCCGTCGCCGTGCTGGCACTGCATGTAGCTGATGCCGTGGGGCGAGTAGCTGTGGGCACAGACGTTGCAGGTGCGGGTCATGGTGCCGCCTGTGCTGCTCCTGCGGGCAGAGGGGAGCCCCGGCGGCACCCGTCAGTGCTCGGCCGTGCCCAGTGGCACCCATCGGCACCCATCGGTGCCCGGTGGCACGCCTTGGTGCCTGTGGATGCTCGGCAGTGCCCAGTGGCACCCGTTGGCACCCCACTGGTTACTATCACTGCCTGGTGGAACCCGTCAGCACCCGTTGGTACCCATCGGTGCCCTCCACACCCATCAGCAACTGATGGCACCCACCAGTGCTCACCGGGATCCATTGGGACCTGGCAGTTCCCAGTGGTACCTAACAGCACCCAGTGCCACACATTGGTGCCTGTTAGTCCCTGTCCTTTTCTGGCGGTACCCGTAGGTGACCCACGGTGGCCATCAGTGCCTGGTGGCACCCAGCAGTGCCCATGGGTGCCCATCGGCCCCCAGTGGCACCCAGCAGTGCCCATGGGTGCCCATCGGCCCCCAGTGGCACCCAGCAGTGCCCATCAGTCTCCAGTAATACCCAGCAATGCCTGTCGGTGCCCAGTGGCATCTGCCAATGCCTGCTGGCCCCGTGCCTGTCCCCTGCTCCCGTGCCCCTCACCTGCAGTCACTGCATGTCCGCTGGCATTCCTTCCGGCGGTAGCGGCAGATCAGTGCCCAGATAAGGAGCCCGAGCAGGCTGAGGAGCAGGAGGGAGCCCAGGATGGAGCCCACGATGATGCCAGCTTGCCTTCCTCCTGCCGCGGGAGCATAGCCTGTCACCGCTGGCCTCCCCGCCGACTGCCCACTGGTCGCCATGCCCCCGGTGTCACCCTGAGACGCAGAGCCGGCCCCTGGCAGCACCCTGCCCGTGCTGTCCCCCCCGCCGCCGTGGCACTCACTTGTCGCAAGGTTGAGGTTGAGCTGGCAGATGGAGTAGCCCACACGGTTGGTGACGCGGCACTGGTAGATGCCGGCGTGCACCTCCGAGAGGCTACGGATTATCAGGTCGCCAGGAGCACGTCCTACAGTGGGGAGAGACAGCCCCATCAGTCCCACTGCGCCACCCCTGCCAGCATCCCCCCACCTTGGACATGGGTGTGCAGGGACACAGGCTCACACAGACGTGGGCACATGTGAACAAGGGCACATGCAGGCAAGAACACACGTGAACACAGGTGCACGCTGACACTCATGTACCTAGGTGCACTCAGAGACAGGGACACAGTACCCATGAGCATCTCCTGCACCCCCCCAGGGAAGCACCCTGGGTGGGCGCAGCCCCGCCAGCACCCACCTTGGATGGTGCCAGAGGGCAGGCGTCCCCCGCCGTAGCCATCGGCCAGCTTGGCCCACTGGTAGGCGAGCGGGGAGGTTCCCCCGCGGCTGTAGCACCGCAGCAGGAGGCTGCTCCCCTCTGTCAGCTCCCCCTCGGTCCAGCACTGTGGAGTGGCTGGTTTCTCTGCAGGGAGAGGGACACACTCAGTGCCAGGGCCAGCGGGGGCCACCCGGGAGGGGGCCACAGGAGTGTGTGTGTGTTGGGGGGGGCAGGGGGCTCACCTTGCACAGTGACGATGACCTCATGCACGGCCACAGTGTTTTTCTTCACCCGGCACTGGTAGGTGCCAGTGTCAGAGACCTGCAGGTCAGCCAGGCGGATGGAAGCGTCGTACTGGCTGGGGTCGTTCTGCACAAAGGCCACCCGGTCCTGCAGCCCTGAGCCGCTGCCGTAATTGACGTGGTGGTCATGGTAGGACAGGAACTGGGGAGGAGCAAGTGGGGAGACTGGTCAGGGCTGGTCCAGGTGGGGGAACCCGGAGCTGCCAGCGGGGGAGGGAAATGCACTGCCCGGTGCCTGCCCGGCTCTGCCTACCCTGACTGGTCCTTCCCAGCCCAGCACTCACAGACCCTGCCTGTCTCTGCCTGCCCTACCTGCACCTTCCCTTGCCCTTCCAGACCTTGCCTGTCCTGCCTGCTCTGCTGGGTTTTGTCTGGACCTTCCAAGCCCTGCCTGGTCCTTCGCTGCCCTGCCTGGTCCTTCCTTCCTTGTCCTGCCAGACCTTGCCTGTCCTGCCTGGCTTTGCGTGCTTGTCTGGGCTCCATCTGATCTATCCCTGCCCTGCCTGTCTTGCCTGCCCTGCCTGCATGGTGGGATGGCAGCTTCTGGGGCAAGTGACACTCACCACATTCTCCGGGCCAGTCCGCTCGGGTGTGATCTGGATCCACTCGATGCCCACACCCTGGGGACCGTTGTCTTCAGGCTCGAGGACGTAGGGGCATCCCAGCTTCACCGAGTCACCCTTGGCCAGGTACAGCACCTCCCGGCCCTTGCTGTTGATCCTGACAGCCAGGAGGAGAGCTGGGGAGAGAATAGCACCCATCGCACCGGCCGGGAAGCACGCCGAACCTGTGCCCCAGTGTAACCCGACCCCGCGTCCTGCAGCACCTGACCGATGGGGAGCAGGACAGGAACCCATCTGCTGGGGTCAGGCACCCGCAGGGGCTGGGTGTCCTGGTGGGGTTAAGCACCCATCAGGGTTGGCACCATCTGGGTCCTGTGAAGCTGCATCGGGGACAATGGGACATGGCACCCTCTTGGCTCTGGCCAACACAGACGGGTGTCAGGGCAGGACTAGCCCTGGCTGCAGGTGCTCTGCTGACCATTGGGTGCCTCTGGCACCCTGAAGGGGGTCCTGTGGCTGGGCAGGGACCCATCCATCCTTGGTAGCATAGTTGCAGGAGAGGGTCCAGGTGCAGGGATCCGTCAGCGCCTACCTGGCATGAGACCCAGGAGCAGGAGCAGGCTGGCGCCGTGCCCTGCCATGACGCTGCAGCCGTGCCGGGCGGTGAGGAAGAGCGGGAGTGGAGGAGGCTCCGAGGCGACAAGGCAGCCGGCCGCGCGGGGCTGCTTTTACATGCTGGGCTGGGATGCTCCTCCCTGTGGGGCGGATGCCTTTGGGATGACTGAGTGGCTCCAAGCTGTGCGTGAGCGATGCCGCCCTGCTCCACTCCCTACCCAGTAATTAAGCATCACCATGGTATGGGCTCCCATCCAGTTAAGCCCAGGCAGGGGACCATTGCAGGCAGCGTGGGCAGGGGGCACCAGCACATCCTGGGGCACCCGGAGCAGCGGAGCCGGGATCGGGGGGATCCTGGACCCTGTGGTGTCCGGTGGCTGGTACCCTGGTGTGGCCACTGTCGGACTGAGTGTGGCTGGTGGGAAAAGGCTGCCTGGGACCCTGCAGCAGCACCCCAAGCATGACCAAGCACTGAAGCTGCTTGGAAGTGCCAGTTGGCCCCACGCAGGTCCCAAAAGGATTTTGTTCTTGGGGCAGGACTCAGGGCAATTGGAAGAGCTTAAAGGTGTGGTTTGACCATGGGCTTAAGCTCCTGCAGATCCCTCCTCCGGTCCTGCCCCCTCAGTGAGCGGACACAGCGATGCTGCAACCATGTGGGGACCACAGCACCCACCAAGCCCATGCTGGTGCTGGTGGCACTGATGAAATACAGTGCAGAAACCTGGCTGGTGTTCCAAGCCATGGCTCACTGCATGGGGACACTGTGGCATGGCCGCAACAGGGGCTGCACATCCCAGGCCACGTTCCGCACAGTGGAGGGGACAAGCGGTGCAGCTGGAGGAGGCTGTGGCAGTGGGAAGGGAGGAAGAAAGGGGCTGAAACCTGCTGGGATCTGAGGGCAGGAACTGGGGACAGGGATGCTCTGTAGAGGGTGGAGGAGTTAGAGACAGGGATGCTCAGCACTGGACGGAACACTGGGGACAGGGATGCTCAGCACTGGACGGAGGAGTCGGGGCAGGGATGCTCTGTGGAGGTGGTGCTGGGGGCCACCCTGGAGACGCTGAGCCCCGTGGGGAGCCCCAGCCATGAAGCACTCTCCCTGTCCCGCGGAGGGGCTGAGCCCCACACTGGGCCGCGCTGATGCTGTGGGGCAGGCTCAGGCCCAGGCCCCATGTCCGGCTGGTCTGTGCACTGCCCCGCGGCACAGCTCCGCCGTGCTGGTGCTTTCCACATCACTGCCCTAGCCAGCTCGGCAGCACCGCCCAGCTGGTCCCAAACACTCCCCGGGGCCAAGAGCTGCTCCATTTACTGGCCCCAAGCTGAGCTCACCGCTGCCAGTTAACCCTTACTGGCCTCGTGCTGGCAACTGGGGCTGAACCCAGCACGTGCTTCGCCGCGTCTGTGATTTTGGGGCCTCTGTTCGCAGCCTGGCCCCGGGGCAGCACCGACGCGGCGAGGGGTGTCGTCTGCCGGGGCCGTTCCCGCCGTGACGGGGCCGTGGCTCACCACGGCTCAGGGCTCCCAGCCGGCACGGTGCTGGCTCCCTGGCCCGGTGACTCCTGCATTCCTCGGCCCCGGGAGCCCCGCTCACGCAGGAAGGGTGGGGAAGCCGCTCCACCCTGGCTGGTGGCCTGCTGGTGGTCACAGCCCCCGCGGTGGCTTCAAAACCCTCTGGGCTGAGCCCGGCTGTGACTGCCCGGCCGAGGCGGTGACCGAGAGTGACACAGCTGGCCTGTGGCCACAGGGGATGGACAGCTGAGCCTGGCACTGAGCACCACAGATGCTCAGTGGGTCAGGCACAGGTGCCAAGGCCCCCAGCGTCCCTGCGGGGGCTCGCTCAGGGTCTGGTCTGAGGTGGCAGATGCCCTGCAGAGCCAGTGCCACGTTTCAGCCCGTGCCCTGGGAGGGGTGGCACAGTGCCTGGCCCTGTCACACCCAGGGGACACACAGCAGCTGGAGAAGGGACAAGGAAGGAGTAACAAGAGACAGTGGCGCTTTGTCCCGTTTACCCAGCCTGGAGGAGACTCAGGGCTCACAGCAGAGTCCTCCAAGTTGTCCCCCTGCCCTGGGCAGTCTTGCCTTTCCCAGCAATCCTTATTTTTCAGCTGCTCTGACAATTAATCAGAGCCACTCCTACAGGATCCCAGCCCTCTGAAGCTGCCAGTCCCTATCCAAATGGATTTTAAATGTTTGCATCATGCTCTGGTCTCTTTGCTTTGCCCCTGAAGAAGGCTGCCGCAGCAGGGCCCGGAGGTGACACCTCGGTGAGAAGGTGGCACTACCAGGGCTGATGCAGCTGTGCACAGCCGGGGCCAGGGCTCTGTGTGTGGAAAAGAGCATGCCTGGCTGATGGGGACCCTACCTGAGCCACCCGCGTAGGCTGGGACACACCGAGCTGTGCCAAGGACCTGGGGATGGTCCTGGCCCCTCCAAGGACACGGGCCGCCCCTGCCAGCTCTCTCCCAGTGCATGTGGGGAGACAGGCAAGGGCCGACCTCTGTCCCGTGAGTGGGGCAGCTTGGACAACAAGCCTTTGGGCTACTCCAGCCCCAAGGGCAACTCCTGGCCCGCAAACCTGAAGCAAGAGAAGGATGAAAGACACTGTCTGCTCCATAAACATCTTTGTTCATAGAAAACTCAGCCTAAGAAAATGGAACCCTCTAAGTCACTGGGAAACTGGAGCTCTGCTCCTCATGGGGCTGAGCCTGGCCAGGGGCTGCACTTGTTAGGCTCAGGGCCTTCCGCTCCACCTGGGCACAATACTTCTCGGGGATGCCAGCAGCTCTGCAGAGGAAAGAAATCATCAGGCACCCTGTGCTACACCGGAGACCAGCTTTAGGACCGTGGCCCCAGAACGGGTCCTGTTTGATGAGGATGCAGAGGAACCTGTGAGGTGTCCCAGGGGTCAGGAGATGGTAGGAAGCCAGAAAGGACTTAGGGATGTGCCGGGAAGCAGGGAATTAAGTGGCCTCTGGCAGCACATCACCTGAGCTCCTGCATCTTCTGTTGCTTGAGCTGGGTGATGCGCTGGCTGCGCTGGCGGGCCTCCTCCTCCAGCCGCTGGCACTCCTCGAAGGCAGCCACCCGCTCCTGCGCTAGCTGCTGCTGACGCTCCCGCATCTGGCACCGGACGTCGTTAGCATGGGCGAGCCGCAGACCTGCCCTCTGCGCTTCCTCCACCTTCTCCTTCTCCATCTTCTCTTGCTGAGCCCTGCGGGAGAGCTCGGGGCAGATGAAAGGCCACGTTCCAGCAGACCCCTGCCACTGCGTCACCCATTCCTCAGCCCCGTTTCGCAGAGAGGCATCCGGCCATCTCACCGGTGAGCCCCTAGCACCGTCCCTCTCACCTGAGGATCCTCTCGAACTCGTGGCGGTCCTGCTGCGCCTGCACGGCCATGCTGTGCTCCCGCTGAGCAATCTGCTCCAGGCGGCTCTGCTTCAGCATCTGCTCCATCTCAGCCTTCTTCTGTGCCGCCTCCTTCTCCTTGCGCCGCCACTCTCGCTCAGCAGCCTCTTGGCTGCGCTTGGCCCTCAGCGCATCCTGCCGAAGGGGAGAATGGTGACACTGGGGGGTCATGGAGGCACACCCCCCCTCAGGAGGAGAGGTATGGAAGCACTTCAGTGTGATTTTGCCTCTCTTCCAGTGCCATGGCCAGCACTGCTCCAGGGTATCATCTGTCTCCAGGTGCTGGTCCAGACCTGCAATGCCCCAGTAGACCCACCACACCGAGAGGAGCTCCCACTTTGCTGGGGCAGTGATGAGGAAAGGGGCAAGTGAGCCAGCATGGGAGCACATAGCATGTCAGCAAGCTGCTCACCTGCTCTGCCTGGTGGTCCTGGGCCCTCTCCTGCATGGCCCTCAAGCGTGCTGTCTCCTTCTCCTTCTCCCAACGGATTCTCTCCTGCTCAGCTTCGAACTCGGCCTCACGCTTCTGTGTGGGACAGAGCCTTGTGACAGCTCCCTGCAGCACCTCTGCTGCCTGCTAAACCCGTGCCAGTGCCACATACGCTCAGTCCTGTTACCATTTTCTGCCTCTGGTACTCGAGCACCCGCTCATCTGCCATCCTCTCCTGCTCCCGCTGCTCCTCCTTGAGCCTCTGGTTCTCATCGTTGATGCGTTTAATCTCAGCCTGGATTTTCTTCTGTTGCTCCTGTCTCCGCTCCAAGTCCTGAAAACCATGCAGAGGGTCCAAGGGTGACAGGACAAGCACTGCAGCACAAAGTGCTCCCTCTTCTCCTCCCTGTGTGCCTTCTGGAGGGCCCAGCAGCGCTCAGGATGAGGGAGGGCTCAGTGGCTAGGGTCATTTTCTGAGGATGCCTCAGCTTCCTCAAGAGACTTTAATTCTGCCAGCTGTTGTCTCCACACACTATGTCTGACTTACCTAGCACCGGGTCACCCTTACAAGAAGGTGACAATCTAACTCCAGCCCCCCCTGCTCCCCAGCAGGTCACTGGTCGCACCTTCAGGTCCTCCATCTTCAGCCGCTCCAGGTACTCCAGCACCTCCTGTGCCTCCTGGTCCCGTTGCACGGCTCTCAGAGCCCGCTCCTCCGCATTCTGCTCCATCTGCTTCACAAGCTCCTGCCTCCCTCTGCAAAGTAGAGAGCAGAAGGGTTCCTTCTGTCTCCATCCCACTCCCAGAAGGAGAAATGCCAGCACAGACACCAGGTGGTGTGTCTGCTGCCTCATGCTGCCCGGTCCAGCCGCAGCGACTGGGAGGCTTGCTGTGGTGTGAAGCTGGTGGCTGGAGATTACCCTAGCTCCGGCACACGGCCTGGGAAGAGGATGAATGCCTCTGCGGGGAGGGAGCCTTCTGCAAACCTGATCAGCTCCTGCTTCCTCCTGCGCTCCAGTTCCTCCTGCATCTCGTTGGCTTTCTTCCTCTCCACCTCCATCATGTTGGCCAGGCGCTTCTCTTCTTCCTCCAGCTCTTTCGCGATGAGCTGCTTCTCGAGGATCTGCGTGTCACGGATCATGTGGCACTTGGCACCGAGGACCAGCTGTGGGGACAACAGGTCTCCCTGGTCTCTGAGCCAGACTTGGCAGTGGCAGCAGGGACAGACACACAGAGGAGGAGGGGGAAAAAGGAAGGAGAGGAAGACCCTGAGTACCAACAAGCAGAGCGGGGTTTAGGTCTAGAGCCGCTCCCGGGGGCTCTCAGCAGCCTGTCTGAGCAGGCAGCTCAGGCAGGTCTTAACGCTGTCAGGAAGTCCTGGGGTGCCGGGTGATGCCGAGGAGCCCTGGCCCTACCTCGCTGAACTCCTTGATCTCGTCCTCCTGCTCCATGCGCATCCTGCTCGCCCGCTGCAGCAGGTATTGGGCCCGCTCCTGCGCCGCCTCCTCCAGCTCGCTCAGCTTCCCCACCTGCTGCTGCCGGATGGCCTTTTGCTTCGCCAGGTTCTTGCGCTCGCTCACTGCCTCCTGTGGGGACAGGCAGGGCGGCCGAGAGCCGGACACCCTCCCGGGGCAGCCCTGCAAGGCTGACCCTGCCCGAGGGTGGTGTGGGGCAGCCTGGCTAACGAGGGGCACACTCCACTGCACCGCGCCCTTGGAATGGAGCCGAGGGGCACAGCGGGCTCCGCCAGCCCTGGTACGGGAGCTGGGTAGCCCTTTCCTACGTCCCTATTAAGACAACCCCGCTCCTGTTGCAGGGTAGCAGAAATGCAGCACAGCGGCTTCATCACAGTCTCCAGGGTCACCACAGGCTAGCCAAACAACCAGCATGGGATTCCTTCCCCACTCATGCAGCAGGAAAACCCAGGGATCCTGCACAGCCCTTGCTGGGCTGGGGATCAGAGGAGACTCAAGACACACAGCTGTGCTGCCTCCCTTGCATGCTGTCCCGGCATACCGAAACATGGGTGAAAGAGGGATGGGTGGTGGCCACTGAGCAGAGCTCCAGGAACAGCCCCAGCTGGTGTGTCTCTGACCCACAAGGTTGGCTCTACCTGGGTGCACCCACCTCCACCTGCAGCCTGAGACCTGCCAGCAAGCAGGGAAAGAAGGGGCAGGAGGGGAAATGCCTACGAGAACTGCTTCTGTCTCCGCTTTGAGGGCTGCCAGCTTGGCCTCACGCTCCTCCTTGGTCAGGACTCGAGCTGCTTCTTTAATGCGCTGGAAATCCTCCCGACCGATAATGAGGGATGCTGCTGGGTTCTCTGCAGGGATGCTGGTGGTACGGGGAGCAGGGCACAGAGAGAGGGCAGTCAGTGGCACGGAGTCTCCGACAGCTCCTTCTATTCCTGCTGACCTCCCTGGGCTGCCCACACCGGGGGCGGCAGGAGCGGCTCCACCACCGGGAGTCACCCACAAGCAATGCAGGAAGCGCTCGAGCTGTGAGGGCCCGACTCTCCTGGTCAGAGGGAGGAAGAAACAGAAGGTGCAGTGAAAGTGACTCCAGGCTGTGATGCTCAGGTGACAGGATGCTCGGCAGGGTGGCCAGGGGCCTCCCGGGAAAACGTCAAAACATTCAGCATGGGCCTAGTCAGCCCCAATAAAAAAAAATGTTGAAAGTATTTCAGTCCAACTTGACTTTCCCAGCTCTCGTTTGGGAAAATTTTGACCACTGCTCTCACCCCTTTTTCAGCGGGACACGCTGCTCATCCCTGCCCACCCCCACCTCCGACTGACTGTCACTGCTTCTGCATGCCGGATCAAAACCTCTGTTCCATGCGGACAGATTTTGGGGAGCAGAAGCTGCCTTTTCACTCTGTTTAATGACACTCAGCCTGCTCAGGCTCCAGATCTGCACAGCACGGCTCGGCTTTGGCTCTGCTGCCCCGGGAATCCAGCTGGCACAAGTCGAGGAAATGCTGTGCTGCCCAAACACGGAGCACCCTCTCCCCTCCCAGCGCTGGCAGGTGTCCCTCCAGCCGTCACCCTGGCTCTGCAGGACACTGCCACCACGAATTTTGCCTGTGACTCACGCTGTGGTTTAGAGGAAATCACTGAAGCTCTTGGTGCCCCCATTTCCCCACTTGTAAAAATGTGGATAATAATACAGGGCTGCTTTCCAGGGGTTGTAAGGAGTTAATTACTCTTTGTATTACTCAGATACCATGGTGACGCGTGTGGTGTAGGAGCATATATTAACCAAATGCATAGAGCACTTTGAAGATGTTCAGGACTAAGAATTTACTCATTATTATTGTGTGTCACCTTTCATCCACCCTTGTGAATATGAACAGATACCTACATAATGATCGTTCGAGAGCTGCATCACAGCATCGGATTCCAGGACGCTTTAAAGAATGGCTAATGGTCACAACGGCACTAATAAATTTAATGATACAGTGGCCACTGCTTTAGTTGTCCCAGTGTTTGGGTGACCAGCCTGGGATGTCTAGGGCCTGATTTTCAGGAATTAAACCAGCACAAACAGTTTCCATTAGCTTCAGCTGGAGCTGAGGCTGTGCGACACATCTGCAAATTGGCCCACAGCTTTCGGTAGCAGGGTCAAAGAAGAATGTGAAAGTATAAAATCAAGTACCAGTCTCAAAAGCCTGAACCAGTATCTCTGTACCATTTTACTGTCCACAAAACCCAAACCCAAACCACCCGCAGGGCGGATGTCACGTTTTATGGGGTGTAAGAGCATTACATGGAGGTTCAAAACAGGAAGCAAAGATGAACCTTGCACAGAACGACAACTACAAGGAAAATTTAGGGAGGTCAAAATTAGGCTAAATTGGAGCTGGCCGGGATAATGGCCCTATTCTTGTCTATGTGCTTCAGGCTTTTAACGATGTGTAGTAATTAGGGCCAGGGTTCTTACAGTTCAGCCTTGCTTATAAAATGTCCCTGCTCCTGGTGTGTGGGTGACACACCACTGCCGTTCTCACATGGGGCTTTTTGGTATTGGGGCACAGGATACGTGATGGGGTGCAGGTACCACCCTGGGGGCTGTTCAGCTCCAAAAGAGCTTTTCTGGCTGCTGAGAAGATTTTATGTTGCTTTTTACTGGTTCTTATGATGATTCAGTGCCCCTGTAAAATGCTCAGTGCTCAGCACTTGCTGGCCGCATTGCTAACCAAGCCAGGTGTATTGGAGCGCTGCTGCCCATCCCTCCTCCCCCAAGACATCTCGGTAAACTGTGAGACAAGCTCTGTGCACCAAAACAGTGCTGTGACAGACATGCAGGACCCCAAAAGCTCCTCAGAGCTGCCACTTGGGCACAGACTTACACGAGGTCACGGATCAAGTCCTTGGTGATGAGACGGGTGGTCTTGGGCTTGTGCTCGCCAGTGGGTGACGCTTTCGGGGCAGTCTGCCATCTCGAAGGATCACGACGGGGCTGTTGGAGCACGATGGCTGCAGGCTCTGCAAGAAAGGACAGCGTTTACTCCGGCTTTCCTGTCACTGGCCTGTGTCTAGCTCTCTGCCCCTGGATCCTGGGCACAGAGGTGCTCTAGGCACAAGAGGCCACAGTTCCCCTGAGCTCTGACAAACAGCACCTCGCACCACCAAGACCAGTGATGTCTGGGCACGGGAAGGGTTTTTGCCTCAGCAGCCCCAGTTCCAAAGGCCTGATGAGGACATGGGGAGAACCAAAAATACCTCTATAGCTTTGGTTTTACTATAAAAATCTGGGTGTCAGTCTCTCACCCAGATCTGAAGTAAACAATGGGCTGATAGCTGCTTGCTCAGGGAAGGACCTCACTAACGCTCAAGCACCATCTCAGCTACCTTGAGCTGATGGCAGCTGCCCCCTGCCCCACTCCTCACCATGCCCACCAGTACCTCTGTCCTGCTGAGCCCCATGGACTCAGGAGAAACTGTGTGGAAACCAACCCAGACTGACCCAAAACCACTGGGAGCTGGCAGGGGGTGTCCTGAGGAGGGAGAAGCAGGAACAGCTTGAGGTCTGGCCTTGTGGGGCAATCAACTGTCATTCAGTACTGGGCAGAAACCAGTCCTCCCAGCAGAGCCTGGACTGGTGCTTGAGCTGAGACTGCCATCTAGTGAAGCATCACCCGGTTGCGGGGTGATTCAGGGACCCCGCTCCACATCCTATCCAGGCAGGGTGGGCAGTGGTCACACCCAGAGGGGTGGAAGCAGCTGAGGGATGTCCCAAACACACGATAGGGCCATCCCACAAGAACCTCTGATCAGGCTGCAGGGTCTTCTATTAGCAGGAACAGGTGTCCCGTCCGCCCCGAGGTGAAGCTCTGCTGAGGCTGCTGACAATCGCACAGCAAGAAGCATTTCAGAGCAGGCACCGGTCTGCAGAGCAAACCTCCAAGCAGCTGAGTGGGACAGTCCCCAGCCAGGAGACCCGAGCCCAGCACAGCAGGTTCGGCTTCCTAAGCCCAGGGTCACTTCCCTGAGCCCAACCACAGTGTAGGCATCCCAGCAAAATCCTCACCCCAGTCAGGGAACCACAAAAGCTAATCTAAGGTACACACAGATGTGTGGCTTCCCTTAGCCTTTTATTTACTAGTTCAGCTTTAAAATCCTAAGCACCTGCTGGAACAAATTCTACAGCCAGCCAGGCACCGAGCAGTTCCCTGGGAACTTGCTGCTGGTAATATTTCCATTGTATGGGTCTGATGGCCCCAAACCACAGGGTGTCCCACAGCCCAGCACAGCAGATACCAGAGCAGCTTCCCAGTCACTGTGGGCCCCAGGTGTGAGTTGTTGAATTAAAGGGTTTGGCATCGAAACACCCGTGCAAACAAAGATAATAGTGTTATTCATAGCAGCCAGCCCGCATATTGTCCCCAAAGCCAGGAGAACTCCTTAGACTAGACCTCAATCAATCTCAGGGAATTCGATTAACAACCATATGAGTGTTACGACACTGTTATCTAACTGCCTCGAAGGCCTCCGAGATAACAGGTCGGAAACCTGCCGGGGGCTCCTCAGCTTGCAGGGTGTCCGAGGCACACGGACCCAGCAGCTCCAGAGCAGGTCACTTGCTGGGAGCGCTCCCAACCTCCTGCCCCACAAGGCAAACTGTCCACACAGCCTCCAGTTGGGAGTGGAGGTAATCCTCATTACACACTTCCTTCCTCTCCTCTGAAAAGCCAAAGGGTTTTCTTCAGACAGATTTATTTCAGGCGATAAGACCCAGGAGAGGAAATGACAGGCACAAACACACACCCCCATGGAGGGACAAGTGCCTCGAACACAGCGCAGTCCCCTCGTGGCAGCCACCTGCCCACCACAGCCCTGACAGAGATACCCCAACGTTTTATCAGCTGAAGAGACGGTGAGCACGAGATGGACTAAACTCCAGCAGTGTCCAGCCTGGCCCTTGTACCTTGATCTGTGTCAAAGACGACACAAAGGGTAGGGGAAGCCAACGGTGGCAGCCATAAATCCAACCTGCCGCAGGAAGAACACCTGGGAGAGTTGATAAAGGAGGTGGGGAAGCAGCAGTGGGGAAAGGATGTCCAAAACACCACCCTTGCTTGGAAAATGACATCGTCCACCTCGGCGACAGCAGCTGCAGCTCTCCCCTGGGCTCTTCTGTGGGAGCCAGGGGCAGCCAAGGGACAAGCATGGAGGAAGCAAGCCTTTTCCTTACAAGACGGGAGAGGAAAGAGCTGTTGCTCTCTGTTTATCTCCTCTTTCAGTGGCCAGGGCATCCAGCCAGGAGGTCAGAGACCTGCTGCAATTCTGCCTTGTCTCCAGGGGGACTGATTTCATAGCTCCCTGATGAAAATCTAAATATGTTGGTAATGAGCTGCTCTGGAAGCTTCCAACCCCCGCTCCAAGGACTCTCTCCATAGCCCACATGAACTAACCGCTAACGTACAGACCCTGTAACACAGGCTCCACTCCTCTATCTGGGTGCCTCACCTCCTGAGCCTCGTTTGTCTCACTAATTAACTAATTACCCTGTGAAAAGTGGAAGCATACAGCCGCCAAGGAGGACGGCGGCACAGGCAGCCCTTGGCACGCTGGGTTTTGCACCCTCCTGGAAGGGACGGAGCATTGGGCTCCCACAGCGGGGCAAGGAATTAGCACAAGAGGCGGCAGGGCGTGGGGAGTTTTGGAAAACAGGGACTGTGAAGAGGGACACAGTGAAGAGCCTGTGGCAAGCGAGCCGGTGCGAGCAGGGCGGGATGAAGCCCGGCAGAGAGGGGCGAGGGGCCGAGGCACCGGGAGCTCCCTTGCCCGGGGGGTGCCCGGGAGTGAGGTGCCCCGGCATCGCGGTGCCCGGGGCGGGACGGGGCTGGTCCCGGCCACCCGGTGCAGGCGGCGGTGCCCCCCGGCATCCCGTCCTCCTCACCTGGCCCTCCCTGAGCACCATCTCATCCGCCGCCGCGCTGCGGGCCCTCCTCCTGCGCCGGCACCGGGACTGGCTGCGGGCGGGCTGCGGGGACAGAGGGGCTGTGACCGGGGACCCCGGGGAAGCGGCGCGGAGGGGCCGGGCCGGGCCCGGTGCACCGGGACAGGCCGCGCTCACCATCCCGCTCCGCGGCGGCCGCCGGCCGTCGCCATGGCAACGTCCGTTTCCCCCCCCCCCGCTGCCCTGGCAACGGCCGCGCGGGCGGGGGCGGGGCTGAGGCCGGAGGGCCGCCCTGGCCGACGGGAGGGCAACTCTATGGTGGGGGGCGCGGGGTGTGTGTGGGGGTGTGTGTGTGTTCACGCGTGGATTGGTGCACGCAGGGGCTGTGCAAGGGCCCGGCGCGCGCCCGGACACGCCCGCAGGCTCCCTCTGGCGCTCGCGCTGGCCGCGCGCCTGCGCACGCGTGGGGGCCGGCGCGAGGAGCCCGGCCAAGGCGGCCGCGCCCGGGCGGGCACCGCCCTGCCCACGCGTGCACACGCCCGCGCGGCCGAGATCACCCCGCGGGACCGCTGTGCACGCGCAGCACACGCCCGTCCGGCCCGCGCGTCCCGCGGCGTGTTCCCCTCCCCAGCCACGCCCTCCGGCCGCCCCCACTCCCCCCGCGACCGCCTCCCACGGCCCCCCCAACCCCACGGGGGTCGGCAGCAGCGACCGCCCCGCCCTTCCCCGTGGCCCGGCTGCCACCACGCCGTGGGGTCCGGGCGCCCCCGGGCTGGGGTTCCCCCAACTGCTCCGGGGTGTCCCCTCACCCACAGCCCCCCCTCATCACGACCACCCACGCCTAGAAAGAAGAGGAATTGTTTATTGGGGTGGGGGGGCGCCTCCCCCCCTCCCACACAGCAACGGGGCTGGGGGGTACGGCGGCCCCCAAGGCACTGGGGGGATGTAGGCACAGCGGTGGGGGGGCGGGCGGCGTGAAAATGCCCCCACCCGCCGCCCGCACCCAACAAAATAATAATAATTATAAAAAAGATTTTGGTCCTGGAAATACTGGCGGCGGAGGGGTGGGCGCCCGGGCTGGGGGCACCCGGCTGGTCCGTGGGGGGGGAGTTAAGGCAGGGTGGGGGCCGGCCCCGGGGGGCCCCTTGCAGGCAGGGCGGGGGTCCGCGTGCTCAGAGGATCTGGCGGGGCATGCCGTAGCCCGTCATGCCAGCCTGCGAGGCGCCGCGGTTGGTGCCCATCTGCAGCCCGATGACGCTCTGCCCCTCCTTCAGCTTGTCCTCCGAGAAGACGCGACGGTTCTCCTGCGACTTCCTGCGGGCACGGCCAGGCGTCAGCATCCCCACGGGAACCCCACCCCGCAAACAGCCCTCTGCCCCCCCCCCAGCACCCACCACTTACTTGGGGAACCAGTTGGGGTCTCCCACAAAGATCCCGTCGCCCTTGGCCACAGCCAGGCTGCCCAGGTTCATCAGGGTCCTCTGCACGCATGCCATATTCTTCCCTGCAAGGCCGCATGCAGGCTCGGCTCCACCCCCATCCCCACCCTGATCCTGATCCCCATTGACATCCCATCTCCATCCCCATCCTGATACTCATCCCAATCTCGATCCCCATCCTGATCCTGATCCCCAACCCATTCTCCATCCCCATCCCGATCCCCATCTCCATCTTGAACCTGATTCCCATGCCCATCCTGATCCCCATCCCAATCCCCATTCCCATCTCCATCCCCATCCCTATCCTGATCCCCATTCCCATCCCATGTCCATCCCCACCCCGATCCCCATTCCCACCCCGATCCCCATTCCCATCCCCATCTCCATCCCGGTCCTGATCCCCATTCCCATCCCGGCGCCCCATGCCCACCCAGCTGCTCACCCTCCCAGAGGTCGACCGTCTGGAAGATGTCTGTGGCAGCGATGCCGTAGCGCTCGGCCGCCTGCAAGAACTGCGAGATCTGCTCCATCTGCTTGAAGGCCATGGCGGACGCCTGGATCTTGGCCACTGGCCCCTGGCCCCGCGGGTGCAGGCTGTTGATGAGCCGGCACAGCACCTGGCCAGGCGGGAGCCGGGGGTCAGGCGGCACGGCGCTGCGGCCCCCCGCCCCGGCCGGCCCCAGAGGTACTCACGGTGCCGTCCTTCAGCCACTGCTGGAAGCCGTCCCTGCCAGGCGCCGGCTGTGCGACATCCCCGCCGCACTGGGCCAGGATCCACCGCACCAGGATCTGCTCCAGCTCGGGGTCGTACTGCCGGTCGATCTTCTGCTGCACCTCCCGGCTCAGGCCGTACGATGGTCCCCGGTTTGCCATGCTGATGGAGGGGGGGGGTCTGCAGAGATCGGAGCCCCCATCAGTGGGTCCCGTGGCACAGGGTGGACGTGGCCCCATGGCCGCAGTGTGGTGGAGCCCCTTGGGGACAGCGGGTGACAGCAGGCATGGTTGCTGCTCCCCAGCAGCGTGGCAGAGCCCCATCCTGCCTGGACGTCCGGCGTGGAACCTTATCGCCTGTGCCAGGCACTGCCCGGGCTCTGCCCTGCCCTGCAGGCTTCCTGCCGAGCTGGCCAGGACTGGGCGCGGGGTCTGCGCCTACCCGAGGGCACCGGGGCAATTCGACCCTGGGCAGAGGTGGGCAGCACCATGGCCCCTCCGTGCCCAGGCCGGACCCCCGCCCCGAGCATCCCTCTCCCCGCGGCTCAGCCCCACCAAGCACGCGCAGATTTGGCAGGCGCTCACTGCCAGTTGAAGCTTGTTTGCAAAGCTTGCCCGTTTGCTCGGGCTGGGTGCCAGATCCGGGACCACGGGGCCCTGGGCCGCAGTGCCCCCACCCTGACAGGGAAGTTGGACATGGTGAGTCCCTTGGGTGGGCACTGCCGTTGCCAAGGTGCCACGGGAGCAGTGGCGCCCGGACTGGGGAGGACGGAGGTTGTGCAAGGTGCTCACGGGGTGATGCAAGCAGACCAGTGCTGCCCTGCCCATGCAGCCAGGGTGCTCCGGAGCCCTGGGGTGGTCTGGACCCCCTCTACCCACCAGCAATGGCTGCCCAGGCCGTGCATCCCGCACCCAGTCCTGCACCCCTGGGGTTTGTGGGGCACCCTGGCACGCAGAAGCAGGAGCACACGCTGCTCCTCCCAGGGGTGCCAGCCCCGGCACCCGCACCCCAGCTGGGAACATGGGGCAGCCCATCCCACGCCTGGGGGGACCAGGCTCAGTTTGGGACAGAGCTCGATCCTGTCACACACCTGGCTCCAGGCTTGGGGTTTCTGTCAGCAGGAGCAGCCGGGGGACAAGCCACCCTGGCTTATCAGCACAGGAGGAAAATCAAACCTAAGCCGCCAGGGAAGCCAGCAGCGGCAGCGGGGCAGCTGTGCGAAGCCTCAAGCACCACAGCCACCCCAAAACTGCAGACTGCATTGGGCCAGCTGGGCGTCCCCCCAAAAGCTGTCGGCTGCTGTGGGGCTCCCTGGGGCGAGGGCTGGGGTGCGGGCAGCCCCTGCAGGGAGGGAGTCGGCTTCCCCGGAGTGTGGGGAGCGCCCGGCCGAGGGCCAAGCCGGTTGGGAAACAAAGAGGAGCTGAAATTGGTGCAGACAGGGCTGATTTGCCGACACAGCTGGGGCTTGCCCAGACGAGAGGGGAGGGCCAGACCCAGCCTGGCTGCACCACCGCTGCGCTGAGGACCCCACGGGCACCGCAGGAGGGCAGAGCCACCCTGGGGAGCCCGGAGCAGCCCCGGGGGCGGCAGGGAGGGGACCATGCCCAGGCCAGCTGCAGCACGGCCAACCTGAGGACCCTCCCTGGCATCCTGGGGGCTGCGGGGAGGGGTTCCCAGTTAGGTTGCAGCCACCCGTGTATCCCCAGAGATAGACTGGGGACTCCAAAGATCAACCAGGGCCAGCAGGGAGAGGACTATACCCAGCCCAGTTGAGACCAAGCCACCCCGAGGACCCCCTAACCCCCCCCCCAGTGCCCCTAGGGAGGGGCCCCCGAGACATCCTGAAGACTGTATCCAGGGCATGGCCAACCTGGGGCCGGTCCCCAGAGCCTCCCGGGGCCTGCAAGGAGGGGACCCCCGGCTGGGACACAGCCTCCCTGGGGACCCCACAGCCAGACCAGGGTGGGTGACCAGAGGGGACGGGGCCACCCTGGGGACGCCGCGGGCCCCTGGGAGGCACGAGGGGGAGACTGGACCCAGCCTGGCCAGGACACGGCCACCCTGGAGCCGGCGAGGCGGGGACCGGGGCTCGGACGGGGCGCAGCCCTGGGGCAGACGGAGCGCCCGGAGCGGCGGGGCCGGAAGCCGCACCCCGGGTCTCGCTTCCCGGGCGCGGCCGCGTGTCCCGGCGGCCCCACGGGCGCGGCGCCCGGTCCTGACCGGAGCCGTTACCCCGGCGGGGCGTGGGGGCAGCGTGGGGGACCGGTCCCGCTCCGGGCTCCCGGGGCAGCGCAGTCCCGGCCATTTTAGGGCAGAGCGGCTGGTCCCGTCCCGGTCCCCGTCCCCGTCCCGGTCCCCGTCCCGGTCCCGGGTCCCCGTCCCCACCTGCCGCCCGCGGGCGCTGCCCGCTGCCCGCGCCCCTCCCGCCCCTACCTGCGGCCGATCCCGCGGTCCCGGCGCGGTGGTGGCGGATGCCGCCGCCCGCGCCCTTTTCACGGCTGATGTCAGCGCGGCCGGGGGCGGCCCGGTACCGCCCGCTCCCGGGGCGGGTCCGCCGGGCCGGGGCCGGGGCCGGGGCCGCGCCGCCACCGCACCCCCGCCCCGTCTCGCGGGGAGCGGGCTCCAGCCCGGGAGGAGATGGGTGGGGGTGCCAGCGGTGTCAGGGTGGCAGTGGGGGACAAGGTGACAGAAGGGCTGCGGTAGAGACAAGGCAGCCGTGGCGGCAGGGGGACGTCGGGGGTTTGGCGGGGACAGGGTGGCTGTGGTGGTAGAGATGGGCTGGCCCTAGTGTTTGAGGGACATCAGGGTTTTTGTGGGGACGGGGTGGCTGTAGGGAATGTGGTGACCGTGGTGAAGACAGCATGGCGTGGTGGCAGTGGGGGACAAGGCTGTGATGGGGACAGGAGCCAAGAGTGGAAGGGGAGGTGGTGGGGACCACCAGGGCCTGGCGATGGGGGCAGGGGGACAGCGGGCCCGCAGGGACACATCCCCAGCACGTGCGGTGTCTCCGGCGGTGCAGGGAGGGACGATGGCGCTTGCACAATCCTGTCTCCATGGGAAGCGCGACCAAAACAACAAACAAAACCTCGGCCCAAAGCCACCGGCCGCCCCTGGAACAGGGGGCAGGGCCGCCACCATGGCACTCCCTACAACCCCAGCCCCCAAAATCCGTCCTGGACTCGGCCCCCACCCTCCCCAGACAGTCTGAGGTGCCACCGTGTTCTGGAGCTTAGTTGCAAGGACACCATCATGGTGGGGACCAGCCTTGGAGTGTGTCTGTCCCCCCTGCGATGGCCAGTGGCTATCCTGGACCCCTGGGTGCCACGTGAGGGGTTGGGTGTTGGCCCTGATGCCCCCCCTAACCCCAGGATGTGGGTGTCCCCTGGGGCTTTCCAGTGGGGCTTCCCCTGGCTTCAGTAACATGGGTGCATGGCTAGGGGACAGGCGGAGGAGGGGACCAGGGCAGGGGCTGGCACGTAACATGGCCAACCAGGGAGACCCGTGGGACAGGGGGAGGGACAAGGTGGTGCAGAAATGGGGGTAGGGGTGGCAGGTTGAGGGTGGCACAGGGGCAGGACCCAGGGAAACGGCTTTAAGGGTGACAGAGGGACGGCAAGACTGGGGAAGGGGCTGTAGCCCAGGGTGACACAGAGAGCAGGGGGGGGATGGTACAGGGGGCCGGGCCCACGGGGGTGACACAGAGATTAGGAAAATGGTGACACAAGGGCAGAATCCTGGAAGGACTGGAGCGGAGGAAGCAAGGGGTAAGGCAGGGTGATCTGGAGACAGGACCCCGCGTGGAGGCTGGACACGAAGCTGAGGGGGGGGCACAGGGCAGGGTGTGGGGGGATGCATCCAGGGGTGATGCGGGGGTGACAGGCAGGACCCCGCGGGGACACGGCGGAGGAGCTGGGGGAAAGGGGTGGGGCTGGTAGAAGGGACACGGGGGGACCCCGGGGACACGGGTGACCCATGGGCGGGACCCCGGCGTGACCCGATGTGACCCGGGGCACAGCCCACAGGCGACCCCCGGAACGCCCCGCTGCCGCGGGTGACGTAGCGCGCTCCAGGCCTCGCCCCCGTGACGCGCTCCCGCGGGATGACCATATAAGGGAACGAGGCGCGCAGGCCCCGCCCCGTGCGGAGCCACCGCCAGGCCCCCCCCGCCCGAGCTGGGGGGGGGTGGGGGGGGTGGGACACATGGCGGGGGCAAGGCAGCAGTGCGAGGGGGGGCACAGTGCGGGCCTCGGGCCCTACAGGGGCCAGGGGAACCGCCGGGGCGGGGGGCGTGTGAAGGGGGAAGCGGCGGGACCCTGGAGGGGCGAGGGGCCCAGCCCGGGGGTGGTGGGCACCTGCCCCTCCGCCACGCATCAGCCGGCGCTGCGCTCACGTCTCTTTATTTCACCCCGCTATCCTCCTGCCCGGCCCGGGGGGGCCCTAGAGCAGCGTGGCCAGCTCGAAGCGCTCCGCCCCGCACCCGGGGGGGCCCAGCCGCTGCCGGGCCAGCTCCCTGCGGCGCCGGGACGCTGCCAGCTCCTGCCGCAGGGCCGCGCCGCGCTCGGGGACGCTGCCCGTCGCCGCCAGTGCCTCCGCTGACACCGAGCTCACCGGGGAGGACCCGCCGCCGGGCTCTGCGAGGAGACGGGCAGTGTCCGGCCCGGCTGCGTCACCCCCCGGCGGGGTCACCCCCTGCCACCCCCCCTTCCCCCAGCGCCCTGCCCCGCAGTCGCGGGCTCAGGGAGTCTGGGGGTTCCGCACTCACTCTGCCGCTCCAGGTCACGCAGGGCGATGGTGGAGACGGGCCGTGCCGGGTCCCCACTGCGGTAGAGCTGCAGCGCCTCGAGGATGTCCGACTCCAGGGCGAACTCCGCATCCCACTCGTAGTTCTCGTCCACCGAGGTGTTCCTCCTGCGTGGATGGGTGTCAGGACAGTCCCCACACAGCCGCCACCCCCCCCACCCCCCCCACCTAGGGACATGGTGGGGAAGCAGGCAGCTGGTGCGAGGGCAGTCAGGGATGCTGTGGGGAGAGCTGGGGATGGTGGGGACCCCAGAGCGGGGTGTCCCCAGGGAGCAAGGGAAGGTGCTGCAGGGGCAGCTCTGAGGCAGAGAGCTGCCCCAGGATGAGCCAGCTTGTCCCCGGTGTCCTGCCTGTGGCTCACCTCTTTCCAATGCTGCCCAGGGCGGGATCCGTCCTTGCCCTGCCCTCCTCCGCTGCCGAGCTGCTGCTCTGCCAGCTGCCCCCATCCCCGAGGAACGGGCCCAGGCAGTTGCCCCCCAGGGACGGCGCCAGCGAGGGGGGCCGCAGGAAGGAGGCACTGCCCCGGCCGCTGCTCTGGCTGGTCAAACTGCCCCGTGGCAGCTTCTCTGGGGGGGCAGGTTCCGGCGGCCGGCCCAGTGCCCAGCTGGGCTCCACAGTGCCAGCCGAGGGCACGGCCTCAGTCCTGCTGCTGCCGGCAGGGAGGCGGTGAGCTGGCTGGGGAGGGGTCCGCAGGCCAGCCCCGGGGCTGGAGGAGCCAGGCCAGGCGGCCGTGCCAGGCAGCGCAGCCTTGGCAGGACCCACTGGCAGTCTGGGGGGCTTGAGGAAAGCAGTGGCTAGCGGGGAGGTGGCATTGGCACATGTATCAACACAGTCCGGGCACAGCGTCTGCCCTGCACGCCGTGGGGAGCCCCCATTCCCCGGTGGGGTGGGCAGGGGGCTGTCGGCAGTCTCAGGCTGGCCACCAGCATGGCTGGGCTCCACCGGCTCTTCCGGGGGTGGCCAGTCACCATCGACGCACATCTCCTTGAAGAAGGGCAGGCTCAGGTACTGGAGGATCCCGCTCTGTGCCAGGGGGCCGGCCGGCTGCTGGCTGCCCCCAGAGCTGGGGCTGGGGGAGGCTGAGTGGTTGAGGGGCGGCTGGTGGGAGCCCTCAAGGGGCAGCGAGTCCCACAGGGCACTGGCGGTGCTCTGGCAGGGCCTGGCGCTGCCAGGGCTGCCGTGCAGCTCCTCCATGGTGCTGTAAGGCAAAGTTGCGGCAGAGGCCACGGGGCTGATGTTGACGATGCACAACGCCGTGGCTTCATCCACGGGGCTGCTGCTGCTGTAGCTCAAGTAGCGGCCCCGGTGGTGGCTGGCAGCCCGGGCTCCCCGGCAGGCCTGCCCTATTGGCCTGGGGTGCAGTGAGACCCCCTTGGGCCAGATGGGCTCTTCCTCCTCCTCTTCCTCCTCCTCTTCTGTGGGCAGCTGGAGGTAGGACTCGGGCTGTGGCCCCAGAGGGTCCCGGTGGGGGTAGGGCTCTGGCTCAGGGTAGGGCAGTGCCCCAAAGCCGCTCTCCCGCGGCTGCGTGTCGGTCTCCACCACGAAGCGCCCGTCAGGGCCACGGCAAATCCGCTCCAGGGGCACATGCTCCCCAACGTGGCTCTCATACACAGCATACTGAGAGCTGGCCCCGGCGATGCTGAGACCCAGGCTGGTGCTGGCCTTCTCACCCCACAGCAGTGTCCGGCGCAGGCTCCGGTAGGGAGACGGGTGCAGCTTCAGCTTCAGGGTGCTGTCTGGGCCACCAGAGCCACGAGAATTGCTGCAAGGAAGAAGGAAGCTGCTGCAGCACCCCTGTCCCAACTGCAGGCTTGTCCAGCTGCCCCCTGTGCCAGGCACCCGGCAGCAGGTACTGTGACCCTGTGCCACTGCTCTGGGCTCAACAGCCCCACTTCTGTGCTTTCTGAGCCTTTCTTTAGCCAAAACTCCCCGGGGGAGCCCTACCCCACAGCATGCCCTGACCCCAGCACCCAGCTCCTAACGCCCCCTCTGTGGCCAGTCCTTGGCCAGTGGTTGGGGACCAGCTGCCCCCTAGCCTGTCCCTCTGCCCCCAGCCAGTGGCAAGTGAATGATGGGGCATGGAGCGAGATGGGGAGGGAGAGTGGCATGGCATGACTTACTGTGGAGGTGAAAGCTTCTTGCTGGGGGAGAAGACGAGTGGTGGATCTGGAAGGTCATGAGAACACAAGGGGGAATCACACAGCAAGCAACTCAAAGTGATGATGAGGAGACGGCGGCACCCACTCAGCCCTACTACCACACCTAGTGAGCCCCCCAGCCCCAGGCTGGCCTGTCCCCTCCCTCAGCACCAGGTCCTGCCACCCTACACATGGTGCTTCAAGCTCTCTGGGAGCCCCAGGATCCAGGTGCCTGCGCCCAGACAGCTGGCTCCTACCTTGCCTTCGCTTCTGTATGCGGGCAGCACGCCGGCGGTTCATGATGCAGGCAGCCATGGTGCTGAAGATGACAGCCATGCTGAGAAAGCAGATCCCCCCGATGACCCCAGCCAGCACTGGCTGTGGCAGGAGCTCTGGCAGCTGGGTGCGAGACGGATACACCTCCATGCCTGGG